CTTGCAAATGTAACAAAACCGACGGCTTTGCTAATGGCTAGCATTCAAAACTGATCAATGCATTAATTGGGGTCGTGACTTTAGGCTAATGGGGCAGATTTGTATGAAAAATGCTGAAAGGGGAGCGTGTGTTTCATTTGAGTGTTGTTCTGTCCTCACTCAGTTGCAATTTTACACCTAGGGTTCCATCATTGAATGATTGAATGTTATGAGCTTAGAATTTACAATTTCCTTGAAACTGATAACAACACTTTAATTCAAAAGTTTACTATAAATCTATCAAGCAACGGAAATATACTTGGAGAACACACACACGCCCCTACGCACACGAAACATTATAAACAACAATAAGAACATCAGCAAAAGCACCTGTCGGCCTAAACTTAATTGCCAGATTTCATAAAATATGTTTTGTTTATCATTCTCTTCTCTAGACACCCTTAATGTCCTTGCTGGGGTATACAATGAAATCTTTTTTGCAATACCTCTCCAAATGGTGCAAATAAACTGATGATACACTCATCATATGAATTCAAGATAACTGATCGTCTTAAATTAGTGGATAGAAACTATCCTACACCATTTATTAAGCTTAGAAAAAATGCATTGTTGCTGATAATAATCTACCTCACCACTTTGCGACTATAAAAAAAAATTATAACGTTAAATTAGCGAAGCAGCACGGAGGCATTTATTGATTAAACGTACACATTAGCCGGCCTTGACAACGATCAGTTTGTAATTGATCAAACCAAAAAAGAGTTTTAATTAAAAGCGATCAAACATACCTTGAATAATTAAGATGAGATCTATTTGCAAACAGTCGGAGGGCGGAGATCACACAGATATACTATCAGAATCAGGCAGCTGAAGTCGATCATCTGTTTGTTTTAGGAGATGGATGATCCTCAAATGGATGCATTGCATATCGCTGATTCCCGCGTAAATTGAAACAGGTGACAGTAGTTAGCAACGATGGGAATGATGATGATATGCAGTGGCGTGTACAAGCATTGTTGCATCTCTCCAGCTCGGCGTCAAGTACGGACTCGACAGCCCACGTGCGCGGGCGCTGACAACACACACACCGTCCCGTCGCGGCCAACATATTACGGGGAGACGTACCTTACGCACATTCACGCATAAGAGCTTCGCATATTACAGTGGCACCACATATACACATCGATGCGGGTGCAGCTCGGTGTGTGTAGCGAGTGTGTGCGTGCATAGGTTTCGTGGGTGTGCGTGAGAAACAGATGTGGGTGAAATCATAACACACGTTCTGCATTCCACGGTGTCATCGCACACCACATCTGCCTAAGATAGCGAAGTAGTCTGCGCTGAGGCGGCAGGTAATTCGGCTTAAGTCAATATATTAACGTTACACGGTGTATTTGTTTTAGAGTAATGGAAACATGCGGGGTAGGCCTATATTACAAATTACTACACAGGTGTGTTAATTTCCATCTTCCCTGTATATCATGTTATTGTAATTTATAATATTTTTATTCTTTGGATATTTTCCTTAATCGATTTTGAGGAATTGACAATCTAAATTTTTTTCAATTTTCAGGAACATTTCTATTCTGTTCACATTATACTAAGCATTGCATTGATTTGTAACAAAAATGAGAAACCTTTAAAACGCCTTAAAACCGTACAGGCTTGTAAATGCATATAGCTGGGCTGTTTACTCTTAGGAAGCACAGGCAGTCTATACGTAAAAATGCGATACAAGCGGTACAGGATGATCATCCAAGGAGTTTCGACCATTTTTTTCCTCCATTTTCGAAAACGTATTTATTACCAAGTAAACCGCTCAAATTGGCATTCAGCAGTTACTGTAGCACTCAGAGCAGATTGACTAGAACTATGTTTTAAGAAATTGCATCAGTAAGTAACGCTATGTTCCGGCTCGTACAGATAATTATGACGCGGTAAACCACCTAACAAAGAAAGAAACATTTTTTCTCCTTTGCTTCCCCTTACATGTAAACTATAATGGTAACAAATGCGCCCCCGCCCCCCACCCCCACTCCGTGAACGGAGGGATACCATGCGTGTTCCCAAACTCTCCGGCTCGTAACAAAAGAAGGTCTACCCGTATTGACTTTACACACTGGACTTTTGCTGAAAGGGTGGTGGGGGTGGGGGTCGCTGGGAACACGCATATGCGTACCCTAAATAACACTGAGTGGGGGGGGGGGGGGGGAGGGGCCGGGGTGCGCCCATCGAAGGTCCAATGACGCGTATTCACTTAGCCCTGTGTTATAAGATGCAAAAATGTGAAACTTACTTATACTTTACATCATCTTTACAAAAAAACGCCGCAGTTCTGCAGCGTCGTCCCGGCTCCCCCCCCCCCCCCCCCCACTCCGGGGTCGGAATGACCGCATGCGTGTTACCAAAATGTCCGGTAAAGGGGTACTTTTCACGCACCAAAGTCCGGATCGTACATACACAAAATTGAAGTTACACACCGGACTTAGGGGGTGTTTTCAAAAGAAGGGAACACGCATATGCGTATCCTAAATAACACTGATTGGGGGGGGGGGGGGGGGGAGCGTCGTATCTGAACGAGGTTTTAGTTTGGGCTAAGCAAAATGATATTCTTACCGTTATACCAAGGGGAATCTCGCCTAGAATCTCGGCCTAGAATCTCGCCTAGAATCTCCTTCGTTATACATAACGTCACGTGCCTACAACAAACACGACGGTGTTAGGTACATGAGACTAGGGTATTGAAGTATATCATGCCCATTATCGCATCAGGGATTTACATGATCACGTGATAGGGGTCCGAGTACCCTGGGGTGATAATAGGATTGATGACAGGGGTCGGAGATCTAGAGACAGGGTTGAGAAGAAATGATAGTAGGGAGGATAGAGTGTACATGTAGATTGAAACAAAGAGAGAGATAGTGATAGAGAGAGAGAGTGACAGAGAGAGAGAGAGAGAGAGAAAGGGATGGACCTGGAAAGAGACAGAAAGAAAGACTGTGGGAGGCACAGAGAGAAAAGAGAGGAGAGAGACAGAGAGACATAAAGAGCAAGAAAATAGTGTGGGAGAGAGAGAGAGAGTAAAAGAGAGAGAGAGAGAAAGTACAACACAAGATAAAAGACATACTGAGACAACGAGAGAGAAAGTAACAGATAGAGAGAGAGAGAGAGAGAGAGAGAGAGGGGGGTTAGAGTGTGAGAGAAAGAAATAAAAAGAGAGAGAGGAAGACAGAGGCAGAGAGACAGACAGAGAGTGGGAGAGAGAGAGAGAGAGGGGGGGGGGGGGAGGAGAGATTACCTACTTCAAGAAATTATTGCTGCCCCTGGCCCTGCTCCTAAATGTTCGTTTGACAGTGTTTGTTAAAGGTACTATGTCCCTTTTGCAGGCCAAAAAAATGAAAAAGTTAAATCCCAACTGCATTTGAAAGATAATACTTATTTAGAACTTCCCTAAAAAAGGTGGGGCTTGGAAATGTCTTGAAGTGGGAAAATAACGACTATTAATTGTCAAATCGACTTAAGGGCTATAGAGCCCAAAAGTAATAGTCTTGATTTTCAGACAATTGTACCGAATGGTCATACGTTTTATGCTGCGCAAAGATTCAATCAGTTTAATCTTGGCCATCACAAGAAGTGGGTTATTGATGTAGACAAATGCTCATGTACCCTTTACAACTCTTTTCATGTATGTTATTACCAAAGAAGAAAAAAGCCAGTCAGTCACTCAATAGTATCTGACAGTGAAGTCTAGCAAGTAAACGGGTTTCCTTGCATAATTTGAATATGAGGACACTGCTAACGTTTAAATTTCACAGATAGGACATACATGACATATTCATAATTCCTGCAAAGTTCTACAGCATTTGAGGTTGGCTGCAAAAGGGACATAGTACCTTTATCATGGAACACAACAAGACACAAAAATTATACAAACGCTATAATTTAATGGCAACTTGTATAAAATATCACCATTTATCATAAAACCCTAGAATTTCAGTCGACATGGTGGAAGCCTCCTTTGATTAGCATGATCAGTCGCTATCTCTTTTGGAGAAAAACAACAGTTCCATGCACACCATTGTCGAGTGATGGCGTCGTCGCAATTCAGACACTGATTCTCATTAATCACAACATGTATGACAGAACAAAGTCACATAATACTCAAACGCAACACACGGTTCTACCTTTCAGTTTTATATTTTATTTTCGTCTCTCTTTTCTACTTTCTGCTCTTTCTACTCCCCACATGGGCAAAATATGATGAGAAATATAAGCTTTATTTTCATGACTTGATTGAAGGCTTGTAAAGTAGCTATTATATAGTTTTGCCAAACCTTCCGCGTGCGGTAACGATTTTGCCGGGGGGGGGGGGGGGTGGGACTTGTGACCCCTTGATCTTACTCGAATATCAACTTTCCACTTTTTAGGATTTTATATCAACAAATTTCGATTTTGACATCCTGGCGCAATGTATATCTAGGCCTATTCATAACCATTTGATTCCTTTGTTTTGTTAACAAAATAATATGGAAAAACATTACACATTCACCAGCTCGCAGCTCGAAAATGAGGTTAAGGACAGTAAGAGTATTGGTTGGTAGTTTACACAATTTGGAGGCGGGGCGGGAGGGGGGGGGGGGGGCATTCTCATAGCACGCTTAGGAGTCTTTATGACCAACTTGTTTACCACGTTCAGTTCTATAGATTCCGAAATTGGCTGGTGCTTCAATGCGTTTTTGAAAGAACCAGGTAAACAAGTCGTACAGATGACGAAACAAAACACGCATTTGAAGTCAAAACTTCGTTCATACATCTTTGAACAACGTCATTGCTTCGCGGGGGGCCTACACCTGAGCCAGATGTGTGTTACGATTCAATTGCTCACTGAATGGATGATCGTTGGACCGAGAAGCAAATAATCAAAATCCCCAACCCAATCCCAGGCCGATGAACCATCATATAAATATCATCACACAATGGAAACGAATATAAAGAAACCACTGAGTTTTGTAAGCATGCACTGCACCCACTGTATGCACTTTAGTCGAGCAGACGACATCAACACAGCAACAAGCGCGCGATATCTACACCGGCCAAAATTGGAGGCATTGCGCCTGAACTTTCCGGTTGCCTTATTACACCAGGAGGCGTGTTACGGTACGGACCTCGACTTGAGTCTTTCCTTTTCTCAGTAAACGGCTGATCTCTGGTGTCCCCTTTTGGGAGATTTGCAAATGGAAGGAAGTCCTGTTTCAAATGTATTGCGGAAACTCGCTGTGTGTCTCTATACTCTGAGGTCAATTCGGTCCGGGCTTAACGGCTGTCCTCGACGTCGGTGACAAAACGCTTGCAGCTCAAGAATAGCAACTCACAGGAAGGTTACAGGTAACTTATTTGATTTGTAGCATATTTTGTTGAGAGGTCACAAACGCCGGTTACACTCGCAGTTTGGGCAATAGGCCATTTTCGTAATGTATTCAAATGTAATAGATCTATCTTTGTCAAGTGCCTATATAGTGACAAACTATTACATGCACCTGTTACAATGAATGGTATTCCAATAGTCAGGATGCAAATTGCATACAATACGTGTTGTTAGGTTGGGCAAGCCATAATGTTTGTCCAACCTTTGGCCTTTTGTTAGAGTATCAAGTGCATAAATCACAGTTTCCCGGAGGAGGTATATAGAAAAGACTGCTCCCCCAAAACATCTGCCGCATGTTGAGGGCGAGTAGGGCTTTACCTCATTACCCTCGTACAACGCCCTCTTAGCTCTTAACAGATTAAGCTCTAATTTTATAGAAACTTTAGCAGTATGAAAGAGTCGCGTACATGTTATTCGTTCTGTACAATAGCCGGTAGGTATTACAGTCATGTATACTGAAGATGGTACTTGGAATTCACATTTGTTTCTCGACAACGGAAGATATGACAGATATTGATTGGACTTTGACCGGTATTAGATACCATACAATAGACGCATGTTAACATGATACAATCTAGTGGCAGACTAGGTAATATATATATATATAGACTTATACATGTATAGACACGGTAAACAATTATCATGAGGTGTGTACTGTTGTACACACACATCAACTAAAGGGGATTACCCCTAAAAGAACCCACCAAATATTAAACTTTGTATAACTTCATCCGCCCAATCACACCTTCAATCTTTCATTTTCCACATCGTTAAGAATTGCGGATTTATTCAAATTAGGGATAGAAAATAGAAATAAACTAGTCGTGCTTGGACAATATATCGTAATAGAACGATATTATGTAGGCTATACTACGGGATTCAATGATCAATAAATATCTTCACAGACCAGAAAGAAAACAAAGGATTGCTTTATTTTTAGGTTTTTTAGATGGTTTTTTAACCCCCCCCCCCCTATTCTTCATACCCAGTTATATACTATACTCTACACTTTCCGTGATAATTTGCACGGCGGGAGATCGCGTGCTCGCTTACTCAAGGAGATTTCAAGGAACTTCCATACGTTGTCTGTATTGTCCAGAATGATCTTTAACCACCGATAGAGTTATTTACAGTGTGCCCTTGTGTCCATTTACCGGGAACCCCCAAGCCTAATTGCGCCAGTCAACTCTCATTATAGTACAAATGAGTAATAGGAAATTCAATCCTTTGATAGCGTTCCTTTTCTCTCCGTTCCCTTCCTGTATTCGACCAGTTTCGACACTGCCCACTGTCTCTAGCACCCATAGTCAACGTCTAAACAATTCTCTTATATGAAACCCAATAACTATTTCTTATTTCTTTTCAAAAAATCTATGGAGCTAGATGTTTTTGTATAACTCTATTTTGTCGTTACAACAACAACTTATTTATCTTTTATGTCTTCCCTTCTTATTTTCCATTTTCTTGTTTCTTCAGTATTCTCTTCTTCTTCTTCTTGTCATTATAGCATACACTAACACTGTTCTCCTCTTTTTTCTACCGCTTTCTACCGTTTATCCCTGTTCTGGTGCAACAAAGACTCCTCCATTACTTTACACTTCTATTTCCTTTCCATAATCTCTTTCTCATCTCGTCTTTCTCTTTTTCTCTTTTCAAAATGTTCAATCTGTGTCTTTTTTTCCCGTTTCCTCTGTCTCTTCCGTGGTCTTTCTTCTACTATCGCACTATATCTATGTCTATCGCTGTTTCTTTTACCTACATCATGTCTACATCCACCTCTTTTCTACCCCGCTCTCCCTCTCTCTCCCTCGTTTCCCCTCTCCCTCTTTTCCCCTCTCCTCCCCTCCTCTCCTCTCTATCCCCTTCTCTCTTTGTCTCACTGCTTCTGTCTTGTCTCTCTTGATCTCTTCACATTTGTCCTCATTAGTATAGGTACTTGGTTCTTGTATATACCAAAAGCTATATTCATCTATGTATCAACATCGCATGTTGCATCCTACTTTAAAGGTACTATGTCCCATTTGCAGGCCAAACAATGAAAAGGTTAAATTCCAACGGCATTTGAAAGATAATACTAATTTAGAACTTCCCTAAAAAAGGTGGGGCTTGAAAATGTGTTCAAGTGGGAAAATAACGACTATTAGTTGTCAAATCGACTTAGGAGCTATAGAGCCAATAAGTAATAGTCTTGATTTTCAGACAATTGTACCGAATGGTCATGCGTTTTATGCTGCGCAAAGATTCAATCAGTTTACTTTTGGCTATCACAAGAAGTGGGTTATTGATGTAGACAAATGCTCATGTACCTTTTACATCTCATTTTATGTATGTTATTACCAAAGAAGAAAAAAGCCAGTCAGTCGCTCAATAGTGTCTGACAGTGAAGTCTAGCAATTAAACGGTTTTCCTTGCATAATTTGAATATTAGGACACTGCTAACGTTTAAATTTCACAGATAGGACATACATGACATATTCATAATTCCTGCAAAGTTCTACAGAATTTGATGTTGGCTGCAAAAGGGACATAGTACCTTTAATATCATTCGCTCAGTGCCCTCGTGTAGTATACGACGTCCAAGTCTAATTAAAGATGTCAAATTCCATGCAAGACCTCGTCAATATCATACGGTCGACATTTATTATTCGTTAATATTGCACCGAAAGTTGTTGTTCCTCTCCGAAAATGACATGAACAATTGATAGTGCGATACAGGGGGGATGAGATGGGGGAAAGCTATTTAATATGTCCACGGAAAATTGTTCGCATCCCGAATTTGTAAACCTTTAGGAGATTATATTGAAATGATATGAGAACGGTTTTCGAATATGTCAATTTACGACATATATTGTGCAGATTCACTGACAGAATTTTGAAGGGATAAGTAGTTTCCAATGCTTACGTTACCCTCTAAGTTATTTCGTATGTTCAATAATTTAAAAAGCACGCATACGGGCTTACTTAAGATTTATTAGACAGCGTTCTAATTTCACCGGTTCGTATCAGACACGCTTTACACATCGGACTTAAAATTTATGACTACTCAGCTCTTCGAGAACTGAAGTCTGAAATTAAACTTGAGTTTGGCTGGGGAGATTTTCACACGGAGGGTGATGTTGATATTCGCCGCTTTCCGAGATCTCAGGGGGAGGAACGTATACCCCCTCAACAGCTCTCAGGTAGATGGCAGTCTTTTTATTAACATACCCGGTACGGTTCACAATCAGCCATCTGATATTCATCTTCTAACACTTCTGAAGGAATGGCAACATATAGGAAAAACGTATATACACAAGAGGGGTAAGGCGATTTAAAGAAAATAAAGTATCTGAATGTACATTATTGTTATGCGGTGATGTAGATACAAAGGGGTACAGGTGTACGTGTGCCCCAACAATAGCAAAAAACAAAACGACAGCAACAACAAGAACAGAGAAATAGAATGACATAACGAAAACAGGGAAAGAGAGAGAGAAGTAAGGAAAAACGGGAAATGCTATATAAAAAGGAGATGGTTGCATCTCTTTATAAACCTTTAAAAATTATTCAGTATAATAATGTTGGTTCTGGACAGGCCACTTGCGGTATCTATCACAGCTCTCGAATCAGCAATACTATGTCATTTTCAAGAAACAAACTCTCTTCCTCACGTAGCAAGGCCTACCCATGTTTGGGTAATGATAAAGTACTGGCCAACTTAATTCTTCCCTTTGTAATATGTCAGTAAAACTGTCTTAACGTATTTCTTTAGCCCCAATCGATATTTCGAAACCTCCACTTTTACGATTGTTCATGCTTTAAAAATCAATGATACGTTCGACGTGCCCACTGCTATAAATACGTGCATTTGGGGAAGTAGTTAAACAACACTAAACGTCAAAAGCTAATGTTACTGATGGTGGGGATATACAGACATCTTAATACCATTTTCTTGAAAGATATACATGTAGAGGTGTATACCGGCTTCTCTAACAAAATCAGTAAGTACATATTTGCTGAAATTAGTCGAATTTAAGGCTCTCTGAACCTAATGCATGTAATATTTATAGGCGTATTGGGCATTCGCTGGGTTGGATTTGTGTCCATTATAAGCGATATATTCATCTTTGATTGTTTACAGTTATTTTTGTCAACTATGAATTCCAGGAATTATTGAAGAAAGCAGTGATTCATGTACTGACGGAAACTATTCTCTACTTTTCTATCGTTTTTATAACTCTTATACGGCCTGCCTCTTTCAATACTGTATTCATGCCCCAAACGATAGAATGGTTACGCCCCCATCCGATCATTACTTTGATCCTCTATGTATCCTCTATTCGGAGCTAGAAGGCATTATCTATATTAAAGTTTAAGAGATATACTGCCCCTTTTGCTTTCACCAGACGATGTGAAAGTGATTTGGGTCAGAGTTCAATTCGACCCGAATAAAAATAAACTTTCTTTGATCCAACATAATGAGCTCCATGTGCTCTAATCCATGTCCCTTGTTTGGATGTTGGCCCCAAACCAAGGAGTATTTTTTCCTCTAACTTCTTGTCCAAACTATACCGTATTATTAAGAGAAAGGGTACTGTCAAAATACAACTCATTTTGTATATTTATTTCATAGGGCTATACTAAAGAAAGCGAAAGCGTCTATGTTAAACGCTATGACTGTATACAACGGGGACATGGTTATATCAGTGGCGGATGGGGGTGGGGGGGGGGGGAGGCTGTGTCTAATGAGACCCAATTGCACAACATGTGTCCCTCAATTATTGTGTTTTTGTTCCCATCTTCAAATTGTAGAACCCAATGGCCCCTTAAAAATGTGCTCCCTTTTCCAAATTGTACACTGTACCACAACACGCCATACACAACTTATCTGTACGCTATTGCCAATAACTGAAGCGGATCAAGATTGCATATTTTTTTAAATGGGGACCCGTGGTAGAAAAAGGGATATAACAATCTCCTCGTTTCGTATATAGATAGATACATTTCCAGGGAGCGGCGGCCAATTTAATTCTATTTTGAGATCCATCCTTGAATGATACGTCACAGATTGATTATTGAATTAATGTTCAGCCTGTCATATACAAAGCAGTAGTAATGGAACTTGTACATGTATAGACGTCTAGAATACGAATTCCCAAATGTATTTATTTCGTAGTTCAACCATGTATAATTTACTTCCCTACATTTTCCCTTCAAAATATTAAAAACGCTGATTTTAATGCACCACTTTCCAATGTCGGATCACGTTTTTGTATATCTTCCATGAAAGTTGAAAAGAAAACTCGTTTTGATAACTTACACAGAGCTAGTAAGTGGCACATGATTGCATGAATACAAATTATTTTTTATTATCGAGGGCACGTCGCATGGTTTTGTCACGTAAAAGCCATTTGCCAGAGGTAATAACTGCTCCCAATTTCAAGACTGCCAATTAAGATTCAATGGCCCATGCGGCGTTTCATAAATTATTTCATTACATTTTATAACTTTCAAGAGTGGCGAGTCCGTCAGTGCGGAAAGGAGGGGGAGGGGGTGGCGCATAATAAACATTTCATAAAAAGGGTGAAAAGGGGTTTACATGGGCAGTTCCGAAGCCTTAACAAAATTCTTTTTCTTGTCTTCTTACCGAGGTGTTTTATTTCACATATTTCATATATATTAACATTAATTTACATGTTAACATAATTTAAAAAGACAAAATTCTTTGAAAACATGGTTATAATCTTGACATTAAAAAAAAAATTATTTGTGTTTCGTCAATAAAAAACTTTGCTCATTTACGATATTGTATCGTAGTTTTAGTTTGAAATTAATGAACGGGCTTTTGCTATTGTGCTCTCTACCATCATACCGAAATTGAATAAAGGCCTACATTATGTATTGGCCTAAAATTAGCATTAATTTTATCACAAAGTTTTTCTTTTTGTCAATAAAATAACCTTTAAATAATACTTTTTCATTTATATTTATTTGTTCATGAAAGTAATTATAAAATAAGTTTTCAATAATTTTCCAAAAAAAATCGAACCTTGTTACATTTTAATAAGACATAAAAAGTTGTTTCTGTTTCCTTAAATTATCACACTGGTCGTTTTCAATTATACGCCATCTGCATAGACTATGGTTTGAAGGGAATATATTAACAATGATTTACTTTATATTCTGGGCTATAAAAGTGGCATATGCAAATTATTTATCATCATTTAGTTATTTATGTTCTATAATTATGTGCAATTCTATTATCATTCTTCACTATAATCACTGTTCTCTTTTATTCCCCTTGCGCTGTCCACAGGACACGATCGTGATGAATTGCTGAAAGAGGCTTGATACTTGAAGGAACATCGACTATCTAGACACCAATGCTTGGTATGACAACAATAGCCTGAACACGATTCTTCGAAACTTCACTGTTGAGTAAAGCTTTGATATTCGGCTAGTCCCTGGAAACTCGTCATGGAGGAGCTGAAAGTGATGTACCAAAAGCGGACACATGAACAGATCAAATTCCAAGTATACGTCATTCCAATTTAAATTCAGCTGACATTAGAGCAGTAGAGTGACAATATATACATCAGGATTGCTTCAAAATAGGAAAGAGAGACGGAGGATTTTCGCAAGTTTTATCCACCTGAGGTGTTCATACTGTCGTTAGATCGTGATGAAGATGCCGTTTGGGAGGCTGGACTTTTCTTCTCGCGCGCACGTTTAAGCGATAGTTTCGCACCCGCTAATGTTCTGCGTGTGCAAGCCACACTTTAAGAAGTCGCAAAAGTTGGTTGGCGAGTGTGTTCAGCTTGCCCGTCGCGCGTATATCGTCTGCAAATCGTGACACACTGAATAGGCTTATGCCGATGTTATCCGGTTTCGGCCCCAATACCGAATTCACCTGGTTTGGATTATATACTGCTACATCCAAAACATTTTCATCGAATATCTCTGCCTAAATCCTTTTCTACCGTCTTCTACTCCATTTCAAAGCTAAAATGACGGAAGGAGCAGCACGATCATCGCTCATTCAGCGCAAATGTGGATATTTCCTGAATTCAACGATGTTGTTACTGGTCTTAGCTACTTTACTGATCATTGCGAACTATGGCAACGCTGCGGATAATCTCTCGGGAAGGACAGGCGACGGACGGGACGGAAATACGCTTCGATCTTCAGAAGATGAAGACGTAGAGAAGAAAATCTTTTCCAAAAAACCCAGAATGAACAGTAACGACGATGCTGATCTAATGCTAACTGAGGAGGACGTCGATAAGTTCGATGATTACTTCGTTGATGATGATGATGACGAAGGATTCGATGAGGGTGTTGAAGTCGAAGATGATGTCCTTGATCGCAACGATGATGAGAGTTCAGAAGAGGTCCTCGATGAAGATGATCTTTGGCTCTTTCAATACGATCCAGTAGAGGTAAGAAAACCTTTTCCTATTAAAACTTCGATTTCTATAAGCAACTTATATAAACAACTACGAAAATATACCGTACATGACAGGAAAGTTGTGTTGAAACTAGACCTCGAATTATATTCATTTATATAACGTTTTATCATAATTTATACGAACACATATTATTACCACAGTTTTCGAATTCATCTGTGCATTATATTTACCGTGATTTTGGCACATTCAGCCATCACATATTATTATTATCTTCGACCTGTGGTTTCCTCCCATTTAGGCTATGTCAGCTATCTCGCGCGCGCGCTCGCTCCCCCCTCTCCACTCTCCCCCTCTCTCCCCTCTTTACTCTCCCCCTCTCTCTGTCTCTCTCTCTCTGTCTGTCTGTCTGTCTGTCTCTCTCACTCTCTCTCTCTCTCTCTCTCTCTCTCTCTCTGTCATATGGAAACCTGGCGATCATAACAAAGAAACACTTCTATCAAACCGATCTTTTGGAGGACACACTTCAAGATCCTTAAAAAAGAAGAGCATTTGATGGCGCGTAAACTTGCTTAAACTTTACTCACCAAATGCCAAAACTAAGAGGCAAATTTGTCACAAAGGAAGCCAAGCATAAACATCGTAAGGGTGCAAGCAAAATCAAACAAGGGACGTAAACAAATAGCCCTGCATCTCGAGTAGGTCTCGCTTCGCATTGAGTCTAAATTTTGCATTAATACTACAGTAGCTCAATATTATGAGTCAGTACCTCTATTCAGCTGGGAATCGTGCTCTAATTCGTCGTTGGGGGGTGCCCAGCATGATGATGTGGGTTGGTATTCCAACCATTTCAAGACCCCCGTAGACGTCAACCGCTGAACCAATTATTGAAAACGAGAAATAAATAAACGAAAAAAAAAAAAAAATCCCCGATACGCCCAGAAGAAAATAAAACAAGAGATAAATTGTGTGGTTGTTGTTTTTATTTCCGAAATCAGATAAACCGTCCCTATTTCACGAAGTGACGGTAGTGAGGAAAATCGTAACGCAAAGTGAATGCATTTTTTTTCTCACTACCGTCACATCGTGAAAACAGCGACGAAACATACTATACAAAGAAAAATATACAAAATGAAATATTAATACAAGTACATAAATAACAATTAGAGGAAAGCCCAATTCAGCAATGTTTATAGAACGTTACTGTTCTTCCTTGGGGTCCTTAACATAGATAGAGATGGATAGAGAGGGAGGGAGGAAGAATGAGAGAGAGAGAGAGAGAGAGAGAGAGAGAGATTTTCCTAGGTTTTATTTGAGAAGATGTGATGAATGGTTATAACCTTGCCACAAATGGCGATGTTACATGGCTTTTGCCAGCAATCGATTTAATTTCCGTGAATTAACCTCAATTGGCAGCCCCTAGCAGGTGCACACCATGAATAGGCATAATTGCTTCATACAGTTCCTTTGGATCGTGAAACAGATTACAGCTTAGAATTTTCTTCACACTTCTATTTTGCCACACATATTATTTGTATTGACGTCTCACTATGTATATGACGGACAAAGAAAGAGGACAAAATATACAGTTTCTCAGGTAGACAAAGGAACATCCCTTCACTGCTATTATGTAAAAATGTGTAGAACAGGAGAATATGCATGTGACACCTGTTCTACACATTTTTACATAATAGCAGTGAAGGGATGTTCCTTTTTCTACTTGAGGAACTGCATATGTTGTCCTCTTTCTTACATAACGACACTATCGCTTATAGACCGGTTTACTAGCATATTCAAATTTATGGATGTTTCTTTCCTAGGGACCTTGGGACGAATTATGAAATCCTTGGAATCCAGTCTGCATAATATTACTTGTTGGTATGTCAGGCAAGCCTCGGGCAAGCTTTTGGGTTGTCAAGAACAACGTTTGTTAAAGATACTATGTCCCTTTTGCAGCCAACATCAAATTATGTAGAACTTTGCAGGAATTACGAATATGTCATCTGTGAAATTTAAACGTTAGCAGTGTCCTAATATTCAAATTATGCGAGGAAACCCGTTTACTTACTAGACTTCACTGTCAGACACTATTGAGTGACTGACTGGCTTTTTTCTTCTTTGGTAATAACATACATAAAATGAGCTGTAAAGAGTATACATGAGCATTTGTCTACATCAATAACCCACTTCTTGTAATGGCCAAAATTAAACTGGTTGAATCTTTGCGCAGCATAAATCGTACGACCCTTCGGTACAATGGTCTGAAAATCAGACTATTACTTACTGGCTCTATAGCTCTTAAAGGAAACCTAAACCCAAAGAATAAGTGTAGGTATTCTGAAAAATGAGATGTATTCCTGCCCTTTGATGTACAATATTCCTTCAGAAAATGTACAAGATATATATAAATGAAGATATTCCTGGCATGATGTGATGCCTTTCAGCATGACATGGGCGCAGCCATTTTCTTAAAAATGTGACGTATCTGTTGAAGTTGTACATGTATCATGCACCAAGCTTTAGTTGGAAAGAATTTTTAAATTAATAACGAAACCTTTACTTTTCAATGAAAAATAATAATAACTGAGATGATAGAAATTATATTAGGTGAAAAATAAATAACAGGGGCACAATTGTAACAAATTCATTTATAAAGACTACACCATAGCAGTTGACAAATCTATTTCATTTATAGGAAACCTTCGCCCCAGAAGAGCACTGACTAATTTATGCAATTTGCATTCTGGCAATTATAGTACACTGTACAAAGGATAATAGCAGGTGAATGAAATGCTTCATCACCACACACATCTGGGAAAGAAGCATCCATAAATTTGAATACATTTACTTGATAAACGACTTCGCATAGTACGTCACATTATCAAGAAAATGGCGATGCCCATGTCGTGCTGAGAAACTGTACTTTATTTTTGCTTTACACCTCTCTCATACACTTTGGTGTGGAATCTTCGATGTATGGGTAATAACATAATAAATCTCTCATAATAAGTAAAGTTATTACTTGGGGTTCGGTTTCCTTTAAGTCGATTCGACAACTAATAGTCGTTATTTTCCCACTTTAAGACATTTTCAAGCCCCCCTTTTTTGGGGGAAGTTCTAAATTAGTATTATCTTTCAAATGCCGTTGGAATTTAACCTTTTCATTTTGGGGGCCTTGCAAAAGGGACATAGTACCTTTAAGGAAGTAGGCATAACATTAGAATACATTAGTAAACCAGTCTGTTGGCACCTGGACAACAAAGTGTTAGATATTATCTTATGCACTAAAATATGACATAGTCATGACAATGAGAATATACATTAATTAGGCCCATCCCAATAACTCAGAGGCACTTAAATATTTAAGCTATACAAAAACTTGAAGGGATTGTTAGATTATAGATCATAGTTCTTTGAAGGCATGAACGAGAAAGTAAAACATTACAATAGTCGGCGCTTCTAAATAAATTCAGGGATTTAAGAACAAAACCGCTTTTGGCGCAGATTTAGTCAAATATCACAACAAATCACAGAAAATCTTTCGTTTTTGGCCCCTGGATATTGGGAAGACAAGGCAAGAGTCTTCTTCAAGACTGTGTTCCAGATATTATGTCACCGACTTGAGTATTAGCCACCGGATCAGGAAATATGTTAATTTCACGAACTTTCGCGCTCTCTCTCTGCCTCACATTCCTAATCTTTCCTCGAAAATTCAGAAGAATTAAGTGCGATATGATGCAGTCCCGCTAAGCCGCAAGTATAAGCTTGTGTAATTCTAAGCATCTTTGGAGGTTGCGGGGTACTACTAAATGTTTCTTCAGCCTTTTCGATGCGATCCGCCAAACCGCAAGTGGGTTCAACTAATATTGTTGTTAGCATTAGTCTGCGGGGGAAGGGGGGGGGGGGGACATAAATATTCCTTCCAAGCTTTTGTGCCGAAACCGGAGAAACAGGATTGTAACTATTATAACCAGAAATGCTTCGAATCCGTTAATGATTTCAGAAGGTGAATTTCTGTGTCCCGTACGACATATGTCATCTATCAATCTAGTACGTTCCAAAAATATAAGGCTTCTTGATGTGATCACTGACTATGTTATGGTTCTTCCTGGTGTCACAAACATTATTTAATAGTCATATCAGGAGATTTCTCATTTTTGAATAAAATAATGAAGAAAAATGCAAAATGTCGTATACGGGACACATTGCACGCAGTCGCGAAATAGACGATTCGCAAATTATCTCATGATTAAAATGTATAATGCATGCCCTATATGTGTGGAGTTGTATCGTGGTAGAGTGGATAGGTCACCGGGCTGTGGTTCACAAGGTCCGCGGTTCGAGTCCCGCCACAGCACTAATGTTCTTTGGCAAGATATTAATCTTAATTTGCCACACTCAACCCAGGTGAGGTGAATGGGTGCCTGGTAGGACTATTCCTCGAAATGCGCTGTGCGATGATTACAGCTATAGGGCAATAATTTCCAAAGCTCTTTGGAAGCGCATAGAGACGTTGTATAATATGATATGCGCTATACAAGAACCGAATATTATTATTATTATTATTACTATTTCCTTAGTCATATCAAGAGAGAAAATAATGGAGGATTAAAAGAGTAAGATGATCAGAATCATGATGCATCTTTAGTAAAACATGGGCATTTCTGGGGAGGGGGGGGGGGGGGTTGAGTGTGTAACCCACTATTTAAAGGTAAAGATCAGTTATGGTCATGCGATTGCATTGTGAAAGAAACGTTGTGGAATCGATCAGAAAAGGTTGATCATCTAGCATCTAGCATCTGCAAGGTTCTGGAATCATCAAAATGATAAGAAATTTGGCCCATTCTTCGTAAAGTTACAAGCACTATACACAGAAAGATGTATATGGGACTACCCTATATCTCTCACAGACCACGAGAGAAACAAATTTACCAAATATATGAATTAGTAGGCGGTTTCCCGGCAAATTTGTTATCATCATGTATTAGTCAAAATATATTCTTTCACATGATTGGTAATGAGAGCTTCCATTTCATTTTTTGGAATTGGGGCGTTTCCATTACTGGTCTTTACCTTTAAACTACTTTCGGCAAATTATCGAAGCCATTCAAAACAAAACAAATCAAATCAAAAAAAATTGTTGAACTTTTTATAACCTTGACGGAAATTTGAAAATCTAAGGTCTGTCTGTATTTTTGTTTCTGCGAGTTGGTAAATTATCTTTAAATACAATATCGGCGAAATTGGTCCGTCAGCCCTTTGAACATGAGGAAATGGGCCTATGGCCACCCCCGCATCAGAAACGAATACTCCCATGGGATGATGAAGGATATTGAGGGGAGGTTTGATGATATCATCTTTCATGTCCAATATCCCTCTCATTATTTGGTAATAAACACGATAAAGGGGCGGTTCCGTCGCTGTAAAACATCAGGATGGGGGCAAGGCGTCGCTAGAACATTTTTATGTGGGAGGGGTGTCGCCGACAACTTTAGGATTAAAAAAAAGAGGAGAGGTGGAAAAAGAAATGTTCACATCAATTCACCTGCTCATTGTCTCAGCGTTGCCCGAAAATTATTTCAAAATTATCTTTCAGCATTTTAGCCAAAAGATGTATCATGTCCATGTATCGTGTTACCAACCCCTTATAATCTATATATAGGGACCACAAACCTCCTTTCGCTAAGGTGTCTTTTAAACCATTGATCATATTGTTTTTTGTTGAAACTTTATGCCAAATTGGTATGTATTTATACAAACGTTATACGTGATTAGACGATCAAAACACTCGTCTTTCTCGTATTATTAAATATTTGCCATTAATTGATTTGGGAAAATAATGCAAAATTGTAAGAACACAGACACTTAAAGAGAGGAACAGAGAGAGAGAGAGAGAGAGAGCTAGAAAAAGATACAGAAAAGCACAAGCCACAAAACAAGCACTCGAAAAAAATTACATTATGAAACAAGTCAATATAGACGTCATTTGGTTTATAACTATTGCTCTTATTTCAATAACATCTTTATATGTCCACGTTTCGTCCAAATTACACATTGTAAATGTCAAGTATACTTCTGATACTCCACACATGCCAAATATTGCTTTTAAACTACTAGGCTCAAATGAAAAGGATCATTTTCCCTGTGTTTTCATCGAAGTCATTAATTTTGATCATATTGTTTTATTTGTCAGTTGATATGGGTGCCCCGGTTTTTCTGACTGGTCTCACGTTTCATTTTTTTGGATTTTCATCTCACATGACATGCATGACGCAATGCACGTTCATTGGTATCTTGACGTGCGTTACTTCGTCTCTGCACGTGACTTGACTTTTTACATTATCCTTTTTTTGTTATCCCTCCATGCTTCATTAATGTTCTCCTCATGTTTTCAAGATTCTTCCTTTCTTTTTCAGTTTCCCCCCTCTGTATGTTATATTGTATTTTTAGAAGATGTTAGCGATATCCCAGTATTCCCCATATGACACGTTCATTGGTTTGGAATGCAATGAAACATTTTTCTTTTGCAGGTCCGTTTAATAATTGAGGATGCATAACTTCCAATGATGTTGTTATCATCTTCATTATTATTATTGTTATTTATCATTATTAACATCATCATCATCATCATCATTATTGTAATCGTTCTCTGTTGCTATTATTACTATTCCCCCCTTTTTTTTTGGGGGGGGGGGGGGTGGAGGTGGGTCCTTTCTTATTTCACCATGCGTAAATGATTATTACTGCGCTTCTCTTACTTTTTGTTTCAGCAAATAGCCTTGGTTCCTTTTGGGAGGAGGAACTAAATTATGTATATTGAGTAAAAAATGAATGTATGTACGCGTCCTCCACAAAAAATTGACAAGAGTTGGTGATATCAAAGGCCACATGAAATTATATTCTAGTATCTCGTCTCCTTCTCTTACCTTTTTTTCAGCCCGCCTCAATTTTTCGGTATTATTTGACGATTTCTTTTTTTAAATGAAATGAATAAACTAAGCAAGGATTTGATGATATCTAGTTTGAAGTTTGAAGTTTTGAAGTTTTATTTATTCCACATTTTACATAGAAAAACAGTTTATATTCTTTAAAAAAAAAAAATTCACACAGACGTATATTATTATAAGAGTAGATTTCACACAATTTTTTTGTTCTATAATTTTGTTTTTAAAGATTTCAAAATCAAATATATAATGTACGGAAAATGAGTACGAAATTTCGAAATATGTATATATAACAGGCTGGGTAGAACAATGTAAAATGTGGGGAGCCTAAATAAAATATATTGTATGTGAATAGGCTCCCGTCCTGGGTAACACAATATAGTAGGTCTTGATTTAAAAGGTATTATAGGAGGCAATTATATAACATAAATATGTAATTTAATGCAATTTCCAGTTGTTTTGAGCCCTTAAGGTGCATGCACAAATCAAATAATATTAACAATAGCATTATTATTAATATTATTACAAGAACAAATCTGGGCCGACGAGAAACTTAATTTTTACTTGGCCTAACGTTATCACCCTTTTTTTTTAAAGGTTATCATATCTCCAATCTCACTACTGCCCGTGAGGCAAATTCACAGTGATTGATCTGATAATATCATCTCTGCGTCACGTGGTTTTATTCATTTTTTATCATATTGGACAGGTTGGTCACGTGCAAGACATAGAAGTGGAAGACGGTGCCGTCCTCAAGATGAAAACACTGGCCGTGAATCCGCCAATATTCGGTAAGAAATTAATCCTGTGGTGAACATGATATTGATCCGAAGAGATTAAAGAGAAATCTATAAATATTAACGGGTTCTGTTTCCGAGGTCTTAACTATTCGCATTCAGCGTTTGAGCTAGTGGCTTGATGGGTAGGTTTATCAGGACCATTGGTGACCATTGATATATATGACCATTGAGGCGTAGAACCATTGAGTTAGAGAAAGCATTGAGACATATTACCGTTGAAATATAGGACCAATGTTGAAGCATTGGTTCATTGATGCATAAGACCATTACATGGAAGGCCTTTGGGAGTGATCCTTGAGATGTAGGAAGCATTGGGACATAATAAGAGTACCGAAGCTGTGACGTCATAACTTTCTATTTTTAGAATTTCTCAATTTTTTCTTCATTTTCTGATAGAGCATAAAAAATAATGTCCAAATGTTGAAAACCAATTTAATATGTTAAGTATTGGCTGAGGTATGACCATCTGAATGAATATATTTCCTATACTTGCTCAGTGTTATATGCTCTGGCTCCTAATGGTTAGGAGCCAGAGCATATAACACAGAGTTCCCATAGGCGATCTTTTTATTACATAACATACTAACATATTCAATTGGTTTTCTACATTTGGACATTATTTTTATGCTCTTTCGGAAAATGAAGAAAAAATTGAGAAATTCTAAAAATAAATTTTTAATGACGTCACACTTCACCACTCTAACCGCTGAGATATTGGACCATTTAAGGCATAGGACCATTGATGCATAAGACCATTTAGATATAGGACCATTGAGACTTAATGCCATTTACAAAGAGGGCCATTGAGACATAGCACCAGTAAGATGTAGGGCAAATTGTGGAATGTGACCATAGTTGGACAGACGGGCAGAAGGACGTAGGGTAAGTGGAATGCAGAAATGATAGGACGTAGTAGGCCTACCATGGTTGAAATCAGTGGGACATCCGACCAGTGAATCATAAGCATAGTAAAACATAGGCACCGGACGTGGAAGGATCCGTGAAGCCATAGGAGAAATTAAATTATACTTTGGACCATTATGAGGAAAAGAAACAAAACTCAAGCATTAGAGAGTCAAGCTCAATGTAGAATAGGAGTAATTGTCCATGATATCATATATGAGTGCCATCTTATATGAATGTATATTATCTGGTGATTGTCAGAAGGTCGCCCATTCTAAATGACTCTAACGTAAGATAAGTTTAGGTCCATCTGGCTATCACCAGATGTTATCGTTTCCAATTTCTTGCAGAAATCAAAAACTTTCTCAGCTCCGAGGAGTGTGAACACGTGAAGGCTCTGGCCGTCAAGAAGGGTCTCCAGACCAGTCTCACCGTGCCCGAGAAGCCGACCCTGACCGAGGCGGAGCAGGAGGAGGCACGGGAGTACTTCGGGGAGCTGGACCAGGACGAGGACGGTTTCATGAACGGGACTGAGCTCTATGAAGCCGTCAAGTTGTTCCCCAGCGCACAGAAATTCAATCTTACGACAGAACATGTCGAGGTAAGGTCTGTTAAGAGCCAGAACAATATTAACCTGTATCGATTTGCAATAATTGCAATAGTATAAAAAATGAACACTAAGATATGCAAAATCTCAATAATCGGGATGCTGAATAATTATATGAATAATGAAGTAACAAAGTTAGGGAAGTGTAAACTTCCTTGAAAGAGGAAACTCATTTGAAGCTGATTTGGTTTTAATCCCATCTAAAAAGCATAATTGTACTTAGATTATGATAGTCACGTTTTCATATCATTATTTAGAATGTCAATTTGGAATATGATATTTGTTAAATTTTCATATCCAATGATGGTTTCTTTTAAAATCGGATCGCAGAAAGATCGCAAAGTGTGCGGTGGGCTTTGGATTATTCACGATTTAATGTCATTTGTGGCCGGAAGTTTTGGACAGTGTTTTATGCAATATAGACAATTACCGGCCTGTCATTTTCCATCCGATCCAGGAACTTATCAAGGTCAAGTTGGACAAAGACGGTGATGGTCTTCTCGACATCGACGAGTTCCTTGAAGCTGACACACCGGCCATGGAAGAGGAGATCGACAAGTGGTTCGTGGTCATCGGCAACCTGGGTGAGAACGAGATCAAGAGAAGCCAGCCGAGGGTCAGCGAGCAGGCGTGGCTTGACCAGTGGACTACAGAAGATGAGGTTCTTTTACGACTTCAAGACAGGTAACGTAGACGGGTTATGAAGAAATATACCTGTTCGTGCGAGAATCGAGTTTAAAATCCCAGTTTTAACCTTTAAGTGCCTGAAAAAAATTGGCGCATACATATTTGATTAGACTGCTCACCCAATACGTAAACGTCATGTCTTCAAAAAAAGTCTCTCCTTACCAGCCCTCAAAGAAATACAAATCTTTATAGGTCACACGCTCTTCATGTTGCATAAGCAGGGCTTTGGAATATGTTGTCAGAATATATCAACAATTAGGATACTGTTGAAAACTTTAAAACATGTCATAAAACTTTTTTTTATGGAAAGGATTGTCAATGTTTCACAAAATGAACGCCAGTTTAACAGCAAAGCTCACGTTTTTGTTTTATGCATTAACACTGAAGATAGTCTTTTCAAAATGTTTTGAACTTATAAATTGTGGATGCTTCCTTCATATGAGATGGGATAGTGTTCCGAAGACATTGACAACTAGAAAAACCTTCCTATTATACATTTTAATGACTTAGAGAAACAGCTCCGTACTTCTCCCTCATACAGGGTGATCGGTCTAACGTTACTGCCAAGCTCAATCATCCAAACGAGTGAACACCTTCAGGTTAGTAAACAGTCCTCGTCAAATATACTTACCCTTTTATTCGCAATAAATAATTCAGATCTTGCCCTTCTCATTCATGCGAGCTTCTTTTTTTATTATTTCATGTGCACAATATGTGACTAATTTATGAAAGATTTTGAAGATGCATGTTCTGAATATAGTTCTCGTCCGGGTTTAGTTTTAACCTTTGCCATTTTTACACTACATACTTAATTCTCCTACATCCCTTTCTATCTATATTTCTATCTTTCTATCTATCTATCTATCTATCTATCCATCTATCTAGTTACCCATCCATCCATCTATAGGCTGAGCATATATCTATCTATCTATTTTTCTATTTATCCATCCACAAATCTATATATTTAAGCTGAGCATCATCTATCCAACTTCTATCTATCTTTCTATTTATCTATCTATTTATCTACCTATCTATCTATCTATTTTTCTCTCTTTCCCATTCTTTGTCATTTTTCATTTTGTTCTCTTTCACCATATCTGCTATTGATATTAAACTCAACTCTTCTCTTTCTCTTCATATTTTCATTAATGTGCTATTTTCTGTTTAAGCCTCTCTTCCACTGACACTGTTGTGTAACATCCCTCGCAAATTAATCAACCCTCAATTTTCTCCTCTTCCTTCTGTCCTCTCCTCACTTCTTCCCTCTTTCACGAATTATGTCACTCATACATCCTCTGTCGTGATTTGTCTCACTTCATCCTTGCCACTCTAACCCTCTTCCATTAACACAACCATTCAATCAATCAATCATGTTTCCTTTTGAGAGCCACCCTGTCACACCGTTTCTTTCAGAACTTAAAGGTAATACAAAGTTTTGGGAAATTTTGAAAATTGGGTGGATAGTGAATCTTTACAATTTTGATATATGTGGATGCCCCTGTGGATGTATTATAAGCACTAAAAAAATTAGCCCCCAAAACACTTCTGTTTTCGAGAAAAATTGAATATAAAAATTAACCGGTGCTCCCGGTAAATTTGGATAAATTTCAAATAACGCCTACGGTCGTACAATGGTAGATGCGACCATGAAAATCTCAGAATATGTAGTTGGGATATATAATTTCCGAACGGGAATAGCTAATCTGTCGATTTTAGTCAAGAAACATTGTTTCATAGCTAAATTAATATCTTGACCTAGAGAGGGAGCTATACAACATAAAGAGTTTATTATTTATAATTTCATAACTTTAGACTCGATTTCAACCGCGACAACGATCAATGTTTATTGTAGGAACGCATATGCTTCCAATATGTTAATTTGAACCAAATTCATGACCCATACCAAAACTTTGTAATACCTTTAAGGGAGCGGTATTGCCATTTTGTCTGATCGCTGTGTTCCCTTTTTCCTGTTTCATCTGTCATTCCTTGCCATTATGATGACACAACTTGTCTTAATTTTCATTACGGCGTCCATGCATAGATACTTTTTGCAAGCCCGTCTTTTAAAGAGTTGCGATTGATCCGTATCAATCGCAAGTCCTCCAATCAATCGAAACTTTACAGTCTCCTATCTCTAATGTACATAGATGCGATTAATCGCAATTGTTTGTAAGACCGGGCTTAGGACTGTTGAAGTGTTAACCATCTTCTTCTATAAGGTATAATTTTAGAAAAAATACGACCGCATGGTAATGTTTGCACATCTCGAATGGTGACGTTCAATTGCCTTTTTAAACGTTGATTTTTTTCTTCTTCGAAAGTAGTTGTGAGCGTGTTGAAACTACACCCCTCTCATTTCTGCAATGTTCTTACGCTCCACCTGAATTATTAATACCCTTACGAATCTTCGTAATTTGTCTAAGTACGTGAAACTTTTTTGTCCCAATTTACGTTTCTTGAGAATGTGACATATCAAAGATTACATCTAAAAGTATTTAACAAGTGCCCTATATTCAACAAATCCACCTTTCATTCTCGAGTTTCGAAAAGCACACAAAAAGCATCGAATCTACAAGGAGTATAAATAATTCAGTATTTATTCTCTTCCGGCCTCCTCCTCCTATCACCCCACTACCAGGTGGTACGATATCAACCGGGTGGTCATTACCATGCTCACTATGATTCGGATGAACTAGACGACGACCTCGAGTGTTCACACACCTTCGGCATCGAAGACAGTGACGAAGAGAGGAGGTACCGCAACAGAGATGACTTTACACAGAAGAGACTCTGTAGGTAAGTCTTGGAAGAGACAGTGTATTGATTTTCTTTCTTTCGTAAATGTACATGGTTCCGTTGCCATGATGCCATGTGTTCCCTAATATTTTAAAGCGCCTTGAGCATTTAATTAGAATGGACAATGGCGCTATATAAATCTCATGTATTAGTATTATTATTATTAGTCTAGCTACTTATAGATTTGGGAGGCGGGGTGGCAGCTTAAGTTAATGGGCTGATTACCCACTATACAGAATAAGGTTTATCAGCGACAACACGTTCAAGAGAGTGATATAATAAAATGCTCTCATCTGTCTATAAGATCTGTTAAAATATAATATGGATGGGTGCAATCTGTTTTATAGCTCCAATATATGATATTATGATTTAATTTGAATTGATGTGATTTTAAGTGATTTGATTTGATTCGGTTTTGATTTGATATGGTTTTATTTGATGCACCACAACATCGTAATCACGAAATTTTAATACTAGTGGTGAAATTTTTGCTCTCTGTAATATTGATTGCCATATGATTAGTTTAAAGGAATGTCATCAAGAATTTAAGATAACAGAGTTACTTTGGAAAACAAAAATTACTACAATTATTTGTCAAGCACTCTCTCCAGCAGAAAAAATTAAAATCATAGATAGACAGAGCAATTAATTTTAAGAAAGAGAACTTGAAGTAGGGTATAACTAGAACAGGGAAGAGTTGGTTGGACAGACAGTTTGCCTACTCTATAAAATATTGAATTGTTGTGAATTGTAAACCATTCGTGCGAGTCAACGTCCATGAAATCAGTCAATGAATTAAACATCGTTTGATCCTCTTGTCTGGCGTAAACGTAGCATGATTTAAGAAGTGAAATGCAGGATCAGTCTCTAAAATAGTTTAAAGGGCCTTTGAAACAACATAATAAAGGATTGGTTCACTTCCCTACCTTTCAATGTTAAGGTTGATGTGGGGGGAGGGGGGATACCTTAGAGACAGATTGTCATATTGTTCTAAAAGTTGTTTATGTCTTATAAGGTAATGCTATCGACGAACATCATTCCAACAAATTGAATCTCAGGTTGCTCGTCATTAAAGCTCCTAAATGTAATATCGTTAATTCTATGAATTTTCTTCAAACAAATTCCAGGTGATTATAGTGACAGTTTCACAATGTTTTTTTTTTTGTATACAGACAGTAAGGGGCATCGATCCATCATCAAAAATCGAAGGGGGGGGGGGGGGAGGAGTTGAAATCCTACATTTTGCGATACTAATTTACACTTCCCTTGGATATAAAAAATTATACTTTTATTTAAAATCGATAACAATATCTTTGGGCTGGGAAAGGCGTATGTTTTACAAATCTTTATAAAAAAATGATGAAAGTTCAACATTGTGCGTGCACCTAATTTCTGACTTTAAGTTTTGTTTTGATAGATTGGCAACAGTACTTTACTATTTGAATGACGTAGAGGAAGGAGGCGGCACAGCATTTCCAGTCGCCGATAATGAGACTTTCACAGAGGAGGTAAATCGTAAAATGGAACCAGCTCTTGCTTAATAATTCATTTGCAAATCGCCTAAGGGAAACATTCTTTAATCATTTAAATCTTCATGCATCATGTCGATGCTAATGCAACGCATGTGTCATCGCCATGGTGTTAGCGAACCCCCCGGGAAATAGTTGATCTATTTGATGCAAATATATTCACCTATTTATTACCTTTTGAGAATGTGCGAGAGACGGTTGCTGATGGCAATTTATAGGTGATGATCATATCATGCGATTGGGATCAAATATTGCACGGAATTAAACAAAAAATATTTTGACTATTAACATGTAAAAGAGTTACTGTACCCAGCCCTTGAACAAAAAGCTTGTACATGTCATTCTAAATGATTCATAGAATATGATTATAGAATATGCGAATTTTAAAGTTTCCCATCCAACTATTATCAGTAGCGTATCCAGGAATTCATAAACTGGGGAGGAGGTCGGGGGAGGGGGACGTGGGCGGGGATGAGGCGGAATCACGTGCCTGAACCACCGGCACGCCCCATGAAAGTATTTTGGGGTAATTTTATTGCTGTGTACCTTTAAGCAGGACAGTTTTACTCTGACTGACACGCCCCCGTCTTTTTGCGTGTTTATGTATTTTCATGAATAAATTGTGCAGCATTCTAATTCATGGATTCATCTTCTGTCTCTTTATACCTTCCCCCGTTACTGCGTGCAACCAGTTTTATTCATCGTTTTTAAGTCATTATTCAGCAGTTTAATCTTCTATCTATATTTATATTCCTTCCTGATTGTGAGCAACCAGATGTATTAATTTAGAAGCATTTTGATTCGCGGCTCAATCTTCTATCTCTTTTGTTTTTATTCTATAGTCGCTGGATGAAATGCCTTATGACATCTATGATCTTTCCAGCCATTGCCTTAAGTCTAACGTAGTTGTACCACCGGAAAAGGGAAAAGCAATATTGTGGTACAATCACTATTTAGACGAAACAAGGGGTACGTTGGTTCCATTTGAATTTGAATTTTTATTCAGTAATTATAGTCTAGAAACTATTACGCATTGTCCCCTTTTAAAACACAGTTGATTTGGTGTTGATTACATGTAGTAATACGTATACACCTAATTTAAATATTGTTATGCGTTGTAAATTGTGATGAAAAAAATAATGCAGATCGAGACTTAAATTGTATTTCTATTAAAAAGATTACCAGAAAAGCAGTAATTGCAATGAAGTAGCGTTGAAAAAAGAAGATAACATTTATTGTACTGAACTGTGTTAATGATCATACTGTGTAGAATATTTGTAAAGGTGAAACTTTCCTCCATAATGGGTGAACCATAAATCTATCATTGATTGTTCTAACTAAACAAAAGGGTAAGATTAAAAAAAAAACACTGCTATTCGTTTTCTTCTTTAGAAAGAAATATATATTGTGCAATGTTGAACACGTAGAAGTGTAAATGTAAAACATAATAATCCAATACACAATATGTTTCATTGGCATACTTATGGATCTATATACGTGAAAGTTTTACTTATGATTTTATAACCTATGCAAATATGAAATCGGTAAGTCATGAATTCTATTCTAATACTTTCTATTGTGTTACCGTGGTTACCGGTTATATACACTCAATATAGTTTACAGGGGTAACAACTTTTTAGAAATATATTTGACTCACCTCACAATTTCCTCTTTTTCTCCGCCAGGGTGGATAGGTGAAAATCGAAACCATTCGTTACACGGTGGTTGTGACGTCATCAAGGGAACAAAGTGGATTGCGAATAATTGGATCACCGTGGACAACCACGTTGAAAGACAGATCATGTTCCACGACAAGTATTACTCGCTATTAGATCAGCAGTCCGGTGAAGCTCGGTATACGTTCACCCCTCCGACGGAAGCCGGAGAGTTGGCCGAAGGGGACGGAGGGGCGACCGATGATGAGACGGAAACTGACGAGCCGTTACGATATGGGGACGGTGATGACTTTGCGAAAGATGGAGGGTATGGTTCGGAAACCGAAGATACGCGAAGAGCTACCGAACAGATTGCATCCGACATCGATGAAAAGTTTGTAAAACGCCAAAGTCACGTTGATGGTGAGGATGAATTACATTCCTACGATCAAGAAAAGGAGAAGGAAGGAAAAGTGCAGAATGTATCTCACCGCAAAGCGAGAGAAAAGTTGGACGACTCAAACAAACAATCGAATCTTTTCTCGGGCCCGCGTAAAAGTGGGATGGAATTTCAAAGGAACGATGAATTATAGCACGGAGATGTAATTCAAGACTCGAGTTTCAAAGCAAAATACCTAAGCTCTCATGATTTGGTTCTACTATAAATGTAGAAATTAAAGTTGTTTTGTCACCCCTGAGAAAATAAGGGGGGGGGGGGGGGGTGAATGCTTTCTAACGTGGGCTCTGCTTTATAACGGAAATATATAATACTCTTGACATAATTTCAAGCGACAGGTAACATAGAGCAGCTTCCGGTGAATGCGAAGCCTCAAATTATTTTGATTAAATTAATAGATTTTTTCTAGGTGGGAATCACTGTTCTAACTATTCCGAACAAGGCATGTTTTTTTTCTTTTGAATATGAGAATCAGATATCGGTAATATTTGTAAAGAAATTTCGACAAGCATCCAGTATAGTAATAAAACCCAGGTGCTCGATCTTTAACAATAAACAACAAGAAAACAAGATCGAGCACGCGATGTTCATTTCCTGGGTGCAAGCCGAATTTTTTTTCAAATTGAAATTATTTTCCAGGAAGCCTAACATTCAAAGCTATCCGTAATATGTTTGTACCTCTGTGCGATCTAGAGGTGTACTCCATGTAACATCATATATTAAATTGCCCTTATTGTATAATTATGTTTCCTATGACATTATGATGAAAATTTGTTGTGCTGCATTTTGCAAACTGTTTTTGAGACGGGATTCTTCTCCTCAAATTTTGAACATGTTGAGCAGTTTGAATGACGACATTATGGGCATATTTTTGAGGCCCAACAAAATAATCATCCACAATGTTAAAATTGATCATGATGGGACAAATCATTACCCAATGTGTAAAGAATTTCTAAAGGTGGTAGAATAATTGGGTATTTTCTTCCCATTATTTCCCAAAGTGTACATATTCACTATAATCAAATTATATTGAATTAAACAACAGAATAGAGCTAGAGCCTTTGATTGCCCGGAGTGCGAAAGAAAGTTTAGTTCGGTATACATGTATTCAAGCGAATGAATTCAAGCTAGTGAAAACAACCGATTCTGCCGTTCCAAAAAATGTCATCGGGCTTCATCTTAGTTTCGATTGCAATGTCAGAAAAATGATCATTGTTTTTATTTGCGAGTTTATAAGGAATATTGCTGACTCCATAAACCAAGAAAGTGATCGTATTTGTAACCGAGTACAAAAAATACCTATGGCCTGCAAATTTTATTGTGTGTGTACGTGTTTTACCTAGAAGTACGTAGCATTTCTATTTTTCTAGAGAGATTTAGATTAACCGCGCCTTTCTGCTCTCGACTCACGTTTTATGCGCATGGTATAAATAATGATGGTGATGATCTGATGGTGATGGTGATGAACTGATCATATATTTTTTTTGACAAATGGGAAGTGCAATTTTTAGCTATACCGCGGATGGAGAAAAAAAAAGCTTACATTACTAATACCACATTTTGATACGTGCTTGTAAATATTTATTTTTGCTGATGGAAATAGCGAATCACATAGTACTTTGATATGCGTATGAAAAGCCCGAGTACTTGATTAAATGCTTCAATCATTCCAACGAATCAGTTTCTTTCTTTTAAACACGATCATATGGACTTTCAAGAAATCAAACTTAATGATATTTCAAATAGCCATGTTTGGTGATAAAATATATTGCAGTGACATATTTTATAATGTAAACATGATTGTTCTCCGAAGTTGATTTCTTGAGATTCTTTGAGATCCAGATTTGTATTGAAATGTTATTTACAAATGTGATGGTGTAGAGAGAGGGGGAGAGAGAGAGATAGAGAGAGATAGAGAGACGGAGGGGGTGGGGGTTGAGAAATGAGTGTGACAAAGATTGGAAGTGGGTGAGATAAAAAGACACACGCAGAGAGAAGAGAGAGATATTATATGGATGGATGGATGGGGGGAAGAAAAGACGCATGCAGAGAGAAAAGAGAGATGAAAAGGGGAGAGGAAAAAAGGGGAGGGGTTCATCTTGCAAAAGAAGAGAAAAACGCAAAAACATTGTGTTTGTGTCCCTCTCTTGATTTCTGGTACTAAATCCATCTTTCAAAAACAAATACAAAGAAACTTGAGTAGATCAAAAAACGCACAAATTGATTATTCAAACGTATCATGTTTATTAATAGGGAATGCAATTATTTTGCAAGCATTGGGTTATATGATAAATTTCAGGAATTGATATTTCATACATGATTTTGCAGCTCCTATGTAAAATTAGTCCACTTCTAAACACATATTAGGATATGACACATTTTACATAATCATGCAATTATATATATGGTGTAAAATCGTTCTATTACTAAAATCACAACTACTGTATAAAAGCTAAGAATAATCAAGGCATGATTTTCTATACAGGCTTTCTAAATATTTGTTTTTCTTCTTAAAAGATGTAATGGGAATGGCCGTTGTAATAATGAAATATAAAAAAGTTATGCATCCACTAAAAAGATGATTACAACCAATTAAGCTTTATCTGAAACCTAACATATGTATTGTTGTACAACCTCTTATAATGGAAGAGTGAAATAAGAATTCTAATAAGATTTTACCTTTACAAGTACTTGTATTAGAATACTGCTAAGGTAATAATATTGTGTAAGTGACGAGTAATATAGTGAAAAAAATCAAAATAATTGGTTTTCACTTCTTTTCAATATTTGAATTCTTGTTTCTACAGAAATTACATGAGCTCAAGAAATAAGTTTCTTTACATGACTTGAAGGAGATTACACAAATCTTTGGAAAGTAATCAGGATAGTATAATTAAAAAGCAACCCTTGCAGCATTTTTCTGAATACACAGAACAACATACGACTGGATCGCTTACTTCATTCAAAATCATATTCAAACACAAAATACATGTAGAATGGTACGACCCTGCATTCATTATAAACCTTGAGTCTTGACTCCTCGAAAATGAAATATGATTATTAGTTTGAGAAGGCCGCTATTCTGTTCCTCTTCCATAACATAAAGGAAATTACAGGTTATCTATTTGTACCAGCACACATACAATGTGAAATGCCCTAAACCAAATGATGGATCAGACGATTTTGTCTATTACACACATTTTTAAATCTCATTTTCCTGATGTATCTTGAGGTCTGATTTGATTTGATTATTTACCAACAGCAATACAGTAATAAATTTCATGCAATGATATTTACATATACTAGATGATAAAATATTGATTGGTAAAAGGGGCCAGATGTCATGTGATAGTCGAGCCTAACCCCTTACAGCTAAACAAAGTACACATGTATCTAAACCTGATGTAGTAACTTGTGCGTTAACTAAAAAATGTGATAAAATATACCTGAAGAGAAGCGCAATAAAACAAAACAGACACAAGATATAAGATAGTACTTTTCCTAATACATTTATAAGTAAATGGTAGAATACTTGCTTTTTATCAAAATATGCACGGATAAAATATATACTGAAGACTCAAATGTGTCATCCAATATATTTTGCCTAAAATATTCTCAGGATGGAAACAAATCTCTTGTCTAAATATTATAATCAAAGGAATACTGGAAGACGACACTGTATATCTACCTCCAATAACTATTTCATAACTACAAGTACTCGCATACAAAATGATGTTGGAATTTATGATATATATATGATATCATCGCGATATTCATATCATTCATACATAGATCTTTAGAAAATTATTCATTTGAAAAATAAAGGCAATTTGTATCTCATGATATATATTAATTGTGTTTTGAAAGAGCCTCATTCCTTTAATTTCATAGATCATCTTGTATATTTACTTTTCAGACAGCATGTCTTTGACAAAGGTGTATATATCATAAAAAACTAAGCATTATACGTGGTGATAATCAGTAATATGTGGAAAATATCTTTTCACAAAATATTGTGCATAAAATTAGGAGCACAATAAAGCCTACAGGAGCAGTATAAAGCAGGAGCAGTATAAAGCAATAGCCTGTACCCTTAGTACATTGCGAAAATAGATTTCAGAATTTCAGATCTTATCAATCAAAACAAGCTCACTATAAGTAAAGCTCACGCTAAGTAAAACAACATTGTTAATTTTTTACAAATAAAATTGATAATCGATTCGATATCCGAATATCATTTTATAGACTCAATCATAATTTCTTTCTTGGAAATGTAATAAGCGAATAAAATATTTCTACAACACAATTTTTAAGGAATGTATACAATAAGTAGCTTTTTCTGTTATTTCATCTTCAAACAATAGAAGATCAAGAAAATAGATAGAAATTTTAAAGTACATTTATTTGGCTATTACAGTGAATGAAAAAGTCTAACTCTTTCTGAGAATGTAGTGAAAAATATATATATTTGTGGCACTTAGTTTTCAAGGAACCTTTTTATATTTTTACTCTTTGATTCAATAGGTAATCAAAAAGATTCCAAATAGGGACATGATTTGGCCATAGCTTATTACTTACACACATTACATACACTATCAAGGTAATCAAGTCCTTGCTAAGCCACACCCAAAGGCACTGTGCTATTCACAAATTGATATGATTCGTACATACTCACTAAAAACAAAAATTGAACAAAAAAAATAATAAAAATCAAGCGCAGTAAAATAATGATGACAGACTTATCTAATAAACCAATATATGCTACTATAAGAACTAATGAGAATTAGCACATCTTCACATCACATCAACAAATCATAAACACTCGAAAAAACCCAATAATGATAATGATTAACAAAAATTATTTAAAACAAAATTTAAAATTAAACACAATTTGTTTCATGTACACTGTATACAAGTACCACCCTTTTCAGTGAGAACACAGAACATGAGGCATTTTCTAGTACTATTACTCAAGCATGATTATAAACAATTTGATACAAATTCACATACATGTAATTTAATTATTTATATATATATTAAGCAAGCAGCGATTCAAGATGATTACAGCTTTATATCTCTACAGGTTCTATATACCAAAATGTATATTACCACATCGCCAGAATACAAAATTGGTCGTACAAGAAAGAATTTATCCTGAGAAAAAAAAACTTTTGGTGGCTCGGGTTTGTTACTGGTAAAGAATTAAAGCATAGCACATTGAGAAAGATAGTTGTGACATGCGCATCTAGGCATACGCGACATGGGTCATAGGTTAAATAGAGTTGCTCCCAATAGTTCCCCCCATGTGTAATCTCTATGCGCAGGACCCATTTTAGAGCTTTGTTAAAGTCCTGACCAATCAGAAGCAACTTCTGGTGATGTAACTATCTCTTGCAAGTAGCTATGGATTTAATTAGAAATCCCTAAAAACAGGAACTTCTTTTATTAAAAAAAAAAAAACAATTCAGATTTGTGATTAATTTATTTTGCAGTGTGAAATTGACAAAGTTTTGCTCTCACCAAAGTTTTAGATTTTAAAGTATCAAGAGAAAATCATTCCATGATTATTCCCTATCTTCAAACTTGAATTTCATTATTTCCATTCCATCACCGCTTAAAGTTTGATATAAGTCCAGCCCAAATACATGCATCAACTGTAAATTGCTCCTATAAACCATTATGAAGCGCAAAAAATAAATGTGCAAAAAAAAAAACTGCATACAAGAACTTAGAAGAGTGGTGTGGAGGTAAAAATTCTTGTTGGTCATATAAGCACACTGTTTTTCTATTTAATTTGGGGGACATTTGTGAGACGTTTTACTGCATTATGTGGGAACAGGCTGCAAGTATAAGTTTAATATCTCAAGAGCTTGTTCCAACTGCCAAGGGGATTCCCCTGTAGGGGGAGTAGGGACCGTCCCTTTTCACCATCTGGATGCAGTCGATGATGGGGCAGACGCTGGCGCAGAGCGTACAGCCGGTGCAGTCCTTGGTCACGCGGGGAAGGTGGGTCTTGGGGTCAAAGGTTATAGACTGGTAGCCACTGTCGTTGCAGGTCATGTAGCACTTGCCGCAGTTGATGCACATCTCCTCGTCGATGAGCGCCACCACCTGTTCGGTGTTGTCCAGCTGGCCGTAGGAGCCGATGCGGTCCAATGCTTGGCCTATGACATCCTATGGTGGGGGTAACAAAGAACAAGAATAAGAACGTGAAGCAAGATGAGTAGAAGAGGACTGGGAGGAAAGATATCTCTGAGTTTTTAGATGATATCTCTAACCACTGATCTTATGTGACTCCCATGGGTATGGATATGGTACAGGAAATATAGAGATTTTTTTTCCCCAAAACTTGAGCAATTTGCTTGTTAACACATATAGATTCTTTTCCAAAATTTGATTAAAACTTTCAGAATAAATGCATAACTATTTTTTACACATATGACAAAAGCCATGCAGCTACATGTATCTCAAATCTAATCAGCCCTGTGTAACCCTTCATAATAGAGGACTTTAGGCTAAACCCATCCATTACTAGGTACCTTTACTGCTGAAATTGACAAAAATCTTTAATATTCATTTTCATTTTGACATATTTCCTGACAGCCACAAAGGAATAACCTCTGTATTTCAAGAGCTGACACCATTAAGGTATTCTGAAGATGACATGTCAGGTGTCACAAGTTTTCTCTGTTATCATTGCCTCATTCTCTCCAGACTTACCCTGATGGTTGGTATGGGTTTCTTGGGTTCTCTGGCAGGCCTCTGGGGCGCGGGTTGCTGGTCGTCTCCAGTCAGGTCCAGGTTACGCTTGTGAGCCGCTACCACCTTTATCCTCTCCTCCTGGTATGCCCCAAAGGATGGAAGATGCTGTCCAGAGAAATAATCAAGGAGATGTTATTAGGTTTGATAATAACCAAGTTCTTCTCTATCAATTAGCAATTAGTTTCTGATTATGAGACACCCTCTTTATTATCATCATCATCATCATCATCATCATCATCATCATCATCATCATCATCATCATCATCATCATCATCATCATCACCACCACCACCACCACCACCATCATCATCACCATCATCACCATCACCATCATCACACCATCACCATCATCACCATCACCATCATCATCACCATCACCGTCATCCTCATCATCATCACCATCGTTATCATCATAATCATCATCATCATAATCATCATCATCATCATAATCATCATCATCATCATCATCATCATCATCATCATCGTCGTCGTCGTCGTCGTCATCGTCATCATCATAATCATCATCATCATCAACATCATCATCACCACCACCATCATCATCACCATCATCACCATCACCATCATCACACCATCACCATCATCACCATCACCATCATCATCACCATCACCATCATCATCATCATCATCACCATCAACACTATCCTCCTCATCATCAATCATTATCTTATCCATCACTCTCATAATCATTCACTTCATAAATAATCATATTCTTCATCATCCTCATCATTTTTTCAAGACAACCCCAATACACACCTTGCCAATGACGTCAGCCACTCTGACCAGCTTGCCCTTCTGGTGCCTGACCGTAGGTGGGCTCTGACCATCCCAATCTTCTAGATCACCATCATTATAATCATCACCAACATCATCATCATCATCATCGTCGTCATCACCAACATCACCAACCCCACCATCCTCCTGGTCATCATAAACATCATCATCATAATCAACATCCCCATCAATGTTAAGATAACCATCATCCTCACCTTGCCTATGACGTCAGCCACCCTGACCTGCTTGCCCTTCTGGTGCCTGACTGTAGGTGGGCTCAGACCACCCCAACCACCACCATCATCATCATTATAATTATCACCAACATCATCCCCATCGATGTTAAGACAATCATCACCCTCACCTTGCCAATGACGTCAGCCACTCTGACGTGATTGCCCTTCTGGTGCCTCACCGTAGGTGGGCTCTGACCATCCAAATCTCCTAGATCATCATCATCATCATCATCATCATCATCATCATCACCACTGCCACCACCACCACCACCACCACCACCACCACCACCACCACCATCATCATCATCATCATCATCATCATCATCATCACCATCATCCTCATCACCATCATCATCATCATCATCATCATCATCATCATCATCATCATCATCATCATCATCATCACCAACCCCACCATCCTCCTGATCATCATCACCTTCATCATAATCATCATCCTCACCTTGCCAATGACATCAGCCACTCTGACCAGCTTGCCCTTCTGGTGCCTGACGGTAGGTGGGCTCTGACCATCCCAATCTCCTAGATCATCCAAACTGTTAAGGTAGAGCAATGCCTTCAACCCTGTCACATAGTCCTCTATCAAGGTGAAGTCCTGGTTCTGGATGGCACTGCACACCTGGACATTGGAAAATACAAATAAGGCAATGTCAGACAGAGGCCAATTATCTAGATAATAGTTATCTAGATAATTGGCTGTCTGTCATCAATTATTCCATGAAAAACCCCAGGAATAATCCCGCGAAAAAACGAAACAAGAAAAGTCTCCCTTGATAGGATTTTTCACAGGATTTTTCGCTGGATTCTTCTGTCCGTCACCAACGTTGAAAAAAAAATCCCTTTAAAGGTCAGTATAGGGTCAACTCTTTTACTTGATGATTGGCAGGCCTTTTGTTTTTTAACGCTTTATCATAACCTGCGCACAGTTGTATTTATAGTGCGCATTTAATGAGACGCTTTAATTGCACATTACTTTTGATTAAATGTGTGATGTCACAATGCATATCTACCTGAAATGTGCATGCGCACTGTTCCTTCAATTATGTAGATAATAGTTATCTAGATAATTTGTAGCCTGTCTGTCACCTATTTATGTGAATTACCTAGATAACTATTATCTAAACAATTCAAGCTAGATTGGGAAAATTGTGTCTGACACCGGCTATAGACTGGGTTTGAAGGGACAATGTGATGTGTAGTTTAAACCTTGTTACCACCAACTGGCAATTCTAGGCCGATGCTACTGCCTGGTTAATTAAATCTGATGTGGCGGTATCAAGGTATAGTGGTTCATTCACTTAACTTAATTCATAATGTTCATGGTTCAAATCCCTGCCCAGAGCTAATAATATTTGGCAAGACGTTAACCTGCATTTACCACTCTCAACCCAGGTGTACATGATATGCTTGAGCGACAGTTACTTACTTCTTAGGCAGCTCAGTTATAACTTGGAAAATAATGTCAGAGCGCCATGAATGTCACAGTGTGACCCCAATATGAGAGCTACATAAGAAGTCATTATAACATCCAAGAACTTTGGTAACCATTTGTACGTACGTGCTGATATGATAGATTTGTAACTCTCTGGGATTGAAATCAATTGTGAGCAAGACCTTGCAGATATAGCTTAATCAATCACCAAATCAATTTGATATAGCCTTGATTTTGATATGCAACTGTATACAGTCAAGTTATGCTGCACGGGCATCGTGGCATTTCATGATTTTCAAACATTTCACCCAACCTGTCCGACTAATCTGGATTTGTCCTCTCAACAACTCTGTCCTTTGAACTTTAACACAACTTTTCACATGACCGAGGAAGCGTTTCACAAAACCATCTTAAGTTCAAGTTCACTGACATCCTGTTTGAAAATGTGTATTCATATTAACAGGCATTCATTTGGATGATGACAGACTTGTACTCGTGAACGATGCTGATATCTCTCTCTCTAGGACCCTACCTGAACAGCGCTTGCCCCTGCATGCAGGAACTGCAAAGCAGACTCTGCCGAGTCGATCCCTCCGGTCGCCAAGATAGGGAAGCCAGGGAGATTATTGGCTATGACCGAGACTGCCTTGAGTGCGATAGGTCTGATGGCATTGCCGGACACTCCTCCATACGTGGTTTTCTTCTGCTTGCCCACGGCTGGCCAGGCGTTGGAGCTGGCCTTCAGTCCCATAAGACCTGAAACTGTGTTGGTTGCTGTTACTCCATCAGCATTGCCTGTGTAAAACAAGAAACTAGTATAAGATATTGGACTTAATATGGGGGAACACCCCAGTAGTCAGAATGGTCTTGTAAAATATGGATAACTTGTTTGGTCTATATACACAAATGTCACTCTACTGAGATGAGACACATTTTGCAAGTTTTAAAGTGTTATCGCCTTGCTAAGATTTGATAGTAGACCCATTTTATAAAACTAATAATACCCAGGTTTTCATTCATGACGTTATGGCAATGCAGCGCTATGCGCGTATTCACAATGGCACATAATTTTATTGCACCATAGTGAATACCCTCATGTGCTGCATCGACCATAACGAACTCACACCTGTCTATTATTTGTATACTATTCTGAATAAAAATATAAAATAACTCCATCCCACCTTCTTTGGCAGCACGAGCAATGTCGAGGATGTTGGTCACGTTGGGTGTCAGCTTGGCGAAGAACGGAATCTTGACTGCTGCCCTCACCCAGCGACATATGTTAAGGACGAGCTCTGGGTCCTGCCCGCATGCCAGACCCATACCCTTCTCACCCATACCATGGGGGCAGGACAGGTTCAACTCAAGGGCATCGGCACCAGCTTCCTGGATGGGGTCAAGGGTCAAATGTCAAAAGGTCAATTGGTGGGGAAATTCAAAGTGGCACACAATTCATTTTGGCTAGGTTAGTTGCCTGGCTAGGTTTTGATTGTAAGGTAAGCTTTTTATTCATCAACATATCACAGCCAATGGCTAAGTTACATGCATGATTTCAAATATTTGATTAAAAACATCATATTTTCTGATTCAAAGTGCAGAATGGTAATTTGGCTTGCCATTTCCTTTGTTTTTCTAGAACTTCTTCTTCTGTGCATCTATCTCTTGCTTTGCAGCCTGCTCATCTGCAGTCTTTTCCTTCCCAGAAGTTGGTTTTCCTTCTCTACTTCTATTACTTGATTATGAAATTCTCTCTCACTCTATTTAATTTTAGTAGATTACAACATACCTCTGCTTTCCCCCCCAAAGGCTAAACAGAAATTGAATTTCACAGAGACAATCAAAAGGAACACTCAAAGCCCCACTGCACTACTTATAGCTACTTGCGCCCTCTATATAGCAAACAATGCCTAATCAGGGACCATTGGTCCCCCATGACCCCCTTTTTCTTATGTTTATTGAGAGCTTATTTGATGAGATAACCACCTGTCAGTGACCATGCAGGGAGGTCTAATCCCTCCTGGCCAAACTTGTGCGGTGGGGATTTAAACCTGAGGGAGTATGGATTAGTTCTTCACAAACTTAATTAAGGGGCACACACCTCGGACATCTTGGCCAGCTTGGTCCAATCATCCTTGTTGAAGCTGCACATGATGCTCGCTATGACGATGCGATCGGGGAAGTCTCTCTTGAGCTCCGTCACGATCTTGCACCAGTACGCTGCGGTCTTCTCGCTGATGAGCTCGATGTTGAGGAAGGAGCCCTGGCCGGGGCCGTAGACGTTCCCGGAGGTGGTCCCGCGCACGATGCGAGGCGAGACGTTCGTCACAAAGTCCTAGTAAAATATAGAAAGTGAGGAAAGTGAGTCCACCTGCATTAACATTAATTTATGTTTGGCTTACATGGTTAATTTTGCTTTAATTCGTAGTCATAAGGAGCTGTACAACGTTCTGCTTGCATCTCTAACCCAGAAAGATCTTACGTGCAAAGATTTTTTCTTTAACAAGGAAATTTTAGAACATTTATTCAAATGAAGAAAAAGGTTATTATATTAATTATATGGAGTTACATTGAGGTGATAAAAAATTGTTTTTGTTCCATTTAAGAAGAGACACTTTTCACTTGTCAAACCTCAATACTATATAAAGGCAGTACACTCATATATTTCAGTTCCTGACAATGGTCATAAAATCAAAAAATTGAGAACTCACAAACATCACTGTTATCAGAGTTTATTGTACAATGCAGTCAGTCATATTCATATCTCTTATAAAATGTTAACCAGTGTCCAATGCAGTCCTATTTTCATATCTATTATAAGATGTTAATCAGTGCCCTTGCGGACTAGCAAAATAGGCACACCAGTAAATGTGCAGAACAGTAAACTTGAAAATATCTCGATCACAATGCTAAACCACACCCCCCCCCCCCACACCAACTCCAAACTAGCTTCAGACCACTGCCAGATCTACCAATTCATGGTTACTTGGCGTAACATGATTTTAAGTTAGGTCTGGTGTCGGTATCGTAGAGTGACGGGCATATACAGCAGGAGTTAGAAAAGCTGAGGTAGTCTTTTATATATCCAAAACACCTGGGGCCCCTTTCATAAAACTTTTTATCTATAACAAATGTTACATTTTTATGACAAATTTGCTCTCAGCCAATCAGATGCCATGATTTCAGAAGCTTATAACAGTAGCTTGTAACTGATATTGATATCAAATTTTATGAAACAGGGCTCTGCAGAGAAGAGAGAACACACTGACCTTATCCAATGAGTATGTCTTGGTGACGGCGTAGCCCCAGCCAGCCTCAAAGGCACGTCTGATCATGGGGGCCGAGGTGGTAGGAGGGGCGCTGGCCAGCCCATAGGGGTTGGGAAACTTGAGACCGCAGATCTCCACACTAGTGTCTACCAGGTCGATAGGGGTGCAAAACTTGGGCAAGGCGGGGGTGCTTGGGACCGGTACACCATGAAGAGACTGATGAGGAAAAAGAAATCATAGCAATGATCTTGATTGATAATTACACCACTTAGTGTCTTTTTCAAGAAAAAAATTAATGCATACACATCCCCCCCCCCCCAAAAAAAAAAGCATTCTCATGCAGCATGAAGATTAAAGTCATAATAAGAGATGTTTTCACTTGTATTCTCCTTTCGATTTATTCTAATTTTTAAAAAAATGTAGTATTAAACTTTTCTACTACTAAACAATAGACATGGGTTCATCCCTGTAGTTCAACCTTGCACAGACTTCAGCAAATAAGAGATTACACAATTCACACAATCTTATGTAATACTTCAATGTCATGTAAATGAAGATTATCTATCTAAGGCTCTTTCCCTGTAAATTACATAACATTGAGGGTTTAGTGACACAAAGACGTAACTCCATATTTTGCCAAAATGAGTATTTGATATCAGAATGTTCAGAAAAAAGTGGGCTTTCCAGGAAACACAAAGACTTAACTCCACCCAACACCCCATTGAAGGCAAAGGCTAGTGAAACATAGACTTAACTCCTTAAGGCCTAAGTGCTCAGTGACATATAAACCACTTTTTCTCAAAATGGCAAAAATGGAGTTACGTCTTTGTGTCACTGGCCCCTCGACATGAGAATTATCTAAAGAGTGTTGTAACAAGAAGTTTAGCAATCACCTGTAGATATTTATGCATGAACCAGGCGGCCGTCTTGCCGTCGTTGACCGATTCCACGGTTGTCTGGGCGACTCCTCCCAAGTCTCCCCCGCAGAATGCCCACGGTTCACTCATCTGCATGGTGTCCGTCGACACCTCCGGTAGACCCCATCTGTTGAACCGGATTGGAGATAGAGCCGTCTTGACTGGATATTGAAATTGAGGTAATGAAAAAAAGAGCATTCATGAATTTAGTTAAACTATTTTGGCCATCTATACAGAAAGACCACCACTTTATCAAAAAACATAATTTATAATTATTATAACACGTAAGATATCAAACTACAAAATTAGGATATCACCACCATGAAAAAAATCTTGTATATGAAAGTTGAATAATAATAATTTGTATAAATGTGTAGCACCAGGTTTCTATCTCTGCAGACTTTACAAATATAAACTCAGTACACACATCAATAGTTATTATCATTATTTCACTTAGCATGTAAACAAACACACCTAAATTAAAATTGACAAGAACTATGTACATGTACATCACAAGGAATTATAACCCATTTGCACAGTAAAACACTGTAGCATTAAAATGAATGAATGCTTTGAACAACCCCTTTATAGACACTTAGTAGTGGGTTTTCATGGAAAATTTGACACCATTCTAGTGTTTACGCTGTAACAGGTGTTGTCAATCACCAAGAGTGGACTTGAGTTTTTACGACAGACAGGTCTTGTGTAATGCGCTGTGCTTTAGCCTACCACCTATGGAATTCTCATCGTACATATCAAATTTCCCTCATTCTCCAGATAGAAGCAAGCTGGAGTATTTTCTGGCGGGACCACGGGTTCGCTGGTTCAGGGAACTTTGCGCAAACAGACACATTAATTGGTAATTCAATCAAATCAAGTGTCTGAGAATTATAATGCAATACTTTGTCTTAGATCCTTTAAAAAAAACCTTGATTTAGCTCATGCTGCAATGATAATTACAAACCTTTAGGTCAGTCAAGAACCCCATGACTTTTACAAGCCAATTACCTGTCTGATTATCAAGATATTTATGATTGAAAATGGAAATCAAATTTTGCGTTTGCCAAACGGTTTTCATAACACTACAGTCTTTTGGGGAAAACGAGTATGGTAAAACTGGTCACTCAATAGGTTTTACTTTCTTGAGGTACTTCTTGATCATTTTGAAGCGCAATTTTTTTTAGGGCTTCAATATAACAGCATATCACAGACACGGATAGCACGTAGGGCCGTGCATCTCAGAGTTAACATTGTTAAACGATGCCTTTAAGACTACATCCACCAACCAACCTTCTTCATTGAGCAGAGTGGAGCCAAAGGCCGAGATGATGAAGTCTGCCTTGAGGCGTGTAGTCTGCTCCTCATCCTCTATCCAGTTATCCTCATCATCCTGCTCTGTACGACACAGCTCCAGGGCTGCAATGCGCCCTCCCTTGAGGATCACCTTACGTGGCGACAGGAAAGGCATGAACTCGCAGCGCTCCTCCCTGGCAACGTCCATCTTTAACAAGAAAGGGAAGATGATGTAAATGAAAGCCCGCATTTTCTTTGACATTGTGTAAATCATTCTACCATTAAATGTAAGGCTTCATGGCAGAAAATTTTGATTGTTGTAAAGAATTTTTGGGCTTGCACCCACTAGATATAGATCATGTGCTCGATCTCGTTATTGATAAAAGTCAGAAATATATCTTTTCTAATGTCTCTTTATATTCCGCTTCGTTTGTAAGTATTTCTTTTTATGCACACTGTATCTTATGAAAAGGCGCTTTATAAATTAAATGTTATTTTTTAAATTATTATCACCCCAAAAACCCGTATTTTAATAGCACCAATAATACAATGTATCAAAGCCATTAGGATAAAGTGCTGTGTTCCAACCCAAATCCGCGGTATTAAGACTGATAGGATAAACAAAATAATACATCCCATCATTCTTGGTCATTTTATATCAATCATACCGGTACATTTTCTTTAAACTTACATTAAAGATATGCTACAGAAAATTTATTCTCTCATTTACTGATGTTGTTTTATTTTAAAAAAATAAATAATATGCAGTTAACTTGTGTCAAATTGGCTATTTTTAAGAGATATCCCTGTATAGTAAACACATCTCGGAGTACAATCTGTGCTTTATCCTTTACAAATACTACCTTTTCATGCTCAATTCAACTAAACATGATCTTTGGACTTTTTTGTTTACAATAGCGGCAATAGTGGACAGGACAGACTGTGCAAATTTGATTCTTTCCATTGTTCAGTATTTGAGGCTTACAATTGTAAATCCTACCAAGTTTAACAGATTGTTTGTATAATGTGAAACTATCAATTTGATTCTTTTCTGTCTATCTGACTATATGCTTCCCAGGGTCTGTGTTGGTTCATAACAATTTTGTATTTGAGGTTTACGATTGCAAATTCTATCAAGTTTAACAGATTGTTTGTATAATGTGAAACTATCAATTTGATTCTTTTCTGTCTATCTGACTATATGCTTCCCAGGGTCTGTGTTGGTTCATAACAATTTTGTATTTGAGGTTTACGATTGCAAATTCTATCAAGTTTAACAGATTGTTTGTATAATGTGAAACTATCAATTTGAGTCTATTCTATCTATATATCTGACTATATGCTTCTCAGGGTCTGTGTTGGTTCGTAACAATTTTGTATTTGAGGTTTACAATTGCAAATCCTATCAAGTTAAACAGATTGTTTGTATAATGTGAAACTATCAATTTGATTCTTTTCTGCCTATCTGACTATATGCTTCCCGGGGTCTGTGTTGGTCCATAACAATTTTGTATTTGGGGTTTACAATTGCAAATCCTGACAAGTTCAACAGATTGTTTGCATAATGTGAAACTATCAATTTGATTCTTTTCTGTGTATCTGACTATAATGCTTCCCAGGGTCTGTGTTGGTTCGTAACAATTTTGTATTTGGGGTTTACAATTGCAAATCCTGACAAGTTCAACAGATTGTTTGCATAATGTGAAACTATCAATTTGATTCTTTTCTGTGTATCTGACTATAATGCTTCCCAGGGTCTGTGTTGGTTCGTAACAATTTTGTATTTGGGGTTTACAATTGCAAATCCTGACAAGTTTAACAGATTGTTTGTATAATGTGAAACTATCAATTTGATTTTTTTCTGTCTATCTGACTATTTACTTCTCAGGGTCTGTGTTGGTTCATAACAATTTTGTTCAGCTCCTTTAAAGAGAAGTTTGAGTTCTGGAAAAGGTGAAATATAAATGTGTCAGCTTTTTCACGGTTTTTATGTTAGTGTGGAAAAATATCATACAGTAGAAGAAATTGTCAGCTGAAAGGGATTTAAATGCCCCCATAAGCAAAATATGACATGAAATAGCTTAAGTGTGTGGATCACACTTCATGCCAATGTTTGTGCAGTCCCATGTACACATTTCTGTGTAAGGTGCATATGACTTTTAGCAAAACTGGGTCAATTTCATCTCATTTGTGATGATTCCTAAACGTCACAGCTTGTATGCAGAAATACTTATGTGCTACGTGGTCAACCTTTTCCAGTCACTGCCAGAAGTTTCTTTCACAATGCAATTGCACGACCGGAACTCTACTTTGTCTTTAATATTTGTAGTTTTTGCACTACTTGCTGTTTAACTATCACATGTTTGCATTTCCCACCTCTGCATGTGGCAAACCTCAAAAGTCTATATTCTACAGCAACCAATCTTCTCCCACATATTGACACAGACAGACCATGAAATTATGAACATTGTTTAGTACATCAAGGTTTTGGTCTTGTCATGTTCTGTCAGTACCAAGCTACATATCTAAATTTCTTGAATTTTCTTTTTTTATATGCTACTGTAAATATAACGATAATAACAAAGACATTTTGGGTAGCCACAGGCTTTCATGTTGAATTTTTTTAACAATATGCCTGTATACTCATGCCTCGGCCAACTCAGGTAATGATCAAGTGATGGTCAATATCATAAAGTCAAATAAATAATTCAGATGCACCAACAATAATAAAGATGATGATGACGATCATAATAATGATAATAATATTCATAATAATTGTACTACTACTACTAATGATGGTGGTAGTGGTGGTGAAGATGATGATGACAAAAACGATGACGATGGTGATGATTATGATAAGAACAATCTACTCTTATCAGTAAAGGAATGTGAAATGCAAAATCCAGTTTAGACCTTACCTCCTCAGGTACAGCCCGGATGGTTGTGAAGCCCTTGCGAAAGACAATGAAGACCCGTTTAGCTCCGCAGCGGACCGCCGACGTTGCGCAGTCAAAGGCTGTGTCCCCGGCTCCTAGAACTATCACATTGCCATCGAGCTTGGGTAGTGATGTCTTGCAGGCACACATACCTTGAGTAATACAAGGGTACAATATAATTTATTGGCTAATATCAAAATGTCATCTGACATACTACATTTTACCAATTTAACATTCATATGGGGCGTTGCAACAAAGTTGCGATTGATTGCAACTCAATTTCTTGGAACATCCCAATAGAGTGAATGGTGGCCACACATGCGCATTGCCTGCACTATTCCCCTCAGCTCATTAATAACACTCTTCAGCCTATAAGAATAGTGCTTTCTTATCCCATCTCATGTCTGTTTTACTGGCTATGGAGACCTTTAAGGAGGGCCTTTCAGAAAGACAATTTATTGTTTTTACAATGTATATTATAGGAGTGTCGTGATCGAGTGGTTTAAGGTGCTTGACTGAAGATGCGAAGGTTGAGGGTTCGAATCCCGACACGGCACTAATATCCTTTGGCAAGATATTTACCTGCACTTGCTACTCTCCACCCAGGTGTTAAATGGGTACCTAGTAGGATGCGACCGTCATTGTTAGTCAAACAGTTTTTGAGCGTCAAGTAAAGCCTGGCTGGAATGCTCCCCAGGGAGTAAAGATTTTGCACACAGTGTGTACGGGCAAGTATTGAATCCAATGACCAGGGAAATAGTATATCTGTAAAGCACTATATAGATACATCATAGTTGTATTAAGTGCTATATAAAAGCGGAATTATTATTATTATTATTCTCTTGAGCCTACAGAAGAAAATAGCTGAACACTTTGACCCACTATGTCCCAAACTAACCCTTAATGTCTATCATACCTGCTTTGCTTGCCAGGGACACCAGCGGTAAGTAATCCTTGGATGTGTAAAAGCCCTGTTCCACAGTCAGATCCTGGAAGATGGGCGCCCTCTTTGCCTCAGGAAGGCCAAGTCCTACAAAGATGGCCTCGTGACCGGAAATCTTCAGAGATTCCAATGTCATGCCGTTCATACCAAGACCCTTCTTCAGCTCGACCTGTGGTAGAAAAGTTAAAAAAAATGTAATGTTTTTTCAATATATCTTTAAAATTAGTTCTATTCCATTCACATTGTCACCAAAGATTTTCTCAAAATAAATACGTATTTCTCTTCCATGATACAGAGACATGATTGACTGAAATAGAATATCTCATAAAATAACATTCAGTAAAATTTCAATTATACTGTACAGATACCATTCCATTTTTTCTTATGCAATGTAATGTAATCAAAACACAAAATGAAAGTAGGCTTTGAGGAATAGGCAGTCTTCTCAACAAATCAGGGGAAGAGATCGAATGTTAAACAAAGGCATGACTTGGTAGTCTGACATAAGGTACATGGTGTATTAGAAAGATTAGTTTACTTCATCAATCAGCGTTCGTTCCCTAAACATGACGGAAGAGCTGTATCCCCCGTCTTTCTCCTGTCATCTTTGCTTTGTGTTTGCGAAAGCGCTCTAGACATTTAATACTTACTTTGACTCCTAGATCCTTCATCTGGTCCACCTCGAAGGACACCACCTCGTAGGGCAACCTGAACTGCGGAATCTCTGCGGAGCTCAACCCGCCGATCCACTCCTCCTTCTCAAAGACGGTCAGGTTGGTGTACCCCAGACGGGCCAGGAAGGTGGCACAGCTGATGCTGGCAGGGCCACACCCGATCAGGGCCACCTTGGACTGGTAGCTCTCAGGGAGGTCGTCGTGAGATGGGAGGGTGGGGTCCCGTATCTGAGGTATCTTCATCTCCTTGAAGATCTAGTGGAGACATTGTTACAAACATTATAAAACATATTTTAGTGAGAATTCTTAGACACTCTTTAATATATTGGCTAGGATTAGATTGAAGTTCGGGAAACAATTATTGTACAAACATATGCTGGATCAGACTAGCGGAGACATTGTTGCAAAGATTATCAAATATATTTTAAGGAGAATTCTTACAGACACTCTTAAATATATTAGCTAGGATTAATTGAAGTCTGGGAAACAATTATTGAACAAACATATGTTGGATCTAACTGGTTTGAAGTTTAATGTACAGTGCACATGGTATGAATGCATATCAGCCAGCCTAACTTCATTTATACAAGAAATTAGAGGAAAAGAAATATGCTTGGATCTTGACTTTGACTTAGGTGCATAGGACGGTGTGTCCCCTTGCTCCCCTGCGAGAAATCATGCTCCAGTCTGATCTGTCCTGGGCTCGTTGCTCTGCCTCTTGTGTGGATAATCCCACATCGCATTGAACCTGGTCCTTCCATCTCTTTGGAGGGCGTCCCCGTGGTCTGCGTCCATTAAAGTCATTTTGGAATGCTTGGTATGGTAGGCGGTGATGCGGCATGCGTAAAACATGGCCAAATCATTTCAAGCGACGTTTGGTTATTTCCTCGCATATGGTGCTTGGATCTACATACCGGTATATGTTTCCTCTTCTTTCTAAAATATATGTCAACAATTCAGCTCGGTTATGTGAAGTCGCCATTTCTAATGGCTAAAGCCAAATTTGAGTAAGGACAATAAAGTGGTTGGCTTTTGTGCAGCTTATTTGATAACTTATAAAGTCAATATTTTACAGACAGGAAATCAAAATGATAATTCAGTTTCTATATTCCCTTTATTGCATCCAAATGTGAACATGATATGTCAGTAGGTCTCCATCTATTTCCTGATAATGTAGGACAAATTTGCAGTTCTCAATAACCACAGAAAACATCTAGGATGCAAAAACAAGCCAATAAAACCACTAAGCCACATTCTCCTACTCTCTTTTCAGCTAATACCTTAGTGCATTATGGGTCATTCCATACATTGGGGCAAAAACATATGACGGTGTCCATGTAACGTAGGTATGAGTTATGCAATGAATATATATAGTAGTGCCCTGCCAGAATCGTTCCTGTTTCAGTTGCTTTTCATCAAAATCTTTGCTTAAAACACATTTCTCTTTTTCCCAGCGTTACATGGACACCATATTCATATAACATTACATAAAGTTTGGGGTCCATAATATTGATTCACCATGAAGCTTGAGTACTTCTGAAGATGGTTGGCTATGCTTTTTATGCAAAACTCAATTTGAGCAAACATTGTTACAGTTGATAGGAGACATAGTTTCTCACTTCACGGGGGTGTTTCACAAAGATCCTACATGTAAGTTGAACTTATCTCTAAGTTGGACTAAACAGTTACAGACCCCTATCTCACCTCTGTCGCAAACTGCTGAAGGCCACCTATGTTGATGGGTCCCTCCTCCGAGGCGTAGAGGTTGCAACCACCGACACAGAGGTCACTGGTGGGACACACCATCCCGCAGGTCAGACCTAAGGGGTTGTCCGAGAAGATGGCCTTGGACGCACCGTAGTAGTTCTAGAAATTGTTGTTCAGAGTGTAGAAAGAGGAAACTTCTGTTATTACAATAATAGTTATATAACAATAATAATATGTTACATACATGTATACATGTATATATAGTGTATTACATAATACACTTCAATGCACGTTACATTAGATACGATATAATTACATTACTATGACACTTCAATTAAATTATATCTTAAATATTAAAGCGTTGGTACTGTATTGCAAATATCACATCTTTCCATAATAATACAAGATAAGGATTATGGTTGCATGTACATGTATGTCACATCCATGCCTCATCTCTGATTGATCTGACTAGTATTGTAACTAACCCAAACTAAACTAAATGTGAGCATACCCTGTTTGCAATGCTTGTGATGAACGCCTTGATGTCTAGCTGGGTTGGGCAGCTCTTCTGGCAAGGGGCGTCGGCGCATTTCAGGCATCGGGCCGCCTCCCGCAACGCTGCCCTTTCGCTCAGCGTGGTGTGCTTCACATCGTCAAAGTTATTGTCAAGGTCGCCGCATGTCTACAGTTAATACAGAGAAACAAATGTAAGATGATGGTTATGGCAATAAAGAGATATGGATAATAATAATAATAATAATAATAATATTGATATGTCTTGTTTACCCTGTATAACCTCATCAGTATCGAACTGTTCTCCCTGAGGTTCCTGCAATAATATTATTACCCCAGCTTTAATCGTATCAATATTGTGTCTATGGAGACATACATGTACTTGAAGTTGAACCTAAATACAAATCCAGGTTTTTGACTGAAAAGGAAAATGTGATTTGTATAGGATTTGGTCGATATCATTAGTATACACTGTACACTGTACATTACCGGTACTTATTTTTGGAGCACTTTCAAGTTTCTTTTTAAACAAAAAGATCATGTAAATTAAAATATAATGGCTCCAGCACCACCTTCAGTGGTACTCGCAGAGGCATTAGTTAGAGTAGGGCTACAGGAAAAAAATGGGCATTGGAACATGCTCTTCACTGACAATTGAACAAATTTAGTAATTATCTCTCAATTATATTTAGGAAAGGATTTGAATACTGTTTAAAAAAATATTCTTCATTTATACCCTTCCCATTATTTAAGTAAGTTACCTTCTACAAGAAGATCTAGCTCAGCTTTGAAAAATGGCTGTTTCGCTAGTTGCAAACTATCCATTCCTACATACTGTATACCGGTATGTAAAATAGAATTTCCCTATCTATAGGATGATATCTAGTCCTTCAAAATACCATTACTTTGGATTTGAAAGATAAATACTGTCAGTCTAGACTGGGGGCCTTAACTAAAACATACCCATGAATATCATCCAGAAAGGGCTCTTGGACTGAGTTATATTACCCTGTGGGTTCATGACAAATAGACAAAACCTTGACAATATTGGGATTGATTGGATTTTCAATTGTTATCTATTCTACCATAACCACTATCTCTACAATAGGTACTAGTGCAAATAGAGGGTATGCTACTATGCAATGATGCATTTTTCTCCTACAAGTATGTAAGGGTAGCTGTATGTGACAAGTACAACTCAAAATGCTTCATACATACTGTATGTGTACTGTATATATTTATTGTATATTTTCAAGCAAACTGATTGACGTTATTGGTTCATTTACTTCATTTGACAACATTAGAGGAAAGAAAAAAAAAATCACAACATACAGTACCAATATGTATTTCCATGTCCGTTTCACGTACCCCTAGACACATGTATGCAAAGCTGTCATTATCATCTACCGGTACATAAAGATTTTTTAAAAGGCCCATAAAGAAATCACAATGTAGTTCATACAATTAACGACTAAATTATTCATACCCTTACCAAGTTTTGTCATCTTTTATGCCAGTGTACAGTATGTGAAAAAATCATTTATCACAATTTATGTTTCGTGAGAATGTGACATAATAAAACTCAGTTACAACTATTAGTATTCAACAAAGACCCTAATTCAACCAATTCACCTTTAATTCTTGACTTTAAATACAGACAACGCAAAAAACACAAAATTTACGAGATGTATGCATAATTCAGTTGTCAACAGTAATTTCTTTTCTTGAGAGATTTCCAGAGTGGTGTATGTTGCATAACACATAACCCTGGATTAATCAAGTGCCCCCCAAAAAAATATTCCTGAAAATCCTGATACATCTTTTTGCTGAATTTTTTTTTGGTGGGAATCCAACAACAAACTCAAATTCTATATAAATTCTATATTCTATATAACTAGTCAAATATACTTGTACATGCTTACCAGTATTTTTTACTTTGTAAAGCGCATATACTGTAGAGAAGCTTACGTTTATTATGCGCTTAATAAATCAATCTTTATTATTATTGCCGGATTGTCACAACCCCTGTATGTCATTAAATCAAAAATAATGAATTTTGCTGGCAGCTGGTGAAATTCTATCTTAGATCCTGGAACAAATTACCGTGGAATCCTCTATTGCAAACATCTAGTACACACACTAAATATTGAATTTTCATCAGTATGTACTTTACATCAGAGGGAAGTTAATTGGAATTTGCTTGCAATCCAAAATTTATGCATACATGAAGGAAATCTGACCTTAAAGGGGAAGTCCACCCTGACATGGTTTTAATCGAAGTACAGTTTTAGTACAGGGCAAATGGGAGTGGAGCTTGCACGATACTTCTCAGAGTTGCCAATTTGTGTTTGATTGATCGCAACTTCAAAAATTCAGAAAGTCCTTATTTTTATTCGGTTTTTTACTCAAACGTTCACTGACCTGTTTCTCTTCAAGTACAAGTTTAACTTCCTTTTTCTACAGCCATAGCAAAAATAAATGGGGACACCCAAGTTTTAATTTCTCTTTTTTTTTGTATTTCTTTCCAGTTTCCACTTATCAGTTATGCCTTCATCAACAAAAGTATTTCTTGTAAACTCTGGCCTTTTCTTTCTGTCAATGGTGCTTCAAATATGGTCCTTCTAAACCACTTTCTCTCTTCTAGTGCAAGTTCCAAACCCCTTTGAACACCACATCAAAATACATTTGTAACTATGGTCACCTTTTAAAAAATTTTACTCAAGACCATTGGCTAATAATAAAGTCTCTATACAGAGTGAGTCAAAAAAAAGTTTACACCTAGAAAATTGCTAATTATTTAAAAAATCATTGATGAAAATTAAACTGTTGTATGTCTTATGAAAGAGTGTTTTATCCCAAATCATTTGGTACCCTTTTTGTGTGGTATGTGTTCACGCTTGGATGAACAGGAGACGTTGTTTGCGAGAGTGCAAAAATCAAATGGTGCCAAAGTTGTCTGAATGATGTTCGAATAAAACAATTGGGATTTGGGTATTAATTCGGTCTTTGCAGATCCAAATAACACCCCTAACAAAATTAATCATGCCACACATATCAAATATCGAATATCAAATATGAACGAACATTTGTGCGTGCGTGTGTGGGTGTGTGTGACTTTGCCCTTTACAAAAAACATATGCAATGCATTTCATTTGATACATTCAATCCATTCTCTCACTCCGCTAATCCCAACATAATACATACTGAAGGCATCACTTTGGCGCAAGTCAATTTTTGCACTCTCGCGAACAATGCCACCTGTAATAATATATACATCTGTAAAGCGCTTTGAGAGGGCCTTTGGTCCTGAAAAGCGCTATATAAGAACTAGCTATTATTATTATTATTATTATTCATCCATGCGTGAACACATACCCCACAAAAATGGTTCCAAATGATTTGGGATTAAACACTCTTTCATAAAATGTATAATAATTTAGTGTTCATAGATGATTTTACAAATAATTAGCAATTTTCTAGGTGTAAACTTTTTTTTGACTCACACGGTACATTCTTTTATCCCAAACTGCATGCCTTTCCTTCCCATTCCCTTTCTTTTCTTTTTTGATGTTGTTGGTTGTTTTGTTTTGTTAGGACTTCATCAACTGCATCCTTACAAATCTCTCCCTCTCTTCATGGTGTTTTTTCTACCTTTTTTCTTGAAGCTCTAGTATTTGACACAGGTTTCATTTCCCTTCTACAACCACAGCTCAGTGATTTGGGTCAGCAGGTCAAGTTCACTCATGTCACTGTGTCCTACTTCTAGAGGTTTTCTAAATCACTTTCCAGGCAAAACTCTTCTCTTTTTCTGTACAACTCATAATTACGCCCATCTATATCAGATGCGTCACTACAGCGTGTGTGTTACTTGGGGGGGGGGGGGGGGTGGGGGGGGGGGGGGGGGGGTTGAATTGGGATCATGGGGCTGAGGGTAAATAGCCCGAATGAATTAAAATAGAGCCTAGAGTAGTAACAGAGATAAGGGCCTTGTAACCAAGAAAAGTGTCTTATCAATGAGTCGTAAAGTGTGATGTCATAAACACAACACAGGCTTCATTTGCAGTATGGCTGGAAAGTACATGTAGGCGTGTAAATAAAAAACATAAATAACGACTTATTCAGCCTGACTAACCCCCATCAATTACCTTTCAAGCGATTTTTTGTGCATGGATGGATATTACGAGGAAAGTTTATGAAAGCAGAGCCGTCATGGTTCACATCTCATTCCTCTCATTCCTCAGTTTTGATAATAAAGCAATACTTTTCTGAATTGATCTGAACCGACCTTCGCCTCTACAGTTTAATAGAGTACGGATACACTGTACATGTATGAGGAATGTCAATGTTTATAATGGCAACTTAAAGGTAAAGACCAGTATTGGAAACGCCCCAATTTCAAAAAATGAAATGGAAGCTCTCATTACCAATCATGTGAAAGAATATATTTTGACTAATACATGATGATAACAAATTTGCCGGGAAACCGCCTACTAATTCATATATTTGGTAAATTTGTTTCTCTCGTGGTCTGTGAGAGATATAGGGTAGTCCCATATACATCTTTCTGTGTATAGTGCTTGTAACTTTACGACGAATGGGCCAAATTTCTTATCATTTTGATGATTCCAGAACCTTGCAGATGCTAGATGCTAGATGATCAACCTTTTCTGATCGATTCCACAACGTTTCTTTCACAATGCAATCGCATGACCATAACTGGTCTTTACCTTTAAAGGTACTATGTCCCTTTTGCAGCCAACCTCAAATGCTGTAGAACTTTGCAGGAATTATGAAAACATGTCATGTATGTCGTATCTGTGAAATTTAAGCGTTAGCAGTGTCCTCATATTCAAATTATGCAAGGAAAACCGTTTACTTGCTAGACTTCACTGTCAGACACTATTGAGTGACTGACTGGCTTTTTTCTTCTTTGGTAATAACATACATGAAAAGAGTTGTAAAGGGTACATGAGCATTTGTCTACATCAATAACCCACTTCTTGTGATGGCCAAGATTAAACTGATTGAATCTTTGTGCAGCAATAAACGTATGACCATTTGGTACAATTGTCTGAAAATCAAGACCATTACTTTTGGGCTCTATAGCCCTAAAGTCGATTTGACAACTTATAGTTGTTATTTTCCCACTTGAAGACATTTTCAAGCCCCACTTTTTTTAGGGAAGTTCTAAATTAGTATTATCTTTCAAATGCAGTTGGAATTTAACTTTTTCATTTTTTTGGCCTGCAAATGGGACATAGTCCCTTTAAGTTTGCAGTACGTGGAAACTCTTGTAATTTATTCAAACGCATTCGTCAGTTCTAAAGCGTAACAATGGGATGTGTAACATGCCACTTGGCTTAGAAGTTCCATGCTCTGAACCGTGCTTCCACTGCGGGGACTTTCGGAGGCCAGGCACCAGTTTTACATTTATTACAAAATATGAAATTACCGGCAAATTTTCAGTGCGAATCATAAACTCTATATGGGGATTGTATTGGAAATAGTGCATCAAACAATTTTCAAATTTAGTACTCCGCCCTTCCTATAATTTGTGTGCCAGAGTTGGTAAAAGAAAAATTAGATCCTGACAAAAACTCAATATTTTAGGAATTTAGGATTATAATGCGCTATTAAGTTGTGCATGTTTTAATGTCCCGTTATTTAATCCATGATTTACAATCTTCAATAACATCAAGTTTGCTAATGCGTGTTTTTTGTATTTTTGCAGTTGGAAAAAAGGATGAAATGACACAAGTTTGTGTTCGCTTGTTCTACTCATTACACATTCAACAATTGATGAGAAATCACCGAAAGGGACAGCGAACAGTTGCTGGGATAACATTTTCTGATGTAGGAATTCTAAATCCTGAAATTTCATGCGCTCTTTTATCTCACCACCTGGGCCCCTTTGCATAAAACTTACCATTGATGGTAACTTTGCCTTGGAGCATGGGGTCAAAGGAAAGTGGCTTGATTCCACTCCTTTCTTTCACCTCTCTGGATCACCAAATAAAAACAAAAATGGTCAAAACAAATAAAAGGTCATCCACACTGAACTATCGATGGCCTACTTACCGCACATGACTTTGGTCCATTGCGCTTCCAATACTTCCGGTTGGCCTTGGTTGTTTTGGTCAAAACCACCTTGGCATGGGACGGTACCGTCGGATTCAGGGCCAACAGATTCTGAACAATAATAGGAAAAGTGTTTTAAGCAATAATCTATACACAAGTATCTTAACAAAATTGAATCTACACCCTAAAACAACAGAATGTAAGCCATTGGAATACCCATGGTTCCTAAAAAAAATGATGTAATTTGGTGATGTAAATATTTTTAGCCATTAGGCCTAAAAAAAGAAAGATGTTGTATCGCCCTTTAAGTGCCAAAACATGGGTCGGTCAGTTGGAAATCTTTAAAAAAAAAAAAATTAAACTCCTTCTTTGGGCTGATTTTTGTCAGTTTTGAATGTTAATACATTTTTTTCTCTAAAAAAACGGTTAAAAAAAAACTTTTTTAAAAAGCCGACCGTTGATTTCAAAATTTTTGGGTCGGTCACAAAGGGCAATACAACATCTTTTTTTTTAAAGTCCTTATAACAAATATTCAATACATAAAAAAAATAGATAAGTTTGTGTAGTTGCCTAAACAGAACAAGAGATTCTTTTACAATGATCGTAATAATTTCACTTATGTATATTTGTTCCTTTTCAAACTATCCTTCAGAAACATTTAATAATTCTTATGAAGTGTACCGGTATTGTTAATGAATTTGTACATAACAGTATCTCTTTTTAAAGAATTAAAATTAATGTAAAACTTTGCCACCTCATGCAACAAAATACTACAGAAATATTAGCATCCCATCATCAGCACGCAGGTAGATCTATTAGAATATGTCACAGGTATAGTTCGCTAAATTCATCTAAATTCTCTATGCGTGCGCCTTGGTTACTAAACTAATCGCTATCATCTTAAAATACCTATCAAATTGGAAACACCAAACAGCTTTTCTACTTTCGAGTACACTGCATGCATTTGCATTTCAGCCAGAACTAACAAAGCAAAGTCTTCTGAGAGGTCAGCGTTTTTGTAATCATGTAAATCGTATGTTGGCTCATTACCATCGCGGGGGGGGGGGGGGGGGGGGGGGGGGGGTGTCACTCTCATACACAAATGCTACATACCCGTGTCAATCAACTTCTGAAAAGGCCCCTAATGCCGTATCGCACCTTTTAAATGATCCTTTTTTAAGACAATGTTGAGACCTGGTACCTTTTTGGGGTTTTTCTGCAATCAGTGCTTGAAAAACACCCCTTTTTTTTTAGAAAAACATAGATAGCGCCGACCTGTGAATCTGAAAAGGTACCCTTTTTATGGTTTTTGTGCGATCATATCAGTGCTTGAAAAACATTTGATTGCTTTTTCTGGACGCAGATTCGCATAGAGAGTAAACCCCCTGCAGGAACAGGTGCTTTAAGGCAAGCAAATCGCTATCACTCCAGTTTCAAATGTTCATATTTTGATTACATTCTTGACTGATTTCATTTTGCTTTGTATAATTGAAAGGAAAGAAGAATCCACTCTGTCCAGAGCGAAGCCAGCCCAGTGTGCAAGGTTCTTTGGGTAAGCAGGTATTAGGGAATGGGCGATTACTAAAGCATTAGGCCTAACTCCCCTAAGGAAATAATATTAAGCAGTTTGAGTTAAAAATCTAGATCTAGACTAAGTTTTTTATTTAGTTAGATCTAGATCTACATCACTTTTTACACTGAAGAAGTCTAGTTGTGGTTGCATCATTTGCATGCCATGGGCAGGCGCGTACGCAGGGGGGGGGGGTTTGGGGGGTTAAACCCCCCCCTTTGGTATTTTTATGTGTATAAACCCCCCCTAAAAAAACCTGAAACCCCCCCCCCCCTTTGTATTTTTTTTTTTTTTTTTTTTTTTTTTTTATTATTTAAAAAAAAAAAAAAAAAAAAAAAAAAATTATCCCCATGAATGACCTAAAACAGGTGACCTTACCCCCCTCCCAACGGAGCAAAATGTCAAATTTTCAAATTTCGAGGTCAAAAAAAAAAAAAAAAAGTGTCCTCTTCCCCCCCCCCCCCCCCCCCCCCCCCCCCCCCCCCCCCCCCCCCCCCCCCCCCCCCCCCCCCCCCCCCCCCCCGCTTATTCAGCGGTCGGCTGAGTCGTTGCGAAATTTTCGGCCCGATTTATGAATGTTAAAACCCCCCCCTTGAAAAAATCCTGCGTACGCGCCTGGCCATGGGTATGGGTGCCAATTATTATTGCTAGGTAATATGATAATATCGATGACATTCAAGATTCATAATATCATCTAGCCCAGTAGCCCTTTATTCCTTCAATAAGTTCAATCAATGCTACACCATTGCTGCAGCCAGTTCACGTACACGTTCAGTCATAAACAACACCAACACAACAGTCGAGTCCACGTCGTACTATTTACTACCAGAGTCCAACCACACAATAAGCAACAGATGCACATTGTAGTGGGCAATGCTAATTCGTATCGACTACCAACCACTGCACCAAAACAAACACTAGAAAATAGTAATCTGCGCCAACTTACCTCAATGTCAGCTATATCTCTGGACAACATTCGAGCCATTGTTTAAGATCACACGTTCCTACTAATCGAAATTAAACGAAATTTACTAAAAATATCGAGATTTATCACAAATTCGAGGTACTAGACTAAGCCTCTTGGCCTGAGTCTACTCCAATTATAGTGAATGGCAAGATCACTGATCTCTACGGAAAAATCGAGATGTGGGCGAGATGGATATAGTCTCGTTTCAGAGTCTTACGGGTTTATTGTGCAGACTGACAGTTTGCGTTATTCAATAATCTGAATAAGGTGAGAGAAATCTATAATCAAAACACACTATATCATTGCAAGTACATATTAAGGATTCCTCTCTTGCTATCTATTTGTTTTCAACCAATTCAATTGAGCAATCTTTGAATGAATATTAAATAACTAGAACTATGACGACTTGAGCGGCGACTTAATCTCATTCCCGTCAAAGAGAGAGAGAGAGAGAGAGAGAGAGAGAGAGAGAGAGAGAGAGAGAGAGAGATAAGTGTACATGTGTACGTTTTACTTTTGGAACGGTGCCAGGTGACGTCATTATAATCATTCAATATTGACCTTGAGCTACAACCCCCTCCCCCGCCCCTTTAAATGGACTTTGTAGCATTGTTTAGATGAGAGAACGCGGTGCTAAGGTAGTGAGTTCAATGCTAATTATTAAAGATAATCTGAAAGTTTGAGTGAAAATAAACGGACCATTATAATTATTAATGATATAAATTCGGAAAAACTGATCTGATCGATTCCTTGATTCTCCCAACTATATTATTATAATTTATTTACATTTTAAGTGAATGTTAGTCATCACAAAGCAATGAATCGACAAAACACAAAACATTTTTGTCAAAAGGGGCATCAGCCCTTTTAATAGGATATGAGAACATGAAACAATAATTGAAGGATATAGTTTCATAATTTTCTCACATCAAGCACCCTCTCTCTCTCTCTCTCTCTCTCTCTCTCGAAGTCCAACTCTGTCCCTCTGTCTGTCTCAGCATGTCTGTCTCTTTTTCTCACTTTCTCTCTCTCTCTCTCTCTCTCTCTCCCCTCTCTCTCTCTCTTTCTCTCTCTATCTTTCTCTCTCTCTCTCTCTCTATCTTTCTCTCTTTTTCTCTCTGCTTGCAGTGGCACATATCATAGTGAGTTAATGGGACGGTTGGCAAGAGGCTTGAAAAATGGCTGCAGGTAAGAATTATTCAATCGGCATCAAAGTTCTTTATGTAAAAGCAAATTAAAGCTGTTGAATGAATTGAACATGAGTTAATTGTCCGTGTGCACATCGGGCGTTATGTCATTGATCAAAACTGCAGTGTTGTGTGTTGGATAATCATTATTGGTATTGTCCAGGCTACGGGTCGGGTCTTCCAATGAAATGTCATACCATTACCCCGAAAAGGGGTTACGCACAGTCTCTCAGGGGTAAAACTCAGTACCGAAGCAGTGACATCATAACAATCTATTTTTAGAATTTCTCAATGTTTTCTTCATTTTCCAAATGAGCATAACAAATAATGTCCGAATGTCGAAAACCAATTGAATATGTTAAGTATTGGCTGAGATATGACCAGCCCTGGATATGACCATCTGAATAAATAGATGTGGGGAACTTGCTCAGTGTTTTGGCCCATAATGTTATGAACCAGAGCAATATAACACTGAGTTCCTATAGGTAATATATTTATTCAGATTGTCCTATCTCAGCCAATACTTAACAAAGTCAATTGGTTTTCGACATTCGGACCCCATTTTTATGCTCTTTCGGAAAATGAAAAAAAAATTGAGAAATTCCAAAAATAATTTGATGATCGGTGAACGAAAAAGTTTCATCATTTGGCAAGAATCTTGGAAGAGCTTAAAGTTGAAATTGTTTTGCAGCGTCAATTATTATAAAAGAAATCACGCAAACTTTGAGAAGTGCATTTTACTTTCTTGATAAACGACACGTCACGAGATGGCGCTATACCACGATGATCTATAATCAAGATAGTATTTTCAGTCATCTTTCTTTCCACGATGTGTGGGTCTTTGTCTGGGTAGCTCTGGAAGTCAGGGGCGTACGCAGGATTTTTTCGAGGGGGGGGGGGGGGGGGGGGTTAAAATTTGAAAATCGCGCCGAAAATTTCGCAAATTGAGGGGGGGGGGGATTTTCCCTCCAAAACACACACATTAACAAAAATTGAGGGGGGTTCGGCCCCCCCCCCTGTATGGGCAAAAGCGCATTTATAAGTACCCTTGCTTTCTGACAAACGTCTACTTGGACTCGAACCTTGGCCTTCGTATTTTAATACCACAATCGCACCGCAAAACCGACTCTAATCTGGCCGATTTTTGAAAGGATCGTGGCATGATGTGCAGTGTATTTTTTTGTTCGGTCTATGGTGGGTCTGATATCGATCCCATCGGGGTGAGTAGGTGTTAGCCATATGTTTAAACCAATCGACAGGTCGTCATTTATTCCCCAAGAATAAACATGAGGTTGAATTATGAAAGTGTATTACGGAGACAGAGGTGGGGGAGGTCCACGTACCCTCCTGCGCCCCTGGAAATGCAAAAAGGCTTTAACGTTAACGTATGTTCTTCGCTATATTGTACATGGCTTAACAAACGGCCTATGACATGTTCGAAGAGACTTTCAAGAATCCACTTATTAAGGTCATTTTAATTTCAACCCTTGTACGGCACCTTAAATAATTGAAACTAAGTGCGAAAATAGAATGAGTTTGTACATAATCCGAACCCGACTAATATATAAGTATAAATTACGTATGGAATAGAAGAGGGATGGCTATTTCTGGAAAATCTTTACGATCGTTTTCCATTCAGAATTAGAAACTTAGCAGAGAGGACAGAGAGAGAGAGAGAGAGAGAGAGAGATAGATAGAGAGAGATAGAGAGAGAGAGAGAGAGAGAGGGGGAGAGAGGGGGGGGGGGGGACTCTAGGGAAGGGGGGGGGGGGAGAGTAAGAGAACGATTTCGGTGAATGGCAGGGGGGGGGGTATCAACTAATGACATTAATTGTCATATGGAAAAGTAATAAGAAAAACAGAGAGCAACAACAATAATCCTGTCAACCAAGTGATGCCAATGATCATCTTCCCTGAGAATGGGGGAAAGCTTAACATGGGAAAAGACGAAGAAAGTAGCATTTACTGCGGGGGGGGGGGGGGGGGGGCTAGTTTAGAAAAGGTATTCAGCTTAGAGGTAATAGTTTCCGATGAAGTAAAATGGTAGAACTATTTTCATTTGGATAATTTTTTTATTTCTTCACCCACGCTAAGAGTCGAATAATTCATTCAATTTAAACGAGGCATATCCGTGGCGTACCGTACCAGACTGGAAGGTTGTTATTTCTATTTTTCTTTTTTCTACGAGGAAGCTCCCTTTTCTAGATTAGGAATAGCAGAAGAAGAAAAAAAGAAATATCATAATGTGACGTTTACAGCTGACGTCAGGTAAACAGGCAATGAAGCGTGACCGTGTATAATATTCGAGTAACCTGATGCATCGACAAAGCGATGTAAGTATACTGTACTGGGACCTCTTTTTCATGGAGTTTCCCACGCGAAAGGCGTAAGTTCTAGGCATCCTTTCTGGCTGACTTTGTTATGAAATCTCATGATAGCACTGACCAGACTCACAAATATACTTCACAGGCTGTTACAACTACTTCGGAACTCTAAATTGAGTAAGTAAAGGCTTTAATATTTATGATTATCTCATTTGAGTGTATCTTTGCGAAATTCTCTGTATGATTATACCGTACTCCTAGGCGATGGGACCCAAAATATTGACCTTATTTCTCTCGTGCTTCTCTGATCAAAGCAAATGTAAATAAAGGTGGCTGAATCAACCTTTTCAAATTCACAATACAGTAGTATTTACAAAGCTTCGTGTTCTTTTCATTGTGAGTATGCCTTGATGTTAAAGCTCAATGCACTGTCGTTTGGAAAATCTAATAGAGCTACCGCATTTGTCTTGATGATTTTGGAACATGATAGTGTATAATGTGAATATTATAAAACCACAGAATATTATTTTCCTCGGAAATTTCACTTCATGTATTTATTGGCATATTACCTTATTGGATTCTTGTATGTGTTTGTTTTAAAGTATATGTTTTTCGTCATTATACAACGCCACGAATTTGAGTCGTCTAAAGGCAGGTTATAGCACGCGAGATTGTTTGATAATAATATCACACTGTAAAATATAAATAAACATGTCCATGTATAACAAAATGCTGAAATAACAAACTTTGAACAAAAAAAATCATCGCTGTCAGGGGCACGGGGGCACGTGCACATACATCGATTGACAGTGAATTGAAGAGTAACAAAAAAAAAAAGGGGGGGGGGGGTGCTGGAGAGAAAAAAAGAGGTGAATGATAAACTTAAAACCCTCTCCCCTCACGCTTGTTGAATTTGCATTTCATTCACTTAGTAAGTACGATGTACCCCCCCCCCTTAATGTCGACGCCCTGATCCTACCTACGCCAGTTTGATGCAAATATATATTTTGAGGAACGGTCATGTTTAGATATAATACACAACTTTGTGCAATAGGAACACATACCAGCACATAGTTTAAATGACGTAAAAAACCTCTTCAATGTAGGTCAAGTCGAAAAATCTCACCTAAACTAAACGTCAAATATACAGTCATTTGGTCTTCATCAAGACAGTTGCATCAGACAAGGAGAAAATAAAATCAGGAAGTATACAATTTTATTTCCATTGTGATAGCTTTCGTCTTGAACTTGCATATTGTGGTTTTCGTTCGTTTTGATACTCAATAGTGAGTGTGTATACAATTTAATTATGACTAACGTTTAGTTTCATGACCTATACGATCGCACTGTTCTGCAATTCATTGAAAATAGTACCACGTACAGTGTGAAGTTTCTTTTGAAAATCTGTTTATTGCAGTCCTCGTTCATTTAGATGTAACTAATACTAAGATTCATTGTTGTCTCAATGTATTAAGGCCTATCATTACCGTGACCTAAAATACAGGCGTTGGTCTTTTACGATGCCACTTTTCTGCAACTCTTTGGAAATTGTATGACCGTTTCAATGACCTAAATCCATTGAAAAAGAAAACTTCATAAAAGCTAGCATTATTTCGCGTGTATAGGGATTAGACTGCAAACGGCCATCACCAAAAGATGTGTTGAAAAATGGTTAATTGACCTCATGCATAAGGGTACAACCTATTTGACGCAGCACTGGTCCTAGGTAATGCAGTCATTTTCTACTTAAGCGTCATCGTCGGGGGTACTAAGAATTAAATATAGGCTGTATTTATGCCAAACCCTAAACCTAACCCTAACCCTGCCCTAACCATATCCCTGTCCCGTCAAACGTATATAACACAGAAACAACGACACTAGCACTGTCCATAAAGTTGTTATAATTTTTCTTTCATCTTTTTATGTGACAACATTGCTTATTCTTGATAGATAACATGTGTATCTCGTCAGAACTGTACTAATCAATAAAGAATGGTCAATAACATTTAATCAATCAAGTTCTGAAAGGATATGAAATATATCTAACATGAATACATTAATAATTTCATGAAAAGAGGTAAGAAAAAAACTATTCCAACTTCACTTTCTGGGCAACAGTGCATGTATAACCGTAAAGACAATGTTAAGGATGACTGAAAGCGTACCATCCCTCCCCAGGAGCTTTACTACTTGAATCAACTCGGAGGAGACACCCAAAACACATTTTAATGAGTATTTTCTTTATTAACGATTATTATTTTTCATTTGTTATTGTTGGTTTCCTTTCAGATTAACTACAATGGATCTCGGTCGACGCCAGTTTGTGGTTGCTTTGATTTTCCTATTTTCAGCAGCAACCGGTAAGATCACAATCTTTTATACATTTTTTTTAATTATAGGCCTATTATTTGACAATGACTGTAATAAAGTTTGTACATGTATAAGCCATAAGGGCTGTGCGATTTAATTGCTGCTTTGGGACAGTATTCATTCTGTATTTTGCTCCTAGCAGTGCTAGTGTCACCCGTGAACTTATGCACTTTTTGTCCCATTTATCAATGATCCTGCACAAGTTACTTGTTCTCCGAGTGGTATCTTTTGTATGGCGACCTGTTTTCACTGTCATGGTCGAATAAAGAAGTGGGCGTTAACATCATAACTTCGTAATTTCGTAAAGAGAAGCGTGATCACCAACCACTGTAGACATGGCGTTCCTTTTTCTTTCAAACTTGTTGAACCGAATAGGTGACACCGCAAACAACGTGAATAATATCATTGTATTGGATAGCGATATTTGTGCACGGAATAACACAAATATTTCTACTCTGTTTTATATTTTTGGGCCAGTTATTTATACCCTCTATCATCGGTGTATCTGTTTGAGCCTAATGTGTATTAATGCACAGGGTTTGTAAGAATATTATCTTAACTCATAACACAATATCTTTAACAATAACTGAAGTGAAACAAGAGAATTTCGATAGTATTGATCCCTTGAAATAATATACTTCATCGTGTTCATATACTGATTGAAAAGTCTGCTATCATTTTCAATGGAGAACATTCTGTTGGGGGGGGGGGGGGGGGTAAATTTCACCGTGTCCCCTTTCGAATACGCCAGTGTCTAAACACTATCATTGCGAGCATACCTGTCAAATAAAGTTTGCTACGTCATCAGTAACTGCTAAAATTAGTAAATTACTCTGCTAAAGTTTTGGTAAACTACTGCATCATTTCGAATGTGAAATGCCCTCTTCGCGTGCACTATTGAAATTGGCAAAACAAATACACAAAATAGCATTATGAAGTAAGAACCATGTTGATGTATTGCTTTTGAAAAGACCTTCTCTTACGATGGGTTTGGTCTGATGTTTACTTTGAGTCAGATTTTCAAACGACTTGGCCTTTCAAATGTATTGGAACGTTTGAACTTGGAAAGGCATAGTTTTATATGAAAGTCTTGTTTTGACTTTGACTTGCCAAGTCGATTTCTGTGTTATCAAATATTTATACAAAGGGAAGAAAGAAAACCAATGTGTGTACGATTGTGTAACTGCGAGAATTCATTCTGATATATTACAGATGATGAATGCCGTCAAGTTCGGAAATTTTTACCCACAACTTTTGTATGAGAGTGCTCGCGGGTCATGCGTGAACTGGTGCTTGTGTAAATAAAATTATTGGATTTTACAACAAGAAAATCAACTAAAACAACAACAGCATCAAGAACAACCCCAGCAGTAATATCAAAAGATTCATATCCTGTGTGTTCTTGGGTTTAGTGGAAGAAAGTTTACTTATATCCAGCATGCCTTCTAAATATACACATAATTATTATGTAGACGTATTTTATGAACAATTTGCATCTTTTGTGATTTACTTCTTGTGCCTTAAATTGATTGGCCAAGATTATTTCCACCGGAACCCCACTGGAAATAAGCTCTCGAGCTTCGTGGGTTATCCTGTTCAAGCTGACTTAATTTCGATCTGTTATTCTTGTATATTGTTGTATGTTGGAAGCTTGGCGAATAAAAATCAATCAATCAATCAATTATGGAATAAGTACCCTTGTCGTTAGATCTTACAATGATCATTTTTAAATCAAGGCACAGATCGCTACTGGTTAGTCACAGGGCATCGTTTCACTAAACCGCGTCGTAACTCGTAAGTGCAAGTTTGCAGACATCCCAGTTAAACGGGTATGCTTTATTATCACACGTTCCGATGGGAATGTAAGATGTAAGATGCACTTTAATACGTCACGAAGGTTTCGTCAAACGATGCCCAGGATCAGGATTGGTCCAGAATTTGTCAGCACCTAAAAACACCTAAATTAATATTTTCTGTATTTGTTCTTTTTGTTATTAAATCCAATACAGCATTAGAAAACGTCGTCGATGTTGTGGATGCCCAGTGTTGCTCAACCATCGACACGTCCCGCAACATGGGTGTGTATGGATCGAGGTGTCCAACTCCCCAACTGCAGATGGAGTGTGGGTCACGAGGGTGCTGCGGTAGGTATTTTGAAGGCAGGCGTACCCAACATTCATTGGAAGTTACGCTTTCTGTCAAGTTTTAGAACACCGTGATTTCGAAGTTATGCTCAATATGTTGCCACAGGTGATCGGTACATACAGTACTTAACAGAGAACTCCGATGAGAGTCATTTGACAAGTTCTCAAATTTTCGATTATTTGATTTCATGACTATCGTCAGGAACTGAAATATATGAATAAATGTGTTGCATTTATAGAGTAAGGAGGTTTGACATCAAGTTTACTAAAACAACATAACGACATTAACGTATATTTACGAAAGAGAGTGACTGAAGTATTTGAAATCAGCCACTGTAAAACCAAGTTAATGGCGGGGGGGGGGGGATGTGCTCATGATAAATATAAAATCATAAACTTATTAGAATTTGCAATACCATGAACGTAAATTCCGAACACTTTTATTTGAGCTAGGGAATTGTAAATGGATATCTTCATATATTCCCTGTATTAACTATATACAGTATTTTACTTTCCGATTCAGTAAAAATCTTTTTTGTTTTGCATAAGACCTAGTATAGGAATGTTATACAGCCATTACTCTTGTTTCAATTTTGGATCCCTATGCAGAATTAATGCAGCAATATTACTCATTATTTGAAAATATATAGTTGCGACAAACCAGTCAACCGAGGACACGGTCGCGGAGGCATACCAGCCTTACCATTGCATCTATTCTGATGACGTCATAGAACCATGGAATGTATGCGATCGTACCATAAATTGTCCTCGAGGAGATGATGAAATGTATTGTGGTAAGTATTTTTATTTTCGTTCTTTTCACCCTCTTTCGATGCATTCATCATTAACCAAAATAAAATGAAATGACTATGAAAAAGAGGGAAAGGAAAAATAAAGGAAAAAGGAAAAATTAAAAAATGGAAAAAAAAGAAGGAAAGTATAGAAATGAAAATGAAAATAGACAAATAAATTTAAAAAAAAGATTAAAGACTAGAAGAGCAGGTTTTGTTTTATTAAAAAGAATATTTGTCTATTATCAGGTATTCGACTTTAAGTTGGACTTAACTATGGCAGGCTGTTCATGTCACTGTTTGCTCTCGATATTATGATCTTTAGATAATATATTTTCTTTCAATAATGAATTATCAAAAAAGTTTAAATTCTGGAGATTTGTGACCATTATTGTAAATCCCTTTAGAGACTAATACCAGTTAATGGTAAGAGAAAACAGCACTGGCATGAGCGGCCTGCCTTAGTTAAGTCCAACTTAAAGTCGATCTTAGTATTTGTGAAACATTCCCCTGGTGTACCGATTCCAGCTGATATTAGCAAGAATACTTAGTATTCATTTTCTTTCGTTTGAAGCTTTTATGTACCGCTATAATGTACACATTTATCATTTAATTATCCCCAGTTATTTTCATATATTCCTGCATGGTTCGTGTCATTACTATGAAAAGATGAGATAATCAAACAATATCATAAGACTTACATGATGATCATTACCACTGGCGTACTGGTGGGGGAGCTAGGGGGGGCGCCAGCCCCCCCAAATAAAATTGAACCATGACTTATTTTCAATTCCATATAGATCTACAAGTCATGTATAAATGTTGGTGATATCACATGATTTTCAACAAAATGCCCGTTTCTCCATTTCTGTTGCAAACTGACACATTCACAAATGGCCAGGAAAAGCATATGTTTTTTACAGTCACTAAGGGGCCGTGGCCACTAACAGTAACACTAGAAGAAGAAAAAAATCCTTTACAGAAGCAACTGTGACAAGCACTGCCGGGCGTTCCATACTGACATATCATGTAACACTGCATTATGTACCGTTAATAGGGCCCAGTGGGGAAATTGAATTCAGACAAGATTAAGAGTTGGTACAACGAATCGTCTTCTTTAATAATTTAATGAAACGGCAAAGCTTCCGTGCTTCGGGGGGAGGGGGGGGGGGGGGAGGAGGGAGCAACTGAATTCAGACTAGGATTAAGAGTCGAGATGGGTACAACGAATCGTCTTCCTTCTTTAATAATTTAATGAAGTGCCAAAGCTTCCTCACTTTACGCGTGAGGGGGGTGGGAAACTGAATTCAGACAAGAACACGATACAACGAATTGTCTTCTTTCTCTGATAATTTAATGCAACGTGAAAGCTACCGCGCTTCGCGCGGAATGGGAGAATATGAATGCAGACAAAGATTAAGAGTAATAGTTTAATGAAACGTCAGAGTTTTCGCGCTTTACGCGAGATGGGCGAAAATCAATTCAGACAAGGATTAATAGTGGAAACCGGTACAATGAATCGTCTTCTTTCTCTAATAATTCAATGAAGTGCCAAAGCTTCCGCGCTGCGCGCGGGGGGGGGGGGGGGGGGGGGAACTGAATTCAGACAAAAACACGATACAACGAATCGTCTTCTTTCTCTAATAATTTAATGAAACGTGAAAGCTTCCGCGCTTTGCGCGGGATGGGCGAAAACGAATTCAGACAAGGATTGAGAGTAATGATTTATTGAAACGTCAAAGCTTCCGGGCTTCGGCTGGGAGGGGGGTGGGGGAACTGGATCCAAACAAGAATTCAGAGTCGAGAACGGTACAACAGGTCGTCTTCTTTCTCTAATAATTTAATGAAGTGTCAAAGTTTCCGCGCTTCGCGTGAGAGGATGGAGACCGAAAATTAACTTAGTTCCTGGCCCCGGGTGTATAGGGTTAAATTTGTAGACATTTGGACATTAGCATTAATATATTTGTCGGTAATTGGGTGCTCGTTTTGTCGGTTATCGGTGGCCTCTACACCCTCCCCACTCCCCCGCTGACAAAGATCTAGCGACGCCCCTGATAACGACACAGTTTATACACTCGAGAACATGTATGCAAGTACTTCACTGATGAAGTACCGGACCACCGACTTTGTGCATTGTGCGGCATCAAAGCATATACAACGTCTCAAGACGTGACAGATCACTTTTCTCTAACTTGTAACCAATCAAAAGGCCTCGTTTTTTTCCAGGAAGTGCAGGTGGACATTAATGCGCCAAATGTGGTTCTCATATTGCAAAAGATCCCTACTCTTGGAAGGGGTAGGAGAAAGCAATTTTACGTCATATTACTCCAGGAAGTGACTGAAAATGCGTCTAATTTGGTTCTGAAATTGCAAATGCTTCTTACTCTGGGAGGGGGCCAGAACCCCCTCCCAGACCCACCCCCGCTTGGTCGCTCCGCTCCCTCGCCGCTAAAGCCCCGTTCTGTCGCTTCATCGTTTTACATAATATTTAACGCCATGCCATTTTGTGCCCCCCCCGGTAAGAAATTCCTGGATCCGCCACTGATGCCCATACCCCTTGAGCTTTGGGGGCTCCACTCCTTGACCCCCGCCGGGGCTTTGCCCCTAGACCCCACTTTGCGAAACGTTCACCGGGGCCTGCATGTTAGAGTAGGGTGCTGCGGATTTTTTTTGTCAGCACCCCCAAACGTTTTTGCTCATTACGCCACTGATCATTACCCATTTGGTAGTATAAGGCTTTGGGACTTTGCTACACCTTTACTTCAACCATGGCAAGTGATACGAAACAAAAATACTAGCATCAGCAAAACCGACTAATAGTAATAACTAACAAAACATGCTTCATGATCAATAGACATAAAACATTATTTTCAAGCTTTTAGTAAAAAAGGGAGAATAATTTGTAATAAAAAGAGTAAGATGCTATTTTCATGTTTGTGTGGGCGTGCGAGAGTGCGTGTGTATGTGTAATTGGGTTTTTACAGACGCGTATCACTCAGAAGTGAGTATTTACGTATGGGACCGATGTTTAACGTCACCATCCGAAAGACGTGACTTGAACGTGGAACCTATTTCACAAAGCCTTCTTTCAATGAAAAATGACAAAAATCAGTGACAAACCTGCTGATAACCAATCAGAAGCAAGGATTTCAGTAGCTTATAACAAAAACTGTCATTTGTCACTGACGACAAGTTAGTGAAACGACCCCCGGAGTTTCGAACCTGGGTCCGATCAGAGTTAGTTTGAAGGCGGAGACAGAGAGCTGAACGGACCAAGGGGTGTTTCACAAAGATCTTAAGTTAAACTTAACTCTAAGTTGGACTTAAAAATCACGGAGAGCAATTTGTAGCCTTAAAATCAAACATACTTAAAAGCGAAAATTCAAGTATTTAAAAATTTTAAAATAAATTCCACATCAAGAACATGAAATCCCAGTTGGTAATAGAAAATAGTAATGATTTGAATCAACATTTTATGCCTTTTAAAATAACTTTTACAAAATATTCTCATAGATGCCAACGGTTTTTCAAAATTGTTAAGTCCAACTATAAGTTAAACTTAGGATCTTTGTGAAACACGCCTCCAGGAACATTACCGCCAAACCGGGCGCCAAACCAACTCCCCTTACAATGCCTACAATTGCCTCCTACATGCAGGAACGTACACCTGTGCTTCGGCCATTGTTGATGGGCCATCGTCTGATATCCAGATTCCTTGTCCAAGCTCCAACACCTGCTACCGGCCCACTGGATCATGTATCAGCAGCCAACAGTGCCCTAATGACACGAATACTGCAGCTGACCTTTGCGGTAAGTAGTTTGATCTTTATTCTCACCAATTTCTGTCCTTTATTATAATAAAACTAACGAAATATGCAAAAATCTTCTCGCTCGGTCGCTACACTCTCTCGCATAATATTCTTCCAAATTTACAAGTAAATATTGTAGATAATCTTTGTTCGGTAATATTGGTTGGTTTTAATAGTTCACTACCACACAATCTATATATTCGCCATTTCGACACCCATAGCGATATCAATATACATGTACATGACATAGGCCTATAGATAGAAATCCCATCCATGCCCAAGCTCCCTATATACTTACTAAAATTTACCTACTCAATATTTACAACCCTTTGGACTGCACAATAACTACCGGCAAAGTAAAATTGAAGTGTGAATTAAGTATATTGCTTGTTTTCGCCTCCGTCACCTAGCTTCGCCCCTCTCGTTCACTATGCTCCCTCGTAATGTAATCAAATTTAATGCAAAAAACCTCGTTAGAAATTATTGAATTCCTCTGTTACGAATAATAATTGTATTTCAATTAGTCAGAATGCGAATTGCATACATTACGTGTTGTTAGGTAGGACAAGCCATAATGTTTGTCCAGCATCACTCTGCCGTCCTTTTAATGGTGTTTATTTCCTATCATTCTTTACAACAGTTCAGCCATGTCCATCGTCATGTTTTTGTGACACTCTCGCCATGATCTGCACGGCCAATATCGAGCAAGGAGCTGCAGGAGACCCACTGATACATTCTCGCTTGATACAGTTGTAAGTTGTAAGGGTCCGTCTTAAAAGGCCTCTTGAGGGGCCCTATGACCTAAGACTTATTTGTCTGATCCATGATGCACAGGACCAAGTGGGAGGATAGAGAAAAAAATCAGACCGACTTTGACTGAAGTTTATAGTCGACAGGTTTTTTTAAACAATAAACAGAGATATCACAAAACGTGTCCGTATGCCTATGTAGGTAATTGTCCTGTACCCCTAGGTTGTGGTCTTCAAAGAAAGTGCTTGTATGGTTAGTAGTTCATTGGTGATTGTTTAAGGGTGTAACGTTAATCATGAGATCCTCCCTGTCCAGTTTGGGTAGTCCGGGAATGATTATTATAGGTGTAATTATTTTAGAGGATACCTATCCAGAGGTACCATTCTGGGAATAATGGTCATCGGCGTAGTAGTCCTGGGATATTTGCCCTAGGATATGATTATACTTGACAGTACCTTTCAATGTATATTGTTCCGGGGATAATCGTCCTAGAGTAATCATCCTAGAGGGTACTTTTCCAATTGTAGTAGTCCAGTAATGATTATTATTGGGTGTATTTGTCTTAGTGCACTTGCCCGAGGGTAGGTCTAGTTGCCGAATAAAATTGTCGAAAGGGTGCGATACTCTTCGAAACAGATTATCATTAAAAGGTAACTCGTAACCTATCTATGTTTTCCATTTTTTTTCCTTCTCAGTGCCCTTGGAGATTTTACAGGAAACCTTATTATCAGCAATGTATCAGGTAGCTCAAATAATGGATCCATCCTTCTGTTGAATCCGTCCGACATTATCTACGTAAACACTTTGTAAGTTCATAATAATATTAGCTTACTATATTCATTAAGATAACAAACAAGTCACAGTTTAAACTTTATACTGACAGAATAGTATATCACTGCTGTGGCTTGTTCTTCAGACAAAACGGATGAAGTGTAGAAAATACCCGTTACTACTACGGTATGGATCCATGAGACACAAAATAATAGAAGAAAAGGAAGATTCTCGAGACCATGTCCACAAGACTGAAGGTTTCCATCTCTTGATCTTTGACCTACTTTCTTGTGGACAGTCTGACCATTACTAAAAACGGAAGGTCTCGGTCTCTCGGCCTTTGTGGCTCCAATCTTGTGCACGTTTTGACATCTAATTGGAAGGTACTCGAGACAGACAGGTTTGGTCCCTTACAGTTTATACTAAGGTCCTTGTGGACGCTCTGACGACAGAAAGATTCTCAAGGTCAAGGAACCACAACGAATAAAGCCTCCTCTCTTGGACTATGTACCCTCGGTCTTGTATACATTTTGAAAACTATATGCATACGGTCCACAAGACATGATTTGGGTCTCTTAAACCTTGTATCATCGGTCCTGTGAAGACTCATGGGACCAAACGTCCAAGAAACCGAAGTTTCACGAGATCGAATTTTTCGGTCTAGTTGGCCTCCTGTGTACTGGCATGCGTCTTAAAACACACCAATTGTTGTCATTTAACTGCGAGTTCTCATCATGCTCATGCAAAATTATTTAATTTTTTTTATATGGAAATGTTTCCCGTTGCTTCATATCTCTTACCAGGGTTGTTACGTCTCCTCATAATACAATAGACCAACCTACAACATACAACTTTAATCTTGAGATCGAGGATGATGCGTTTTCATATAATTCATTTCTTCACACATTGTAAGTATATTGCCTAGATGTTGCACGATTTTGATCTCGTTTAACTGTTCTTCACCACGAAAGACATTTATACAATGTTTTATAAATACTGATTTTCTAGGTGAAAACAGGATAACAGTATTTTCACGATAAAGTCTGGTACATGATCCTGGTTTTCCTTTTTAAGATTCGTATATTTTGTGATATTTAAAGGTTTAAACACATATTTCATGATTATACATTCAAAGGTCCAATCATTTATTGATTTTCATTTGCAACAAATTAGCAAACATATATTCAAGGTAATTCATATTTATAGCATGAATAAATTGACTACTCAAGGTACAAATATTTGTTGAACTGTCGAGTTAACAGAAGACATACATATTTTCAATAATGGATTTCTGATATTCATGAACAACAAAAATGGAAGAAACAATACAAAAGAGACATATTATCCTTTGATTATTGGGCTATATAAAACTACTTTGTTGTGACCACTGCTAATGATTTAAAAAAAGAAAAAAAGAATAAAAAAGAAGATTAAATCTTTTATATCAACAAATTCCTGAATTGAAACCATTTTGTTGTGAACTTATTATTTCTACAGTTCGAATCTGCAATATACTTTTCATTTTTGGAATAATTTATAATCGAAACTCTAATATTATCAAAGTCGGGCAAGGTTTTCTTTATTTTGCACGTATACATCATCTGTCGCACCACAATCAGTATACAATTCAATGCATAATTATTTGAACCTCTGAAAACCAAATAATTTATCTTGTAGTGAAAATATTATTCTATTTCCGGTTCCAGTATATATCCAGTGTTCCAACCTATCCCAAATATGTTTAACATGCGTACAATGACATAGCAGATGTATGACTGTTTCGCTCTGTTCATTAAAAAAAATGTACATCCTTCTCTTGGGACTATATTAATTTTAAACAGTAAATCATTCGTATATAATATACGCTGCAAAACATTAAACTGAAACCATCGTAAGCCCACATCTATGGTACAATTAAATCCAAATGGAACAATATGTATCTTGTGATTATGTTTAAGGGTTCTGACGGGAAGTTCGCTGGAGACCGTTACCACTTCCATGTTTACTGGGCTTTCTTCTTTAGAATACTTGTAAGTATCATACAGCCAAATTAAAGACAGTAAATACGTATTGATATAATATCAACAGAATTTGTTTATAGTAGAGATAGATATTGACTATCATGTCAGCGGTCATTGTGATTGTGATTTAATAGATAAAGTTTATATCTTCTCACAACGTTATTGATCGATCTAATGAGTCACAGATATTGATCACAAAAGTTGTGAGAAGATGTAAACTCTATCTATTAAGAATGAACCACATTATCACAATCATTACTTGAAAAGACATAAGAACAAAAAACTATAACTTTGTGGTCAACTGTGTATTAAATCTTTACAAATATCTCTTTCTGATATTCCTGTCTTTTACTTTAGCCAAATTCTCTAAATGTTCCGTGAAAAAACTATTAAATGGTCTTGTATTCTTGTTTCCATAGAAATCTGGATCGCAATTCTATTCGGAATATATCGGCCAATTCATTTGCCCCTTTGATAAAATTGAAAACCTTGTAAGTATGTAATTTTTTCATCTCGTTACTATAAACTGTTGATGATGACGACGATGATGATGACGACGATGATGATGATGATGATGATGATGATAAAAATGATGATCATGATGATGATGGTGTTCATAAACGCAATACAATATAATACAATATGGAATGACTATAACAACATCAACAACAAGGTTACACAAAATATTTAAGAGAAACAGTATCTTACATGTAGTTAAAGGGCATATGAAACCTTTTTGAAATAGATTACAACCCTCATTATGACCGTTTAGTTTGAAAAATCTGAAATCTCATACTTAAAAAGGACAAAAATAAATTACTTTATGATTTGACCGCCTAGTTTAAAAAGAAAGCTATTACATTTTTGACATATTTATAACAGTTTTCTGTGGAATGTGGAATGGAAAGTGACAAAAATTAAAAGTGCTGATGATTAATCATTCGCCACCAACAACATCATAAAAAAAGCAGCCATGACAATAACTCACCTGTTATATATTCTTAACATAAACTTAGGTCGCTGGGTATCAACCACTTAACCGTTATCGAAGTCGGCGCATTTGACGGTTTAATCGATCTGAGGTCATTGTAAGTATGCACTTAATAATGAAAATTTGAATTGATTCATTGGAATACGATTCGTTTAAACAAAATATATTATCCACATTAGCACTACAGCTAAATTACCAAGAATATACCCCAAAATGATAAAATGACGGTATTATGTTATGTTTACGTTAAAAAACCATACGATAATAATTACGACAGATGAATTTGAGTGAGGGAGCTCGAGAAAGGAAGAGAGGGAAAGAGAGAGAGAGAGAGAGAGAGAGGTGTTGTTTCGATAATGAAAGCAAGTCGTCAGGAGTATAGAATTGTAAAGATTATACATTTAAATTAATATTTAACGTTCCGATGTTATTTCTTTCTTGCAGGAGGTTTTTTGATAGAAATTGAGAAATACATATAACAACCAGACAAATAGTTATGAATTCATGCTTTTTTTGTTGTTGTTTCCCATAGAAATCTTGATGAAAATCCCATTGTTGTAATCGAGCCGGGAGCATTTTTTGATTTGATTCAACTCAGAATTTTGTAAGTGCCTAAATTTGGTTTGTTTTTCATATTCTATTTTCTCTATAAACACGATCGCAACCGTTTTTGGAAGAAAAAAATCATCTTCGAGGAGCAACTTTAATAACGTATTGTATATCATGTTCCATAGAAATCATGTTTGAATTACGTACTGTCGCACATTTCAAAAGGTCACGTACACGGCTATTTAATTGCCTTAGGTTGATCATCCAAAGTAGTTGCGACCATGTTATAAAAATACATAGGCCCACTTACATATAATTATGGACATACGTATAATATAGTTACATACGTACATCCATGTATATACATAATTATATAGATGTAATACATACATATAAATATGAAGAAATATACGAACCAAAAAATACAGAGATGTATGGATAGCGCTATACAGAGATATTAACAAGGGGTCTCTGATGTTTTTTTTTTTTTTTTTGGGGGGGGGGGGGGGGGGGTCAGAACCAAAATTTATCATCAGCGGAAAAATTGCTGAAAAGTGACCGTCCAGTTGAAATGAGTCAAAAAAAAAGTTCAGATCAAATTAATACAAATTACTGATTACTTTACTTCTTTTTTTTTCTTCCGAATTGCTTTCAACAAAAAAGAGCTAGGCCTATGTTGTTGTTGTTGTTGTTTTTTTTTTTGGGGGGGAGGGGGTTCCACTTTATACTTTTCGTCATTTTAACACAAAACAATAATTTTAGATCTTGATACTTCTTTGATAGGGCTGAGCTTGTAATTATCTGTTTAACCCAAAATTATTCATTAGCTGTCACAGGTCACTATAATTTCAGAATTTTTTACTTTTTTGATAGGGATAAACTTGTAATTATCTGTTTAACCCAACATGTTTTATTAGCCATTATAGTGACTACCACAATCATTAAAAGTAGTATTACTGTTAAAGAAACGTTTAATAAAGTTATCACCACCCCCACAGGTTTCTGTTTACAGATGAAGTGGAGGAATTTCCTGTAGAGATATTCGAAGGCTTAGAGGGACTTCAGGCTATGTAAGTAATTTTCCTTAGCATATTCCACGTGAGACTATGTTTTAAGAGAAAACAAAGACCCTTTCAAACTCGAGGATAGTTATGGATGCTAGGAAAATAAATTCAAAACAAAGACATTTGGTATGGGGGGGGGCGGTCGAAAAGGGATATAATTACAAAGCAGCAGAGACCCTTGACAATTTTTTTTTACCAATTTCGTAATTCTCAACCATTTCCTGAACATTCTGAATTATACCATTATTTTGAGAATCAATAATTGAACCTTCATTCACTCAGTGGATAAACCCTAAGCCTAACCCTAATCTTTGTACCAATGATACAACGGACCCTCTAATAGACGCAGGATCAGATAGACAGAACTATGAAAACGATGACTGATCATGGTACAGAACGGTCTGAAAAATGTCCCTTATGTATCACGTTAACTTGATTAGACCTACTTTCCTTCGTTTCACAATATCAAAATTAAATCAAGTATTCCGTTTATCCACTAGACAGTCTAATTTTGTTTATTTTTTCTTGCTTGTCCTACTTTAGGCACGTTACCGACTTCCGTCTCTGTTGTCGTATAAAAGATCTTGCGCAATGCGTGGACTACGAGCCGGTGCGATTTTCCTCATGCACCGGTCTTCTCGAATACCGTGTTCTTGGCTATTTCATGTGGATCCTTGGTGCTGCGGCCTTCTTCGGTAACGCGTTTGTCCTGGTGATGCGACTGCGGTCTCTGAGAAACCAAAAGAGAGCAAAGAAGACGGTTCAAATTCAGTCGATTCTGATCATGAACCTCGCCATGGCCGACCTACTGACGGGACTATATATGCTCATTTTGGCAGCTGCAGATACGTTTTTCGGGGCCGAGTACTTCGTGCATGCAAGAAACTGGCGGGAAGGGTTACCATGTAAGCTTATCGGTGTGATAGCTTTGATGTCTGGCGAAGCTTCCGTGCTCATCCTCGCTCTCATTAGCATCGATCGTCTTCTCGTTATCGTCTTCCCATTTGGACGCGTCCACCTTTCCCTCGTGTCCGTAAAAGTATGGACCGCCATAATCTGGATCATGTCCATTATCTTTGGCATTCTGCCTCCGATTTTAACCTCTGTTTTGAATAAAAACACAGTGGGCTATTTCTACATCTACTCTGACGTCTGCCTTGGTCTGCCACTTGTTCGCAGCACCAATCTTGAAATAGATTTCAACGAGTATGATTATGAAACGCAAGAAGTCGACTTCACCTTTCGTAACGTATCAGACGGCAAATATGCGTATTACGCCATCATTATATTCATCGGTTTAAATCTGCTCTGTTTTCTAACTATCCTCTGCTCCTATGTCGCCATCTTTGTTTACGCTCGCAGAACATCTCGGAGGGTTCACCGCTCCCCGGAGAGAGAGCAAGAATTGCGTCTCGCCGCGCGCATGGCCATTATAGTTGGTACTGACTTTTGCTGTTGGATGCCGATCATCATCCTTGGCATACTGGCTCAAGCGGGAGCGGTCCCGGTGTCGACGGAAATGTATGCTTGGTGTGTGGTTTTCATCATACCAATTAATTCGGCAGTAAACCCTTTCCTTTACACCTTCGGAGGTGCATGCACCGAGAGACAGAGAGCTCATAGTAGCTCTTCAACTCCGGTTGCATCAAATTCTGATCAGGGATCGAAGGGAACAAAATTATCTCTCCTTTAATAAAACAATTGGGAAACTGTTCATAGATTATGATTCGATGGCTGAATTTACAATTCAATTAGGAACAGACCAAGGGGAGGCCAACATAGTGAGAATCAGATTCTGAAGGTCTACATCTGTCATAATGCGGACGCATATCAATAAAATTATACCGAATATATAAATGACTGATGGAAGTTTATGCTGCTTTAGTACTGCTTCCAAAATACAGACATATATGGATATTCAATATTATTTTTTTAACAATGTATTTTCAAAATGTTAAGTAGGCCTAATACATTTTAAGTCTATCCGAATGAATAATAATCGATTTCAAGAGATTCGTGATTCCAACCCGTTGTCTTCTTGTATAAAGGAAATAGATTTAACGAGATTTTTTGGACAGGTCCGGTATGACCCCTGCAATTATCATTACCCCAGCTATTGCCAGGTACCCATAAACACCCGGGTGGCGAGTGGCAAATGTGAATTAATGTCTTGCCAAGGGACATTGGTGCCGGGCTGGGATTCAAACCCTCAACCCCCGGATCGAAAATAAAGTGCACCAACCACTGTACCTCGATACCTCCATTTATCATGGAGCATTTGTTATTAACCCGCCGGCTTCTAATTTTTTCATTCCCATAGGCTTAATGCATACGCCACCCGGCTCCAGTTTTCAATGGGTTAAATTGTGAAAGGTTGTGAGGGGATGTTGTAAAAGCTTGTGATTATATGATGCATTGTTAATATGCTTACGCCAGGTGGCTCTGGTAGCACAAGAGTCACCACTCCTCAAAACAAATTATGCGCTTAGTATTTGTATTTATTTAGACACTCAGTTAAAACATAATTATGTCTAGGGATGTAGCAAAAGGTTTGGAAAAGCCGTTCACGGTTGTATCTCTGAAAAAAAAATTGATAAAAATAAAGAGATCTTACTAGAAACGAAATAATAGAAAATTTAGAGCCAACAGGCTCTTTAATCTATATTCTTCCATTTACATGTTTATGTGTGTTTGGTTGTGTGTGCGTGTGTGTGTGTGTGTGTGTGTTTCTCTATCCGGGTCTCTCTTCCTCCCGAATGTTTTCTGTCTCTCTTTCCTTCCTTTTTACACTCAATACTCTCTCCATTTTCTCTTCTCTCCACTTTTTCTTTGTTTCTTCTATTCACTCTGTTCTCACTGTCCAGCTTAACCTGGCTGTCTTTTCCCTTCTCTTACCCGTACTCTTTTAACCCCTCCCATCTTTCTCGTTATCTTTCTGTAAATCGTCCTCTCTCTCTCTCTCTACACCCTACTTCTTCATTCTCTGTGATTATGCGTTGTTATTTATAATTTTGTATAAGCATAGGCATATACTTTATGAAAGATCAAATAAATAATTAAGCCGTAGTAATTATCTCAATATAACATATATAAGGTTTTTTAATGATTCATTACAGAAAGAAAAAATAAATATACCCTGAATGAACTTACAACTAAAACATTTTTTGTGACAAACGTAGGCTAAGATACACTGTCGCTCATATAGTTGGAATATTTTTGTTTTACCTCAATTTAGGGAATCATTTTAAAAAATAATTAAAAAATAATAGATCTAGATAATAAAATACATTCTCAGATTTTATTGAATAATAATGTGTGTTTTGCGTGACTGCTAAAGCATGTGTATGTTACTATGCTTATCAACTAGGGGACCTACGCCCTTAAGTCATAAATGACAGTAATAAAGATTAATGCCCCGCAAAAGGGCACTAATATATCACATCGACACAGTTTTGATCCTGGGGCCTCACAGTTACGAGGCCATTGCTTTGTTACTGAACCATGACTGTACGCAGCGGGGGCTAGGGTAGGGGGCAGCTTCCATAAATAAAAAAAACACAAAGAAATTGCAATAAATTTTCAATAATTTATTGCATTTTACCCCGGTTCCCAACAAAACAAAAATATTCCAACTATATGAGCGACAGTGTACATGAGTACACGACACAGAGTGCAACAATTTTTAAGATTATATTTAGTAAGTGCAAGTGAAAGACAAACTTCATAAAATTTAACATTGCAAGGGTTTACAATTATCAAAATAACAGCGGTGGTAACATTAATAACTTTGATGAGTCAAGATCACAATAAACTTTATTGTATTAAAATGAAATAATGAAATCATAAATAAAAGAGGGCTTACATTGTAAAAGGAGTGGGGTATTTATACAGGGTACATTTAACAATGTAATAAAGGCACCATCTCACTAAAGGTCAACAAATGTATGTGCCCGTATATAATGTAAATATGAATATATATATATCAAACTTGATAAAATATATCAAGTAAATTGTCGTAACTCATTTTCTATGTAAGATGTATGAAACAACGATGTCCTTTCAAAGAAGATTGAATGAAATACATGTATTTTGATATTTAAACACATATCTATTAAATGTTTGTAGTTGCTAAAGTTAAAGAGTTGTTAATAAAGACACTTTTTTGCGACAAAAATGTTCCAATGCCAACCGTATTACAATTGCATGTCATATACATATCGAAATCATCATCCCACTGTAGAATAAAAAAGATGGAATCTATATTAATATTTTCTATTTTGACAAACTTCTAGAAAAAGCAAGGAAAAAAGTTCTTTTACAAAAATGATAGTATAAATTACCCTAACCATAAGTAACCTTACTTTTAGATGCGTACTTGCAAAGAAACGTAACGATGTCTCCATTCTTATAACCTAACATCCATTCACAATTTGGATAGATTTTGCAACGTGTATTCTCAGTAATATTGTCATCTTAAAAATGAGTCCCAGAGCAAAATCATGTACTGCTAGGACCTTAATTTCTCACGGCGAAATAGGCACCCCTGGACTGATGTTCTTCATCAAAAATTGCACAGTTATTTATTGCACGTCAAATTCATGGAATAGAATATCTTTATGAATGCAAATATATTTGATTTAAAAGTACTGTATTCTTTGATTGTCTGATGAAGATTTACATGAACATGCCGAAAATCCTTGTTGTATGACTGGAATTGTAATGTGAGACAAAATTAATGCATTGACGATTAGCACGATGATGACGATGTAAAAGAAGTTTTAAAAATTATTTTACAATATTTTCTTTTCGTATCATTAACTGCCCATGGATTGCTACATTCTCGATATCTTAAGCTATGGTCACAAACCTGAGCAGCGACCGACCGATCAGTAGCCTGCTCGGTCGCTGCAGGAATTTAGGCATCGCCCAGCAATTAGGTCGGTGCCCGGGCGGCGACCGCCCAGGCACCGAGCGTATTTTGGGCGGCGAGTGAAAAGTGAGCAGGCGCCGCCCAAATTTAAAGCTATGGTCACAAATCTGAGCAGCGACCGACCGATCAGTAGCCTGCTCGGTCGCTGCTGGAATTTAGGCATCGCCCAGCAATTAGGTCGGTGCCGGCCGGCGACCGCCCAGGCACCGAGCGTATTTTGGGCGGCGAGTGAAAAGTGAGCAGGCGCCGCCCAAATTTTAACTCCGCGCTAAAACTTCAGCGGCGACCGAGCGATGCCCTAAAAACGAGCGATGCCTGGGCGGCCGCCGCTCGGTGGCCGAGCAGCCGCCGGGCAGAATTGGTTAAAAACTCGCCGCTCGGCCGCCGAGCAGGCAACTTTTGGGTAATGTGACCATAGCATTAACACCGCGCTAAAACTTCAGCGGCGACCGAGCGATGCCCTAAAAACGAGCGGTGCCTGGGCGGCCGCCGCTTGGTGGCCGGGCAGTCGCCGGGCAGAATTGGTTAAAAACTCGCCGCTCGGCCGCCGAGCAGGCTACTTTTGGGTAATGTGACCATAGCATTATTGTTACATACACAACGAGGATATATTTTTTCAGACGGGTGATGGTGCCCAATTAGCAACGCATACCTACCCACCAGTAAATAGTTTTCATTCATCAAAGTGTGCACAGTTAAAGGACAAGTCCACTCCAAAAATAACTTACTTTCAATAGAAGCAGAAAAATAAGACTTACCAATCAAAAAAAGTTTGAGCAAAATCGGATAACCAATAAGAAAGTTATGGATTAAAGATAGGATGCTAAAGTCATTGTGATTGGATAAGCATGTGCGTGCCCGTAAAAAGACGACTAGCCGGAATGCTTCCCAGGAAGTGGAGAATGTGCACTGTAATGTGTGGAATAGTAACGAATCCATTGGCGGGGAAAATAATAAATACAGTTAGCGCTTTGTTCGGTTGTAACTGGTACAGCGCTAAGTAAGAACATATAGCTCCGTTTAGTCTCATTTCACAACGCCCCCTATCGTCAGAGTCAGCAGCCATACATGTTAGCCTATGGACGTTTTTTAAAAAAATCGTTAAAAATTCATTTTTTGTTTAAACGAAAAGCACATCCACCCCGACGTACGTTATCACTAGCTCTTTCATTGGAGCCCTCATGTCTCATTGACTTTTGAAAGTTCACCCACCGTAATTTTTCAAAATAGGTTGCAAGCTCGCCATTGCCTATAATACACATGTGAAACAAGTCGAACTTTGGACTCAGTCTGCCAATTGATTGTAAGATTATAGGTCAAGCACACGAAGGATAAGAAGCATGAATTATCAATTATCACTTCTGCTATGTTCATTATGTCCATTTCATCCACCCCCCACCGTAATTTTTCCATTTAGTAAAAGCAAATATTTTGCCGAGTTTAGCAAAAACATGAATATTCATGAACGGTCAGATATAACGTATAGTGAATTGGATTGGGCGATGATCCGTCCAGGAGGTAGAGGTCAGTGTTTTGTGCTGGCAATGTTCACGCGAGCGAAAAAGAGACAATCGGAGCAATATGACAGTTTTAATCATTATCTTGTGCTTTACTTCTCATGGACTTCGGGTTCTTTCCAGGCCTCTTGTGAACTTGGATGTCCGTTGGCGTCGTTAGACCCCGATACTCTGGAAAGTCGAGAAAAAAATAATACAAAAATGTTTCGAATACATAATTATATACATATTTAGCATTAACAAATGGAAACACTAGCGTGTTTTTTTTTAAACAGCGATAATGACCTGCAACTGCAACTTAATATCTTATACATGTGTGGCTCGGTTGGTCATAATTTAGTGCCACTACAAAAGAAAAACGGAAACAAAATAGTAGTACCGTTATAAATTGTGACCGATATCCATTTCATTGACTTCTTAAAATCAGTTGTGGTCGTGTTTGTACTTAATTCCACGATATAATTAAAGTTGCATTATGGGACACAGAATGGCCAGATATCTTTCACTTTCCCATTCTTAAAACTTACCCGTCACCGACTTTTGACGATATTGTGGAAAGGATGGGCTTCTTCCTCTGTTCCCCACCATTAGCATTCGCTGTGCTGAGATTGGTTGAGAATTCATCCGGCATTGTCGACACCGGTGCCCCATCCGGGTACTTTATGACGTCAATAACCTGGAGTCAATAGAAATAAGGAGTGATAAGGGGAAAAAACCTCAGCAACAATAAAAACGAAACAAATTTGAAAACGAATTTATTAAACAAATGAATGAAACAAAATAGGATCATCATCCTTTTGATTATTACTAAAAGTAAAGAAAAACACAAGAAAGAGAGAGAGAGAGAAAGAGAGAGAGAGATAGCAGGGGGAATTCAAATACTATATGGCCATTCTCTGGCTTCTTTTACGTGCGAGCAATTCTTTTCCTGATTGTTGATGAAAGTGGATGGAAATGAAAAATAATAGAACTAAAATGTGCTAGCAGCTTTCTCTGTAAAATACATCGTAACCCTGAAACCTATAGTAGGGACTTTTAGATTGAGTGGACGAGAACACGACGAACGCCGACACTGCCCATGGTGACTACAATTAGAAATCTTTTAGATTTTACTCGACGATATAAATGCATGCAGGAAGTAATTAAGCGTGCACGCCCGCGCACGCGGCATACTTTTACCGTACTAGATTTAGGAAAATCAAGGTTGACGCATTCTCGATCGCCGACTGAGACGACGTGACGCACTGCAGTCAAAGCTGTCGACGTGCAAATCTAAAAGTCCCTACTAGGGCGGTTTATGGACCTAAGGATCTAAAAAGTAGTCAAGTCACATTATTACAACAGGTATTGCCCTGAAAGAAATGTGGACCAATATGCCAGATGACATTTTTGACTCTGTGTTTGTGGGTGAGTATGTACGTGCGCACGCGCGCGTGTGGGTGTCTGTGCATGGTGTGGGATTTTGCGGACGCGTATCAATCAAATATGATCATTCACCCTTGTGGACGAAACGTCAATAAACTGGAAGCTCTATTCCGAACCTGGGTCCATAAGAATCGGGATGTAGGCAAATTCATAGAGCCGACAGTGGGCCTATACTAGACCCATTCTTGTCTGTCTATACAGGCATGCTTGGACCATTCATTGCCAAAAAGGGTAAAACGTATTTTAAGAAGCGCCCTTTTCCCCTCGAGGACGCAAGCGCCTTTTGACATTATCGTAGCGTTTGGGCCAAAATGTTATGACGAAGCGCTCAAAATATTCAGGAATCGCTTCCTGCAAACCAAAAAAGTTACAGTTGACAGTTCTAAAGCGAAATGTCCGAAAAGAGAAATGTTTGCGATTTCTCGAATTTTCGAGTTGATGGCCATCGTCAGGAAGTGATCAGTATATGAATAAACGCGCTGTCTTTATGTATGGTGGTTTGACATCAAGTTAACTAAACAAAAACATGATTTAATTTAAGTTTATTACGAATGAGAGTGACAAGAAGTATTTGAAAAGATAATGAAAAGTCAAGAAAAGTAGTTAGAAGTGTAAAATAAAGAATTGTTACAAAAAAAGGATCATCAACGGTAAAATGACCAAAGGAGTTTAAAGGGGATTAAAGTGTATACACTGGTTAGCTTGCACGAACCTTAGGTAAAAATATGACGAGGAGCGTGGTGATGGTGCTAACAATCACGCACAGACCGGTGACTATGTAGACCAAGGTATAGTCTTTGGGATCCATCACCAGGTTGAACAGCGCCCCCACTGATGACAGAATTGACACGTTGTATACGGATATGCCGATGTTCTTGGCGTCGTTCAATGCACGGATTTTGACGGCTCGTGTTTCAAAAGCTGCAGGAAAGGTAAAATGATATCACTTTCACAATGATAGAAAGAAATTGATGTAACGTAACATATTCTTAAACTTCGACATGCATTGTCAGTTGGACAATAAGAGCTTGATATATGAAAACATGAAGAGCTAATGGCCATATTCAGCTCCATGACAGCCGAAGGATTCTCAGATCATCACGCAATGTTATTTAATGACTTCAATCTAATAGCTTTGACAGGGACTTGACAGGGAGAACCATTGCTCTGTATTGAGAACATCACGATAATCGTGTTAATTTTATTTGAAGAGAACATCGCCATTTGATTTTTTTTTGGTATAGTTTTGCCGTGCAAATTTTGACATGATTTATCTGATTGGAGAATCGGGGTCAAAATATACCCCAGTTACACACCGCCAAACTGACAACAAATCCACCCTTTGCACGCACCCCGAGTGTTTGCTTGATCTTTATTCGTTCGGTTTCAAAGTATGGATGTGGTATCAAAGGTAATATCACTGACTGAACTGAGAGAACCAATCTCAATCAACTATATAATAGTTCTAAAAACATGTCTTTCTAAGAAACGGCTGAGAGATGTTAAAAAAAAAGATACAAAATCATGTAAACCAAGCTGCAGGAGATGATATTACCGAGGAAAAGACCAAAGAGGAGCAGTATTCCGTTGAAGATGTAGATCCCTGAGAGCCAAGACAGGCTGTTGATACCGTTTCTCCGACAAACCTGAAGCTCTGGAATAATAACACGGTCCTCTGATGTCGATGCCTATAACCATACAAGGGAGATGAAAATAGATGTTCGTAAGATAATCAAATGTAAAGCACAAATCTTTGTTAAGTGGCTTGTTACAAACGATTTCATTTTCCTGTTACGAATGTTTGTATTTTATTAGTCAGAATGCGAATTGCATGCATTAATTGATGCTCGGTAGGACAAACATTATGGCTTGTCCTTCTTAAAACATAATGTTCTCTCTGAATCTTTAGTCACTCATTAAGGAAAACGTTTTTTGGAACATTCAAATGTAATAATATATTTATGTTGCGAAAATTGTTTGGAAATCAAGTACAGTTGAAAACAGCGAGATATAGGACGATTCTATTTTAAATAAATGTATAGTTTCCTTATCTTTCCTTGCTGTAGGTCATACATTTCTATATCATACGTTTAGCAGTTATTATATCTTTGTAATCTAGCATAATCTCGTTAGTTTTGTTCGAATGCTGAACATTTTATTTTTACGTCATTAGCTTTCAAGGTTCTGATAGTAAAAATAAATTTATAGAGAGACATATCATCGTGACGCAATACCTTGCACAAAAACAGTGCTTATGATGTCACTAATGCGTTAGAAATCTAGATATACATAATATGTGTATGATATATATATAGATAGATATATATATATATATATATATAGTATTGTAACATCACATCACATTACCCCATAGTTATCATACCAAATTAAGCATTATGAAGTAGAAACAAATATTTGTTTTCCTTCCTTCTTAGTCAAGACACGTCCAAAACCCTTTAAAAATTCCTAGGAAAGTAGAAATCTCTACAACCACCTTATTAGCACAATACAAATTCAAATCCATCTCAAATCGAAAATCAAATTTAATCCCAAGGGGAACGAAGGAAACGGAGACGCTTTTAAGTGATTACACACACTAATTCCCTTCTTACATCTTCGGTGAATTGGATGACTTGAGCTTGCAGCGGATTGATAAGGTCCCATACCAGAAGATAAACACTCTCGATGAGCACAAATCCTCCCACCATTACGACGAGTTGGTAATCCTTTACAGACTGTTAAGAAAAACAGCAAGGCATGTGAATTACTCATTTATTACTTTGTTTTCATCTATGAGAATTTAACATCTACAAAAGGAATTCCATTAGGAAAACTCCTCCCACGATGACAGCGAGTTGTTTATCCTGCAAAGAATAGGAACGTACATGGCAGCTCGAATTCACAAAGGAGGTTTGTCGACAAACCTAGGTTCATGTGCGTTTTTACAAACCAAGGTTTGTAAAAATGCGTAAGAACGCGTCATATGACGCATATAAACCTAGGTTTGTCGACAAACCTCCTTTGTGAATTCGGGCCGATATGTATCAAAATGTATCAGTGCACATGTTGACATTAAAACATCTTGTGAATTCATTTATTTCAAATTTTGTATCCGTAATACAACATTAAATGACGTTTGTAATACACGTCTATACATGTCAATAAAAACGGACGACAACTAATTTGGTAGGCAGCGATCCTCCCACTTTGCGTAAAAATTAATCTAATCTTTCCCAGAGGTTTAAATCACAAATGATATATAAATGTATTAACGAATAGTATGAATTAATTTCCATTTTTGCAACCAATATACACAAATTAACAGTTAACAGTTGTACATTTTAAGAATTTTAGGTAAACGTTATTTCGATAGTAAGGTATAACATCATACAAAATACTAAATTTACTAGTACATGTATATATTTCTTTAAAAGGAAGATGACATAATACTTTAGTGGTATAAAGTATAATTAGCAATTTATATTGAAACAGTTCTCATCAATTTGATGACGCAAGGTACTTGAGTTCTGTTGAAAAGACGTCATTTTTTTTTTTATAGCAACATCATTTCATCTTCTGTACAAAAGCCCTCCGCATCACCGTCTATATAAAAAACAAAAACTAAACTTTCCCTGACATACTTATGCCCATCAAAAGCTTTTTCCTGTACTTGGGTAGTAAGCGCACGCACATAAATTAAACGCCCACACCCCATGCAACCGCGCACATTACCCTACATCATAGCCTTACTTCATCTATAAAACGTGAGAAACAAAGAAGCTTGTTTTAGAACATCTCATTATGAATTCAATCAGTCTGGAATCATCGATTGATCGCACGATGGAAGAATCCTACCTATCGAAAATGACGTATCTAGTATCTAAATTATTGACTCACCACTTTTTGTAGCTTCTTGTTGATGAATATTTTGTGAACTCTGAAAGTTTTTGAGAACATGGCTCCGAAAGCGAGCGTAAATCCGAGAGAAAGTGTCCACAGTCGAGCCTATTAAAATGACAAATAAGGGTGAAAAGCAGCTGATTATTTCGAGGCTGTTAACAAATCACCATAAAAAGCTTGTTAACGTTGAATAATGGTCGTAATTTCAGGCTCCATTAGCTTAATCTCCCGGTCTTTATTTAGTGCTTTTTCCACTTTATCTGCCGATAGTGAGCAAAACAATAAACTTAATGGAGAGTCGAGTGAAATAAATGTAAATGCAAACACCCACCCACACACACACACACACAATAAACAACTGTTCATGTATCTATTTATCATAATCTAGCTCGTGTATGTGATCGGAATACAGTTTAGTACGCACAGTTAGGTAAACGCTTTGACAATATATTATTTGAACTGAATCTGTCTAATTTAATTTGTGAAGATAAAATATTTTACATATATTACAGTGAGGAAATACGTCGCTTGTTAATAGCAAAAAGCGCATACAAAACAGCTGGGACCATACGAAATAATATTAGCAAAACAAAAGAGAAGGGAGAAAAAAAGGAAAGAAAAAGATACTGGAAATAGACGATCAGGTATGGAAGAGAATTTTATAAACAGAAAATAGGATGGTGATGAATAGAATGAAAATAATGATAGCAGCAGCAAAAACACAAATAAATACGTCGAAGACAACTACGAGAGAATGCACAAAAGAAAAAGATTATGCCTAGAAATTATTGTTTTTTGTCACATAATGTGAAGAGAATGAACATAAAATAGAATTATGCCTAGAAATCTTTTTTTGGAGTCACATACTGGGAAGAGTATGCACAGGAAATAGGATTAAACCTAGAAAATATCGTGTAAATAAGAAGCAGAAGAAAAAGCATTTTAAACACATGGAATGGTTCAATATGGTTTGACTAGAAACAGTACGGACATCAAATATCAAACATGACCAGGGATAAAAGTACATTGAGAGAATTGTACCACCGTGACACCGCACTGACGCAAGAACGACAACGCACAGATTAAGAATAATTTACAATAAGACGAAGGGCCTCTAATTGGTCAGTTTGTAGTCGCGGGTTTAAGTGGTATGACTGAGGTATAATTCCTCCGTCACACCGCCAAAAAGACACGAATCCGACTCCAAACCGACCATTTTGAGGGCATTGATTTAAAAAAAATTTTTTTTTTAAAGTTTCGGTTTAATGTGCACTCACAATTTTATTTATTTTTTTTAAAAATTTCATGATAAGTTGAAAATCATGCGTCCGGTAAACAAATCAAGCGTCCGGTAAAAAATATCATGCCTCCGGTAAAAAAAAATTTACCGGACACATGATTTTGCCATGCATCCGGTAAATCTGTAAATTAACAACATTTTGTATTTTGGACAATTTTTTGGGCCCCATCTTATAAAACAGATGATGCACAGGTTTAATTAGTGGGTCGGTAGAATTGTGTGCACGCGGTACCTTTGAATTTGGTCTAAAACCATTCAAAGGTATCTTGTGCACACAATCCCTAACTCAAACCTGTACATCATTTGTATACTGTATTTCTGAGAAAAAGTACTTCACTTGACTTCTCCTTAAACTAGCTTCTGAAAACCTTCCTCTACAATTCTTCCCAATCGTAGACTCAGGGTACGTTTATGCTCAACTTTTCCGGGCCAGAACAGGCTTTTGTTGCGCGTTTAGTTCAGAACACTGTTGCGTCCTCTCTCATTTTCGTATAAACGCCGATAAACTCCAAACGTAAAAGCCGATCGTAAACTCAAAAGAGGTGCGTTTTGGATCGGCGTTTCTCCAAGAAGACGGTTTCTGGGGGGGGGGGGGGGGGAGCGCTTTGTATCCTCTAGAAAGGGTTCATTTATAAAAGCATTACTTACCATTAATCTTATTCTAGCAAGCAACACAAGTGTGAACTCACCCTACATATGGTGTCCATGTTCTCGAGGCTAACGATACGGGCGTCGGTTCCCATGAGGACGACAGATGTGAAGGTCATGATGCTGCCTAAGATGACGATGTTGTTGATGTTAGGACTGGACAGTTTGATGGTTCTAAACGACAAGAGAGGATGAAAGGAACAGAGATTTGAATCCATGTATATATATATATATATATATAATTTTTTCTAATTATATTGGTATCTTATAGGTGTGCCGTTTATGTACACTGTACAGAATTACCGTATCATCAAGCTGTGTCTTGTGGACAACGCCCAACTCTATGAATACCTTCTTTCTCAAACTTCCTCACATCCTTAAAAAGATATAGGGTTGGATTAGAGCAATGTGATCGAAGTTATAAGTAGGTCTTCGTTCAGGATTAGGGATGAGGTATGGTAAATTCGCAATCCAGGTTTCAAGGTAGGAATTCGACTAATGTAAAAAATATTCACCGTAGTATATGTCTTATGTGTTATGTCTATTGCAGGCGAGGTGTCATTAGCCTGACGTACGGCTACGTCAGGGAATGGCGCAACGAAATTTGACGCACCATGCGAGAATGACATCGAATGAACATTGCTTTTGAGTATTAGGATAATTTCATTAATAATTAATAATTACAGTGCTTATATAGCGCCTAACACTTACTTTGTCAGAAGTCTCTAAGCGCTCTACAATAATGCAGCATAATTACCCTGGCTTTAGCAGTGCAGCTGTTACGGCTTTGATTATTGCAGGTAATGATGCAAACGAAATGATGCAAACAAAATGACGCAAACGATTGACGCAAGCGAAATGACACCTCGTTTAGAACGGGTAATACAGTCGATTTATATATGCTGAGGAAACTGACCTTTGGTTTCTGAGTGCTATGTTGAACGCCAGGAAAGCAAAAGCTAAAATGATTCCCAGATAGGATAACACACTGATAGCTGCGTAGACAGTCCGGGGCATCGTCAGCAGCTCACTTTCATAAAAGATCTCATCGTGAGGTGGATTGTCTCCTTTAATTGAGACAAAGGGAATAAAATAGAGAACATTAATTATTAAAATACCCGGAAAATATTTAGAAATATATGTTAATAGAGGTCAGAAATTTAATTTTCTTAGACGTTTTCGTCATTAAGTACAAAAGAACACAAAAAAAAAGGGTCGGTAAAAGTGTATATCAAAGAAAATCAAACACGCTAGGACAGCAATTTAACCCGTTGACTACTGAATTCTCTCATTCTAACTGGGTTAATACAGGAACAACCCGGTTCCAGTAAGCAATGGGTTAAGACCTGCTGAGAATTGTAAAGGATCGTCCTAAAATATTTGGACGAGATCAGATAGGTTCATGTTGACGCCAGTTAGGAGCTATGTGACAAGTTATTGTATTTCAATAGTCAGATTTCTGATTGCATTCATTAGTTGTTGCTATGTCGGAAAAGTCCCCGAAATGCTTTAGGATCGTATTTTAGTCATCATTATTGTAGAAACGTGCATAACAATTTGAATGAGTTGATAAAGCATATTATTTAATTTGCATTTCCGCACAGCAACGCTCTCGCCACGCCTCCTGACTTATCAATCAGCATAGATGTTAGCACCGTATCATTGCGTTCTCACTCAAAATTGCCTAACAACCTTTAGCTCATAAATATTTGCTGTGGAACGTCTGACATATCAACAGTCGTCTTAAATTTATTTCATGTAAGGTTGACAGTTCGTACTTTGACATTGAGGCCGTGTTATATCAAGGTGATTAAAACATTCGAAAAAGTAGAATCTTGATAGTAGTGATACACAATGCCAAAACGAAATTACCGTTGTCTAATTCTTGCAAAATCATAAAGAAGTAATCATTGTTTTCCCCCTTGTTATCTCTTTTTCTGACCTTCCCGTTTTCTCCCCATTTCGCACTCCTTTCCTTTATCATTTTATTCCTGCAATCGCAAATCGGTATTCATCCATGATGTAATGCAGGTTTAACCTTTAAGCGCATTATTTTTCATACATGCATGATTACGTTATAGAGAATATTACAACTTTGGCAATGTATTCATCACGACCTCTGCCAAGAGTTCAGTTTTCATCGTAACATCTAGAGATGCTGGTCATTGTGAAAGAAACTACTTGGAAGCAATTGGGAGAGGTCTATTATGAAGATCACAAAAAGGGTCAACATGAAAAGAAATTGGTCAAGTCTTGCTGAAGATAATTTTCTTCTATAAAAGGTAAAAGCTCACAAATTATTTTTCATCTTTACTACAATTCAACTTCTTTTTCAAATCTGTACTGAGAAATTATGAAGAAACTGTTGTCTGTTATGCGGCAGGGGAAAGAAAAAATAGGAGGCCTTTATCGGAGCAGCGATGCATTATCAAAATGGCTGCCATGTGTGATGAAAAAGGATTTACTGTCTATTATCTATTGTCATATCATGCATGCCACATATATCTAATAGACATCCTGACGTGTCTTCTTTCGATCGAACAGACAACAAAATAGGTTTGAAATCCTTGTTGAACCCAGTATGCCTGTTGAAGGTTTGCTGTAGCGTAGGAAGCGACTTAATGTGATCATTTTCAAGCATGGTCTAACAATATTCAGTATGGATGAGAAGAGGTCAGGAAAAAAAATAGTGTTTAAAAAAATGAAGACCCCCATGTTTACGAAAAGGAAATTCTGACTTTATTTATGATTATGAATATGCTGCAGTATTCTGGGCATTATCGCATAGATATAGAATTAAATGCTAACGGTTTTACCCCATAATAGTTACTTTTAATGGTTTATGCAATTAAACGATAGGTTCGTGCAGAGAATCAATCATAATATGGACAAGTCTACGATATTTGGTAATATTCTGTATTGTAGAGTTCTAAACATAGACTGGCATAAACTGTTTTCGTTTTGCATTCCACATTTGGTTAGATAAAAGCTCTAATAGGGCTATTAAATTCAATGCGATTGTCAGATTATTGAGATTATACTAAAATCTTACGTGTGTTCTGTGACGTACGGAAGAAAATAGGTAGGACTCGCCCATATAATAAATATATTAAATTGTAATTGATATATCGTCAGAAGAAAGTATAAAGTAAAGAATACAGGTGCTGCAGTTGTTGGTGTTGTTGTTGCTATTGTTGTTGCTGCTTAGGTGATGACGCTCTCGTTTAGAAACACGCGTGCCATTCATAATCATTCTACTGGTTTGTGATTTGAAGACACATGTACACCAGTTGCTCGTGCAAACGAGTCTCTTTGATCAGTATTGATCATTTCAACTGCGCTGGTTAAACGATTTGATGAAGAAACGAACAGATATCTAAATTGTTTTACCTATCCAGGTAATGTTCCGTTCTCCGGACCAGTCGAATCGATTCTCGTTGTCGAAGTAGTATCCAACCGTCCTCGGCTCGCCATCTGGGATGAAAAAGAGGGCATTATCGAGTTAGAAGGGGCAAATAAATAAATAATTTACAGGACAGAGCCAGAAAGAGAGAGAGAGAGAGAGAGAGAGAGAGAGAGAGAGAGAAAGAGAGAAAGAGAGAGTAGACGCATTATAGAGCGAAACCGTGAAAGAATTAAGTAGACAGTCTGAGAGAGAGAGAGAGAGAGAGAGGTGAAAAATAGGGGAAAAAGAAGGAGAGAGAGAGAGAGAGAGAAAAGATACAGAACATGAACGGAAAGGAATATGCAGGGAGAAATAAATGGAAGAGGAATAAGAAAGAGGAATAGAAAGAGGAAAAAACAGAGAAAGAGTGGGAAAGACACCTGGGTCAAGAGAGAGAGAGAGAGAGAGAGAAAGACACATGTGTCGAGAAAGATTGAAATTAACAAATAAATAGCATGTGAAGTAAATAACACGTCAACGCTAAGTTATACTTCTTTATTTATTTACTTATTTGTTTATTCATTCATTTTTTGTTCAGTTATTCGTTCATTTATTCATTCATGTCTCTATTTATTCACTTACTTACCCCATACTTGTTCAATTATGAATCTTCCAAGCCGGTCACCATTCTCGAACGCTAGAGGACCCTTACAGATGGAAGTGATACAGGAATGGTGTTATAAGAATAATAGATCAACAATGACGGACTATTATGATGTTAACATCTCACATAGTTAATTTTGGCTGCATTTTCAACCAAACAATTTGAATCGACATACATGCACAGAATATTACATTAGTACAAATAGTGTAAAATAAAATGTTGCTTGGTAGTACCAGTCGAAAAGGAATTGCACCTTTTATCAGTGGCCGACCTAGAGAAGTAAGATGCTACACTTTTAGAAGTAAGATGCCACTTTTAGAAGTAAGATGTCATTTTTAGAAGTAATATTGTGGCAAAACCTAATCTTATTACAAAAAACTAATGATAATGTCAAAATGTAATAATGGATTTCAAAACTGTACATAAAATGCTTCAAACGGATCAATATTTAGGCCTCCGTCACACCGCCAAGCCGACTCCAAAACTGACACCGAACCGTATTTTCCTTGGTATTTCAGATAATATAAATCATTTTGTTCGTCTGTTGTCGATATGGTATCGGTTTCGTCGGTGTGCCTGGAGTACATGGTTAGAATCACAGCACAAGAGATTTGTCCACCAATAGTTAGGATAATATTTTAAATTAATAACATATTATAAAAATATTAAATTTATAACATATTATAGAAATATTAAGTTTGTTATCAAATGTATATACGTACTAGATCAAATTTGACATGAAGTTATTTTTGTTTGCCTATTTGTATGATAACTTACGTTTCTATGTTCTTTGTTATTCAGTTTAATAATGTATTTGAAAAAAAAAACGAAATACAGAAATGAAATCGAAATCAAAAGATTGCCGTACCGAAAGCCCCTCAACATCCAGACTGTCTAGCTGATCCATGAGGATTAGACGCATCTCTTCATCGTCATAGCTGAAATTGTCCAAAGTCTTATTCACTGTGATATAAAGCGATCAAGAATAGAAAGAAAAACACAAACATGATTGATTATGTTGCAAAACACAAATTTTACTCAATAAGTATGATATCATGTATCAAAAATACATATTTTGTTTATCTTTTTTATAAATATAACGAAGGATATAACCAGATAACAACCTTCCTTCTTAACATCCTTGAAGCCCAGGAAACAATTTTCTGGGAGACCGAGATTTTTCAGATGTTGCACCATTAAATTTGTTTAAAATGTTATTGTTATTATGACTATTATTAATATCACTATCATCATTTGATACAAATCCAAGTTCAAATTTTAATAGGAATTACTTTGTATTAACAAGAATCTTACAATTTTCAACGTCCACTGGTGTCTCACAATTTTATGAGGGAAACCGAAAGGGGAAATGGGAATATAAGACGATGCAAAACCCTTCAGCCCTCCCCACTTTCGGCGGCCTTCTTGTCCACTCTTCATACACTGAGCAGCACCAAGAATGTTATAATTTTTAACGTCCACTGGTGTCTCACAATTTTTTTAAATATATAGAATTAGGGAAACGAAGACAATACGACAACCTCCCGCCCTCCCCACATTCAGCGGCCTTCTTGTCCACTCTTTATACACTGAGTAGCACCAGGGCGATTTCACCTCCCCCTTGCATCGACATAGTCCCCTCTCATAATCTACGCTACGCTACTGTCTAAAGACGTTTTTTTAATCTCTCTCTTTCCTTCGATTTTCTTTGTTCAGGTTTATTGTGATATAATTTACAAGAGATACATGTATGACATGTGCATTTTAAACAAATTGTACTTTATTGGAAAATAAAAACATCTTCCATACATGTTGTTGTTGTTTCACGCAATACGTATATTCGGTAAGAGATTTTACATGCACTTCCACTTTTTTTAACGCTGAATATACTAGTTGTATTATTTGCGATATTGAAAATTTTATGTCATATCGTGGGCCTCTTTGAAAACAATTTCATGTTGAAAGAGCTCGTGCCCCATATGTTAGATATAAATGAATTAAACAGAAAATCCATCAAAGAACTAACTGAATCTTAGACTCCAATATGTCTTTATAACCATTTTTAATCAAATAAAATAACATCTAACAAACAAAAATATACCTTGAGCGAGGGTCTCAATAGAAGAATTCATGGCCGCGGCCATAGCCATCACAGCATCGTAAGGATAAGTATAAAAGGACATAAACTTGTCCCCGGCCTCTGCTATATAACGTGCCTTGTTCTCCGCAGCAGTCTGTGATAAGATAGTTTGAAGGAAAACAAAAGATAAAAGACACTTTCGTGAAAGGGTATGACATTTCAATAGATTCCCCGATAAATTGTTAAAAAGAATTCACGAAAATATCATCTAATTATTTTTTATCACCATTATCAGAGGTACTACTGCAATAACTTTTTCTCTTACTACCCCTCCTTGTTAGTTTTTCACTATGTTACAAACAGCATGTTGAAAAGCACCATTGCGAAATAAACGTACACCTTTTTTCGCGACAAATTTTTCCATTGAAGTCGTTCGCGGTCATATTTACTTGGGGAAATCACCAATGATGCTTATGTAAACTGCCATGAACATGTATTTAAAACATGTTTCAAGAAACAAGAAGCAAAGACAATTATTTCAGGAAGTTTTTGAAGTAAATTATGAGTTACTTTGTACTTTTTCTACTCATTTATATTTCAATCACTACAACCATGATAACGAGCACTTCTTCTACTCATTTATATTTCAGTCATTATAACGAGCAATATGAAGGAAACGGAAAGCATTGCAACAAAAGAAATTACAGCTTTATTACTACTTCAACTCTTCAAATATCGATTTTATGATATCCATTCTTAGAAGAGCCACAAAACAGTATATGAACATTGATTTATTTGCCCGTTATGTTTCTTCATATATGTTTTTAAAAGTTTTATTTTTAACGCGCTCACTCTGCCTCTATAAAAGACACTTAATTACCTTAACGTGTGTGGAAATTATGTTATGTTATCAGCTCCTCTTGTATCAAGAATTGAATTTCATCTGAGAGCTTGCTATAGTGCCAGGTATTTGATTTGTAGTGCACTGAGGTTTTTCAACGTGCTTTATTTGTAACGATAAGGATAATGCTACGCTTTACAAAAAATTATCAAAACTTTGTAGCTTGCGCTGGATTTTTTTCTTCAAATTCACAGGACAATAAGGGAATACTGCTTCAAGACGATTAGTTTCTATCAAATTTCGGTGAGAATGGCTGAGTACTTTTAAAGATGTTGCCTGCCAAAATCTCATTGCAATTCTTTTGAAGACACCGCGTAAAAAAAACCAGTTATACAATGAGTTCACTTCTTCATCCACGCTTTATCATATATTTAGAGAACATTCAATTTATTTGCAGTCGCCAGCTTAAAGGTTTATCAAATATGGATCATATAACACAATCCTTTAGATATTCCATCTCTTCCATTGGCCTCTCTGCGTGGTCACAGCACCTAGGTAATGGAAAACTAACATATTTAGGTTATTGATGTAGCGCCGAAAAAAAGATTAAGAACACACATGTTCCATTTTAAAAGGATAAACGTCACATATCTGTTTCTTATAACACAGACATCAGTGTATACACGTAGGACTTTTGTTGCACGCGGTTGTCACTCATTTCCACGTTGTAATAAAAAAAAACGCAGCGGTTGTGCCCCGTCATATCTAAACGAGCCTTTTTATTGGCGACTTTGGATAATAGGGACTTTTCGATTTGCGTGGACGTGGACGTGTGACTTCCTCTTAAGGCACTGGAAGTGCCTTAAAAGGACGCACACGTTGCAGTCCACGTTCTCGGCGTGCAAATCGAAAAGTCCCTAATAATGGTCGAAGACTCACCTCTCCGCTGATGATGATACCTGGGAAGTCGGTATGGAAGACCCAGTTTGGTATGATAGCCGTCTGACCGGCTTGAATCATCTCCTCTGCTGTACACGTGATGGAGGGGTCCTCCTGGGTGAGGAACTGACGATTGATATACCCTATACCTCGAAGAATCCAGGCGTACCTCTCACCAGTCATTCCCAGTCTGTAAGCCTAGGATTAGGATTAAGATGAAGTAAAGGAGTAAGATTATAGATGGACAATTTTCGACCTAAGATGATTATTGGTTCGACAAATGAGAAGAATACTTCTACTAAAATTATCGATTATATAGCTCTAATAACAAAATGACCATAGCGCTCACAAAATCACAGAATATATATTAGAGAAAAAACAACAACATAAAACTCATAAAACAGGTCAATCATATCATATTAGTGTGGGTAGTAAGGCTTTTTAAGGGATCTGTTGAAAGCGGCAAGACAAGTTAAAGGGAAAGTTGAGTTCTGTTGCAGAGGGCGCTACACAAAATAATTTTATGTCAAATTCATCTCTCTTTGATCAAAATCGGTTCGGAGACGGCTGAAATATCCATAAATATAACGATTTCTAATACTTGTGTACCACCACAAATATTAGATAATTTGAACCAGCCGTTGAAAGCCGTTGAAAAAAACAAAATAGCGCTTTTTACGTTGTATTTCAGCCAATGCCGATGTTGGCTTTTTTGTTGGCTTTTCGTGTTGGTTATATTACGCACAATCAGCAGGACTATGTATTGTTATTATTAATTAATTAATTAATTAACGGTCACTGTATTTTGAAAGTGGAGCTGAATTGGTATAATCGTATGGCTAAATTTCACATATTTTGGGGTCTAAAATGACCTTCTTAGCAATTTTAGGTCCTAAAACGGCACTAGAAATGTCATAGATAAGAATAAGAGCAATAAACATACACTTTGAAGGCATTTGCGATCTGAAAACAGATCTCAACTATCCCTTTAATTCTTTGATGGAAAAAATGGAATATTGTTTCAAATTTGAATTAATTTGTACTTGAAATCAAGCCTCTTTATAGTTGCAATAAATGGATGAATAAATACAAATGAATAAATAAATAAAACAAATAGTAAAGACAGTTATTGCGTTGCATACTGATATACTAGTAATAATGGAGACGTTGACAAGTAATGCTAGCAGGGGTCAATGAAGAGAAAATAAAGAAAAAAAAATAATACTCTCAACGTATGGTGTTTCAATGGAGAAAATCTCAAATCTCAAATCTCCATTTCGAATTCTAAACGCCTTCAATTCATTCGCTTTGATTTGAATAAAATCTGCCTTGCCCAAGGCCATTACAGCACACATATTTACTCAGTAAGGCCAACAAATATGTTATGAGGCATACATAAAAAGCATTTGTCAAGTGTTTTTTTTTTAAAGGAAATCTTTATTCGAAATCGATGATTAAGCGATCTCGGAGTTAATGTGTGTACACTAAAGGTCACGTGCAACACGTCCGTTGAGCAATGCACTTTTGCTTCATATCCTTCTGAAAAAGCGTTTTGGATATCAATTTCGGTTACACACCAAACTGAAAAACCGAAATAATTATATGTAGAGGTGTTGCGGTCCAGTGAAAAAGTCTCCATACTGTGGTTAACGATTTCTGTTACACATCAAACTGAAGAATAGACATATAAAATTATGTAGAGGTGTTGTGTTCTAGTAGTTGATTCTAGTCTCCGGACCATGAACCGCAAGGAGTGGGGTTCGGATCACTGCCAGTAGCACTAAATGTCCTTTGGCAAGACGTTAATCTACATTTGCCTCACTCCACCCAAGTGAGGTAGATGGGTATCTGATAGGATTATTCCTGGAAATGGAATGTTCGCTGATAACGGCTATCGGGGCTATAGCCATGGTAATAATTTTCAAATCCCTTCGGAAGCACAGAGGGATCATTTTTATAATACGATATACAAGAACGGAATATAATTATCATCATATTATGGCCGTTGATGATATCATTCACTACTTCCTATTTTAAGGGCAAAAATATTGAAATATCAAAAGCTTGCTTTTTTAGTTTAAAGGATTTTTTTCTCAAAAAGGATTTAGTTCCAGGGGATCATTCTGTTTATATCTGACTGTCACGTAGGTCAAACTCAAGGGAATTTCCATCTTTATTATAATGGAACAAGAGAGCATTACGTACAAATCTTTTGATTTTCCGCACATAATTTTCTTTATTTTATAGAAAAATTGTTCATAGTGAGCTATAATTATTTTACAAGCTAAAAGAGAAAAAATTATATATTTTTCTCTTCACATTCCATTTCACCGTCATATTCCTCCCTCTTTCTTTATCCCCACCATCTTTTTATGCCATTCGATTTGAGGTCGGGCATGTGCGACCGTACCCCTATTCTTAGGCCAATTTTATTATAGCTTTGATGATGATGATAATGATAACAATTATGATAATAATGATAATATAGTAGAGTATTTATGATGCGCCAACTCCACTTGAATGTGCTCAAAGCGTAACAGAAAAGTAAGAACATGAAAAATACAAACACCAAAGTGAGACAAGTTCCAAAATACAAGTAGATCTACTGAAAAACATTTTTGAAAATGTGAGTTTGAGAGTATTTTTGATCACAATCTGCACTTGAAATATTACGCATTTCTTGTGACAACTGATTTCATAAGTGAGATCAAGCTGGCTCAAACGACCAATGCCGCCAAATTGCCAAGGTTTTTAGGAACAACAAGCAAGAAGTATTACAATAATAATAGATGGACACACACAGGAATTAAAACTGAATAATAAGGTATTTGCAAAAACTGCCATACGATCACATTTGTAGTTGCTCAACGTTAAAAGCGTGTGCGTGTGTTCAGGGATGTGGGTGAAGCAATGGGAGGTTTGTACATTCCCAAATTACTATCTGCTTTAATAAGAGCCTTGTTTCTTCTTATTTCTTACCTCACAGAAGATTTTTCTGGCTTCCGGTTCCCAGAAAAGTCCAATAATGATTCGGGCATCTTTTCCCTGATTTGACAGAGTAGAAGAGAAAAAGTATTTTGTTATCAAACATTTATGACAGTGAACGTAAAAATAATGTTCATAATTTCAAGGTTCGTTATTCCGAAGGTTCTTCATTAACAAGGTTTAAAATCTCGAAGGTTCGTATTTCCAAGAAGAAAAAAGGAACGTGTTCGCTTTCGAAAGTACGAACCTTCTGAATAATCGACATTTGGAATAACGTAACAAAGGTTTGAAAAAATATGAACTCAACAACACTTTTAGAATTATGAACCCTCTTGTATGAAAAATTTGTGTTACGGAATTACGAACCTTCGGAATTACGAAACTCCGGAAAAACGAGTGCCTCCAATATAATAATTACATATACAAGCGTAAGGTAATACTCGTACCCATCAAAACAAATGACGCTTCTGGTACTTGAATCAGGAAGCGCTCTAGCCAATCAAAGGATCATTCGCCTTTGTCGAGAGAGGCGAATGAAGCGTATTGTCGTGCCACTTGATGTTAGTGCCCGGGTGTAAAATGAGTATATCCGCGGCACGTTTATTCCTTTTCCAATTTTATAGACATGCAGTTATATTATAATGAGCTCAGAAAAAAGTGCAAAAAGTGTCATTTTTATTCAAGACGGTAAAAGATGAAATCATAGTCTCTCTCTCTCTCCCCATCTCTCTCTCTCTCTCTCTCTCTCTGTCTCTCTATCTTTCTCTCTCGCTCTCTCTCTCTCTCTCTCCCTCCTTTGTTTACTATGATTCCTCTCGCGCCGGTTTCTTTATTTTACCCCACAGACTTGCTATAATAATAATATTTTCAACTAGCACTGTCTATTTTATACAAGGGAGTCCAACTCCCTGGTTATACTAGGGTGGCTTTTTTTGTGTAGATCCTTACATTTGCGAATGGTTTCCGTTTTGGTACAGTAAATTGTAGAATCTCGAAAGCATTTCTATTAACTGTGTAAAGATAACACATTGCCTCGTCAATATGCATACTTGTTTCGTAACCGTTATGTACGTTGTATAATAGCTTAAGGTGGAATTGAGTGAACTGACCTGTAGTGATTCAAATCATACAATAAAACAGTGAAAGACAAACGCCTCGAAACGTACTCTGGAAATAATTCACGTAATCAATTATTTAATGACTATGGAAATAATCTAGATGAGGCTTCTCCATTTCGATGGAAAACATCTGCCGTTATCTGTCGTGATATAAAGAGTACACTGTTTTGTTTTGATTTTACGTAGGGCATGCAGGGAGCGAAGACGCCAAAGAATTTAACAAGATGAGCCTGACAAATTTAGTTGCCATCGTTGTGATACCGTAAATCAGTGTGCCTAAAATATCTGAAAGTACATTCTGCCCCAAGCAAGACCACAATGATCATAGTCAATATCACTCGAAGCACATGTCGTCTTCAAGCTAAAAAGACATTATACATCCTAAGAGGTATTCCACCTTGAAGAAATTGTTTAATATTTAATGCCTATCAAAATTCAACCATGAACTTAAAGGAAGCCTCACCCCAAGAAATACCTTTAGTTATTCTGAGATTTTGTTTTTGTATTCTTGCCCATCAATCAACAATATTCTCCATCGAAGTGTATGAGAGAGGAATAAAGCAAGAATAATGTACAGGTTCTCAGAATGAAATGGGTGTCGCTATTTTCTTGTGTATAAAAATGTATGGATGCTTCCTTCCCAGATGTGTGTGGTGATGAAGCATGTCATTCACCTGCTATTATCCTTTCTACCACAATCACCAGAACGCGAATTGCATTTATACGTTGGTGCTCTTCGAGGGTGAATGTTCGCCTTTAATGACATAAATTTGTCAACTGCTATATTTTATTATTTTAAAATAAATGAGTTACAATTGTTCCCCTGTTATACATTTGTCATCAATTATAGTTTTTAACCTTCTTATATTTTCCCTCATTGAGAAGTAAAGTTTTTTTTTAATCGAATTATAAAGTTTCTCTAACTAAAGATTGGTGCATGAAACATGTACAACTCCGCCTGGTACGTCATAATTTCAAGAAAATGGCTGCGCCCATGTCATGTTAAAAAGGCATTACATCATGTCAAGGCTATCTTGATTTGTATATCTCTCGTACACTTTCGTAAGGAATATTGTACGTCAAATGGATGGAGTACATCTCATTTTTTAGAATACCCCGCTTAATCTCTGGGGAGAGGTTCCTTCAATACCGGCTTGTATATTCTTCTCTCTGTTTTATAATTTCACGTCGCACAGACGAATCACAACATTGTAAAGGAGCATATGAAAGAAACCGATATTGCACTCGTAATGAATAGTATAAATTGTCGTCTCAATGTCAGACGCTATATTTAAAAAAAAATGGTTTGATTCTTGAAGTGAATAGTTTATATTGCTTGCCGTCTGTAGGATAACCATTACATACAATAAACTGGTTTGCCGTTTGTCAAATCATTGGCGGAACCCTACATTTCTATTCACGTAATGTAATATGTAATATATTATACAACTTATTTTCCAATGAAAATATCATTCCTCAGTTTCATAATAAAGGTGATTTATCTTATATAACGCTTACAATTATCATACAGGTCGACGTGAATAGATGCAAATACATTAAAATAGCATAAACCACCGAGATGAAATTATATTCATAACATATCTTGAGAAATATAATTAGCGCCTCATGTGAAGGGAAATTATGTGCCTTGCCTTGGAAATCGGGAATATGTTACAATAATCCATTGGATTTAATAATTGCGCTAAGAAAATTTAGGAGCAACGGTCATTTTTCAAAAAAATAAAGTTAATGTTATAATAATGATGTGCATATAAAATTTATTTTAACATATAAACCAAATATCTAAAGGAAATGCTCATAAATCTTGAAAGAAATCACCTAACAAAATAATGTGTAATGATTTTTTTAAAGAGAAGAACAAAATGATTTTTCCCGACTCCCTCTAATTGTGACAAAACCTGATGATTTATGTAATTTGTCTAAAAATAAAATATCATGTTGAAAACGGTACATTTTCCTTCGCATCGGAACCGTCCCTTACTCTGCCACCTCATCACAAAACTGATATAGTGTGACAAAGTCTAGAACACTTCAAATCATGACTAAAAACTCAACCAGTTCAGCAAATGTGAAATAACTGACTACATCGAAGGAACCTGCATGTCGAATGTTTTTAAGCAGAAATATGGCGCCATATAAACGTTTTGAAACGCCATTCTCACAAAGGAAAGCCTTAACATTGGTTGATGAGCACGTGAAACGCGAACATGACTACCTCAGAAGTGATAAAAGCGAGTCAGTCATTTAAAGCAGAAAGTCTAACAAAATTGTATTTTTTCAGAACCAAATCGAAGAGATGTTATTATGCCATACATCATGCGCGCTTAATCCATTTATATCACTAGGAGTACACCTTCCTCTGCGGTATTATTAGGTTTTAAGCTGATGGTGTCAGAAATAACCACATCAGTTGGACTGTTAAGTCTGAAGGTCTGATAAATTATGTTTATGCGCCGCGCTATGTGAATATACTGGCTATATTATATGAAAAAAAAACACGAATTGCATTTCATTAGAGTCTGGACTTCCCCTCACAGCCCCCGATCTCCCCCTGTCTCTCCCCTTCTTTCTATCTACGGTATCTTAATCTCGCTATCTCTCTCTCTCTCTCTCTCTCTTTCTTTCTCTGTCATTCAGTGTCTTTCTCTCTCTCTCTCTCTCTCTCTCTATATATATATATGTATACACACACGCCCACACACACGCACACACGCATATGGGTACAACGTGCCAAATGGGGATATTTTATCTTTAACTATGAAATTGGGGATATTAGAATTGGAGTTTTTTTTTTTATAAAGATTCCGTTTCTTTCATGTATGTTAAACGTCAGATAATCAAAAAATAGCAAGAATTTAGCCTACTGTTTTTATGTGACAGTTAACTAGGCGCTGTTTATTTTTCAGAATTTTAAAATTTGAATAATCATTTGACCATGTGTGTTTTGCGTGACTGCTAAAGCATGTGTATGCTACTATGCTTATCAACTAGGGGACCTACACCCTTAGGTCATAAATGACAGTAATGAGGATTAATGCCCCACAAAAGGGCACTAATATAGCACATCGACACGGTTTTGATCCTGGGGCCTCACAGTTACGAGGCTATTGCTTTGTCACTGAACCATGACTGTACGCAGCGGGGGCTAGGGTAGGGGACAGTTTCCATAAATAATAATAAAAACGTAAAATGCAATAAATTTTCAATAATTTATTGCATTTTACCCCGGTTCCCAACATAAAAAAAATCTTATGTGTGCCCATGCCTCGAGCCATAATGCATGGCCGTCCAGAGTTTTTTTTTAATGTTGGGGACCGGGGTAAAATGAAATAAATTATTGAAAATTTATTGCATTTTCTATTTTTTTTTTATTTATGGAAACTGCCCCCTACCCTAGCCCCCGCTGCGTACAGTCATGGTTCAGTTTTTGTTTGATCTTATTTCAGAATTGTTCAACATAAATCGTAATATGCAAACTAGGTGCATAGATATATTATCAACAAAAGTAAAACAAAATATGTGAGCTATCATGATATAAATCATTTAAACAATGAAAACTTTCTAAAACACACAGTTTACAACTCAGTATCAGCAATTAATACCTTTATGTGCAATGGACCCAAATTTTGGAATCCGCTTGAACCTACTCTGAAAAATGCTACTACATTGTATTTATTTAGACTTCACTTGCAAAAGCTTCTTTTAAAACAATATCAAGTGAGTTAATGTTGGAAATGCTATTTGTATATATCTTTGATGGCGATATTCACATAATATAATAATATTAATACCTCACATTTATAATGCGCCTAATACTTTGTTTCTAGGCGCAGTACATATTACAACCCCGGTCATTTATCACCTGGGTGGAGAGTGGCAAATGTAGATCAATGTCTTGCCAAGTCCAGTGACATATCCACT